CTCACCTCTGGGACAATAAGGACAAATTTTGTCAGTATGCGTCATCTTTCCCAGAAGTGATGTATGAGGTGAGACTCCGCCAGCTGGATGATATGGCTAGGACTAAGGTGGCAGAGACAAATGACTCTGGTTTCCATATCCTGAGATTTGGTAAATTCGCTCCCCTTACGCGGAAGGAGATTTACGAAAGTACATTACCCGAGCACAAGGATTATGTAGAGTATATACTTAGGCAGGATATCAGAAAACCTGAATCTCCTCTTGGCCAAGCAAAGAAGTACTTCACTATGAGACGCAAATCCAGTAGTGTCCCTGTGAGTGTGAGTGCATCTACAAAGAGCCAGCACCAAGAGAAACTAAAGACCTTGGTGAAGAAAGTTGCTGCAAGGAAACTCCCCTTACCCCCCAGTAAGTAATCAATGCTACATACATATTTGGATTTCTTTTAACATGACTACATCTATATATGTGAATCTGATTATAGTATATTTAAGGAATTAAGACCGAGATTTTATGATTTATGGCGTGATATATGGCAATGGCCAGAATAAAATTTGAGGTCATATATTTGTCATAAATCATAAAATCGAGGTCTTTGTTACACTTCTAAAATGATAAACAGACAAGAAACACAACTATTTGCATTTATGAATTTTAGCGGCCATACATACTCCAATATAGACCAAAAAATCAATTGTTCTAGCTATTGTGACGTCACATATCATATTAGAATTTAGTATAATTTATGCCAATACATAGATTATCAATCTATCTTTTCACGTGTTAAATAATAATTTTTCAATATCTTCAGAGTTCCCTGCCCCAACCTCTACAGCAACTTCGGAGTCTCTGTTCAAGCCCAAGAAATGTGAGGATGTCCTGGTGAAGAAAGTTGCAGCAAAAAAGCCCTCCCCATCCCCCAGTAAGTAATGAATGTTATATATTTGGATTTCTTTGAACATGTACATGTAAATATGTTTATAGTGTCTTTACTTTTAGTACAAAGATCATCAATCTATCTTTTCACATTTTATTATGATTTAAGATAATTATACCACAAGAATAGTAAATTATAATTTTTCAATATTTTCAGAGTTCCCTGCCCCAACCTCCACGGCAACTTCTGAGTCCTTCAAGGCCGAGGATGTCCTTCTGTTTGAGACAGATCCCCAGACAGACAGTGAACTTTCCCAGGTGCTGAGTGACTATGAAAGGAATAAAAGCGCATGTATGTATCATGTCACATTTCATTTAAAATAATTTGATTTTCTATTTACAGTTAAAATTGGTCTTTTATGATTCAAAAATTTGTTTGAATAAAATGTGCATGTTAATTAATTGTTGGATGTTTCATTTTAATACATTATTTTGCTGGCGAGGAAAAAGTAAACTCATATGGGTAAGTACATGTAATAGTGTTTGATGAACTTCTACATATGCATATACCTGTTTCTTAACAGTAAAATCTATCTTATGCTAGAACAGCAGTTCGACTGATTAAATAATCAAAAAATATTATAGGTGGCTTGAATTGAAAAAATGGAAAAAAGTTTAACCAAATTGTCAAAGTTGAAAGCTGTTCTCACATTAATAAATTTTACTTTAAACTAGGTATTAATCCGATGACTGCTAAGGACCTCATTATTTTATTTATTTACGTACATTAACTGCTTTATAAAATGTATGTGAAGTAAACCCTTCCAACTCACCTGCTAGCACCATTTTTGCTTTGATTTTGTGAACACTATCACGCTTGATTATTTTCTTGGCCTAAGAGTGCTCACTCCACGTGGGTTTTACTGTACTTAATCGTAACTTCTCCTTTGGTAAGTACATGTACAGTACAAACTTAGATAATGAGTATTAAGTAAGTATTGAGTATTAAGTAAGTATTCAGTATTTGGATAAGTATATTTAGCATCGCTTAACCCTTCCTTACTCTGCTTGGTGATTGTGCTTTTAAGTGTATTAATGTGTGGAGTGGTTTTTATTTGATATTGTACAACTCTTGCTTGTAGGGCTTTATAATATTTGTGCTTTGTATTCAGTGCTGTTTGGAGTGGGATTTTTATTGGTATTGTTTGTAGGGTTTTGGTGTAGGCTATAACAAACAATTATTTATCGAAAATAGCTAGATTAAATAGATTTGATAAATATAAAATATTACCAACTTGAGTGAATGTGTGAAAATAGTTCAATGCTGAGTTGAAAAGTCTTAAAATACATATTTGCTATTTAAAACAATTAAAGCAAAATATACTTAGAAATAGTAAAACATTAAATTAAATAGAGGCCAATTAACATAAAATGAAAGCTGAGTATGACAAAAATTTGAACATCTGTTTATCTTTTAGGCATACCCGCCCCATTTTCTCATGGTCTGGCCTCTAGTGTCAGTACTGTGAGCAGAAAAGGTAAGGTAGCAGCTGCCCCTACTACATCTCACCTCCCTCTGAGAAAGCCCGATGACACCTGCGTAAATGTAGAGCAAGGCTCCGCTTGTGTCACAACCGTCAAGGGGGATAGAGACGACCACATCCATAAATACCATTATGAGGTGAGAATGAGACATTTAGTGAAGTAAGATTTGTTGTAAAAGGAATAAATAAGGATTTAAACAGAAAAATTAAGTAAAATTGGATAAATTCAATTGAAAATTGCCAGAATAAATGACTTGTTAAAGGCCCCGTGTAAAGTTTAAACCACTTTGGCTTATATTGTAGTCTTACCCAATGTTATCAAAGTGTGATATGTGAAACTTTTTTTTTAAATTTCAAAAAGTGGTTTTTGATAGACTTTTTGTTCCAAAATTTGTGAATTTATTTAAAACCAACTTTTAGAGGTCACTCATATCTTCTAATTAGCCACAATTCATACTAATGCATAGCATTCATCCTCCCATGTTTTTTGCCGAAAAATTTAAGAAAATCGGTTGATAAACAAGCGAGAAATGAACTTATCAGTGCATGAAAATGGTTCTGAGAAAAATGCATTTCAAAATTTTAGTTCTCATGGAAACCAATGGTACAATGATATCTAAAACATAATTTATTCTTCCTTTTAACCTGGTTAGACAATCAACATTGTTTTTTATGAAAGTCTAGCATATTTAGAAAAGATTGACATCGAAAAAAAAAATTTAATTTTTTTCAAAAAGTTTTTGTTACCTTAGTGACATCACTAATGTTTCAAAATATTTTTGATAAGCTAAAACATTGAAGTGGCCCATTAAATATGACATTTTATTATTGAAATAGTATGTCTTTTGTTCAATCTTTGCATTGGTGTTAAAAAGATAATCTTTTTTGAAATGCATTAAGAATATTTGATGATTAAGAAATTTCAACTTTTTTTGAAAAATGGCGGGAAATTTGATGGACTTTAATGTTTTAAACAAGAAGCGCCAGGAAAAGTCCCATCCTGAACCCCCTCCGAAGTCCTAGATTGCCTCTCCAGCCTTCACACCAATCTCCTGCCTCCGCCCAACATCTAATCTGTAGTCTGTGAAGCAGTCTGTGTGCAGTTTTTTAGCATTTACAATTTTTTTCAAAATGGGGTAGAAAAGTATGTTTTTTATTTTTCTCTTTGTTTTTTGCTTGAGGTAATAGAAATTAGTATTACACTGAGCAAATGACAGAGAATTAAGTAAAAATACCTTCCTCCGCCATTTTGAAAAAATTGCAAATGTCACAAAAACTGCAGTTTACGTAATGGTTGCAGCCCCAACAGCCTTTTTCAAGGCAACTCCTCTCAGCAGGAAGGGGAACCTGTCACAATCTGGTGACAGGAGAGCGATGCTCCAAGTTTAGTTACCACCAACAGACTTGTAGTGCCACTTAGCTTTGCTAGAAGGTCCCAAGTCCTTGTAAAAGCAGAGGTTGTTCATACAATATTACATTAGTTGTGTGGACTTACACTAAGAAACTAACATTTCTTGGGTTGGGTTTGACTCCCAAATAACTAGATAAAGTATGAACATTTCTATTAATTGAATTTTAATAAATAAAGATGTTTGATTCTGATAGGGTAATTCACAGGTACAAGTAAGTAAGTATATTCATGTGTTCATCAATACTGAGCTAAACCACCTAATAAACATCGGAAATAATGCATGATATGGACATCTTAGAGATTTAAAGGTTACATCCAATGACTTACATTTGTATGGGAAATCCCTTGGGGAACCCCCTAAAAGTTTCAATTTAATGATATCTTTAATTTCGTCAGTATTACGCGCCTAATTTTGCTTGATTGTTTGAAATATAATTGAAAGGAAATGCTTGTTGATGATCTGTTACATTAAATGAACTAAAACTTCTAAAAACGGTCTAAATCGACATATATGTACTTAGCCCATACTTGGACGTGTTACAGGTACATAAAGCCAGTTTGTAAAAACATATATTTTCATCAGCGGGCAGATATAGCTTTACGTCCCGCTCCGAGCGGGCAGATATAGTATATCTGCCCACTACGTCATAATCGCCGCTCGCATATTTGTTCATAATTTGTAATGTTCGCGTAATGACTGTAAATGACAATGGAGAAAACACAGATAATCGGGATCTGTTTACTGGTTTAAAAAAGGGAAGGAGCATCCACGTAATCAATCAAAAATTCGAGAAAATAAATGTGGGAATATTTGAGGGAACAGGAAAATCCACCCACGGCCAAGAAAACAAAACTGGACATGAATATTCTAAAATATTTCCACGATTGAACAATGTGAACCAGATGACCAAGATTGGTATGGGATAAACATATTATCCTATAGTCGGTTCAGGATATTGGGATTATCCCTTGGCCAATATAATATATTTTCCCTCGGGACCTGCGGCCCTCGGGCAATTATATTATATTTGCCTCGGGATTATCCCAATATCCTGAACCTCATATAAGATAATCTCTATATATCTCTAAAATGTACTGAATGACCTGTATTAGGGGATACGTATTTTCAACGACATTAAGTAGATCAGAGTATATAAGTAATAGACGACTATATTTAATTATCCGCAATTTTTTCTAGTGTCCTTGGAATTGTCACAGGTTTTATTTCATCACCACAGCAATAGCATGTCGCCGCCGCTCGGGTACTATTTTCCGCGACACAGCATGCTCCTTTGGCGCATCGCCTTATAGCACAGCAAATCTCATACCTGAAAAGGAGACTTCGAATATAATTAATGCATATACAAATCATAATAAACATATCGCAGGATGACCTTGTTTCACTAATATTAAAAACTTGACTTAAAACCTGTTGCAAACAGTTTCAAACAAAGATACGTGTAACATTGGGTAAGATGGAGGAAAGAAAAGTATACCAAATATCCTAGGCCTGAAGTACATTAAAGGTTGTGGTATGCCAAAACTTACACAAAAATCTGGGACTGACATTTGTCTTTAGTTATTTCTGGTGTCCTTGCAAGGATTGCCATTGGGGGAGCAACCTGTACATGACAGGCTTCTTCGTAAAAATCACCGACGTTGCATTTAGCGTTGTTACGATTTCCCACGGTGCCATATTGATAAGCTTTCGTTGTGTCCATATCACAACATTTGCAATAAGGACCTTTTTGTGTCCGACAACACTTATTCTGACAGTTGCTATCTTTACAACAGCCCAAATACCTTTAATAAGTAAACTTAAATTAAATATTTACGTCGTACAAGTATAACATCTCCAGTTTGATACCATTTGAAATATTTAAGTCAGATGGGCGAATTGCATTTGCGTAATAAATTTTTGTAATACGGACTTCGAAATATGGTGAGTGAAAAAAGCATATCGCATGTTTTGATTCACATCTCATCATAAAAGTCTGAACGAAAAGGAAACCATACAGTTTCAAACTATGGAACTTACAAATCAACATAATTTGGCAGTGTTATAGATTCATCAGTTGTAATGCAAATTGGAGGTGGTTTAGCACACTTGGCGTTAGTCAGCTTTCCTATCATCTTTCTGTTGGTCTTTTTAATAATTCTTCCCGGTTGCGCTCCCTGGCCACAAGGACAGCATTTACAAAACGGATAGACATCGTCGAAACAGCAATCTTCCTTACAATTTTTAGAAGCACAACACGCATCATACCTACAATTGAACGCAGGAATTAAAAGGATCACTAACAATTAGGAACACACGCATAAACAAAAACAAACTCATCAAACTCGTTTAAAAGTAGTAGTCTCCATGAACGACAAAAGTATGGTACCTAGAATCAATGTGACGTGGGATCGGGGACAAACTGCTATCGGGTATCTTTGAATCGGAGCAACGGCAGAATGGCCATCTATAGGCAGACCTACACATCTTGCATTTCATAATACTACAGCAAAACGCAGCACTGGAAGGGAAGAAACTAACAATGTGAAAAATGTGTTTGAGAGGGGAAGCAAAATTGTCCATTAATTATGTATAAACGATCTTTATAAATGTACCGAGCCATCCGTAAAAATGAAAAATGTACATAGAGCCAAGATTGTACCGGTATGATTAAAATACAATTAGCACAAGCACTTACAAGCTAAATACTGGGGTCTTCGCAACTGATCTTGACTTCCCGTTGATATTGATAAAATTCATCTCTTTAGAGACGCGCACCAGACAATTTTTCTCTCCATTTTGTCGTTTCTTTCTGCGCGCAGGGTCGTCTGCACAGTCATAACAGTATTGAAATTCAGGTTTATGACAGCATCCTCCTACAAAGGTAGGGCCCCAGATATCACAACACATTGTATTCCTGCAATTACATTTAACTATATATTATATTGTCCCTTAATGGTACCTAGAACAATTTGAAAATATTTGAGTATATGGCGTTGGTAGTCTTGAATAAAACAATGGTAAATAATCACAAGCTGGTATCGAAAATTCTGTCCACTGTGACGGAGCGTGAAGTCCAACAACGCTAAGAGTAAAAGCTATTGAAAACGGCGCCGGAGTATCGTATTCCAAAATGTACCATTTCATGATCATTTACATATGTTTTCAGCATAACTCTGAAGGTATTACTGAGATCTTGATGTATTGATTGGGTATTTTTAATTTTTTTATAAAAAATAATGTTTAAATTTTTTGTCCTCTTTGACTGACCTGTTTCTGATTTGAAATACGTTAAGAATTTAAGATTTATAATATATATTTTACAACTACACTTTAGAGGAGCGAACGTCAAATCTCTTTCGTAAAGTATTCAGTTAAAGGTATTTGCCTCTCGTAGTGCCAACTGTGGATTCATCACCTGACATGGAAATTAACTTGATTATTTGAACTAAAATTATTTGATGAAGATGAAGCTAAATACATATAATGGTATTATATGAACTCTATAGTCGTTCCAAAAGGTAAGTGGAGTGTATCTTGAAATACGAAAATGCAAAATTAGATTTTAAGATTGTTCTTTATTTGAATAAGAGTTATGGTTATCTGATGCAACTACAGTAAAACAAGTGTACATTGAACACATATGGAGCCCCAAAGTGTGTTCCCAGTTGGTATATGTTCACTCCATAGAGGAAGTTTCATACAGAAGTCAGAGGAATATGTGATGAGAAGAGGTGTTCACAAGAGAAAGATGTTCATTGATACAGGTTCCAGCACGTTTACCAAGATATTTATATTTTTAGATAATAATTACAAATAATTACAAATTAAAAACGTATTAGAAAATGCTGAAAGAGTGGTCGTTTTTATATCTCAGATTTATTTTACTCCAGATGTCTCATACTACTTGTCATGAATTAGGAAGGTGATTTGAGACTTTCTCTCCTATAAGGGTACTTTTAAAATTCATAATTTGAATCTTAAATGCTTAACGTAGTTCACAGTTAAAACTGCTCCGTCACAGCGGGCAATAAATTCAAACATTATTTTTTATAAGAAATATTAAACATACCCAATCAAAATCGTATTAAAGTAATGTGGAATGGATGAAATGTTAGTTCAACCTACATATGAATAAGAAAAACTGAATCCCAAAGCACATTGGTACATATAAACATCGTTTTTACTGACCTTGGTTGTGTTTTGACTTCACAATTCAGCGTTTTCAACAGAAATAAATTTGCTCACACTTGCACATTGTTTGGGATTCCCTAGTCAAAGGTCATGTGACTAATAATCAGAACGAGGCTATGACCTGTGAGCTATTCCAATTGAGAGGTTAGGAGAATTTTTTCATATTCTAGGTTCCACTTATTTCTGACGGTTTTCTATACAATCACTGAATCTCTTTCTTGCAAAAGAATAACTATTATATCAGGAACACATAATTAATAAAACATTATGTAATCACTATGTACAGAACACGAAAATTACTCTTTTCAAAAGTAGGTCACATTTTCTCCCAAGTTTTATATGCAATATTGCTCTGAACGAAATGCAAGAAAATGTGTAAACAAACATACTTTGGTGACGTCATCAACTTGAGTGCAAAATTCGAAGTGGACGATGTGAAATCAAATTCAATGTACCCACTTCAATATGAGAAATCTCCGCTATCCTTGAGTAATATGAGCTGAAGTTACCCCAGTAGCAAGGTAAGACATTGCTCTTCGTGGGATATTCAATAGATTTTGCTAAAAATGCCTTAAACGAAGGCCATATCACTTTAATACATGTACCTTCAGAGGGGTTGTTCTTAATTACAACTTCAAAATGATGGTTTAATCTATCAAAATTGAAAGGTTAATCCGGTAGCCGCTAGTTGCATTTGCGAATACAAGCTTAATAAGTAATGAAACCTATCCCTTTAATTAGGCTAATTAAAGTATCATTATTTGTACTAATAAGGCTCCCTGATGGCAAAGTGTTAGAATTAGAATTACAAACAAATATATCACTGTTACAATAAGGCGATGATATTGTTCCTGAGACCAAGTCTGATTTTTTATCCAATAAATGGCGTAATCCAGTTGGAGTACAAAGGATCTGGTATTTGTGCACCGTCATGGCCTAAATGAGCTCATGTATCAATATTAACTAGCTATTTTAAGCCATATAGTGCATAATTATACAGAAAAATGGATGAATGGAAAGATGGCTTTGGTATTGGAATGTAGACCATTAACAGCAGACTAATAATCAACATATTAAAAAATATTGCAAAAAACATGATAAGGGAGTTGCTATACAGCGTGTCCCGAAAGTATGCCCCCCCCCCCCCCCCCCCCCTAGGCAGACATATACCAGTGTCGTCATAGTATGTGTCATATATCATTTTAAAGCGTATCCAAAGTTACATTGATTCGCCAAGTATCATGGTTTGACTCTCAAATGTGAAAAAATAACAGGCATTTCAAAAGTTAGTGTTTGGTCAAAATTAAGTTCAATTTTACACCAAATCACTAGTCAATGTGTCCTCCCGGGCCATCTTAACAGCAGCAATTCTTTTCCGGTCGGAGGGATATTGAGGGTCAATACAACCCACGTGGGATTTGTTTTGGTCATGGTATTGGTCATGGTATAGGAAAAGTAGTACTTAAAACACTAGTTTGCTACTTTGTAGATGTATGGCACGTATAATGTATTGACAATTAATGTTTGGTAATAGCTAGTAGGAGTGTCAGGGACCGCTGACAGATTATAATTTTGAACCAAAAAATTGAATTATATTTTTGGCGGTCTCAGTAAATCAATGGGGTGATCAGGTCCTACGTGCTTTTTACAGGCCCAGAAATCAATGCTCGCTTATAAATGTAGCAAAATCTTTTTTCGTTCGTGGGATATTTTTTTCACCATATAACCGAACGGGAAGTTTTTGAATAGGACTACATGATCTGAATGGATGCGAGGATTCGATGGGCTGGGATTTGAGCAATTATGATTTGAACTTTGCCAATTTTACATGTATTCCAATGGGTGAAAAAGTAAGTTGCTTTCTACCTGAGTTGGAAAAAGAGAACAATGAGGGTAGAAACTCTAAGGAAACTCTTCTAAAGTCCCTGAACAGGTTTTAAGCGGGTTATAAAATTCCACATCCATATTTGAAGGGCTTTTAAGGTCATATCTGAAACTAATTGCTGATGTTAACATGGCCGAGGGGGTACACATTGACTAGTAATGTGTTGTAAAATTGAACTTTATTTGACAAAACACTAACTTTTAAAATGACTGTAACTTTTTCCCATTTGGGAGTTAAACCATTATACTTGGCAAATCAATGTCACTTTGGATAAGCTTTAAAATGATATCCGACGCATACTATGAGGACACTGGAATATGTCTGCCTAGGGGGGTATACTTTCGGGACACCCTGTACATATTGCTATATTGTATAGCTGAATAAAGCGGAATAAATAGATGTCACTACTTGTTTATATTTGTTTTGGTTGAGCAAGACTGCCATACAGGCTTCCATGTTAAAAACTTGCAATAGTTATTATGGGATGACCCTGCTAATGGGGACATATGCTTAAGACTTACATGCTCATCGATGCCCACTCAGGACCTGTTCCATCTCTTGAGATTTCCATTGAACTTTGAGCGAAACAAAGATTCTTGCTATCATTTCTCAGTCTACTTGTAACAGTTTTCACTCTATCAAGGCTTACAGTGACAGATCCTTTCCTCTGACTTCTGATGGGTACATACTTAAACATTGACGCCACCTCATTAGTTGGTCTACCGCATGCGCAAAAAGGTTTAGTGTCTGTGTAGCAACACACAAAAGGAGACTTACACTTCCCATCACGAGCCATGATATCACAACATAACTCTGGTCTAAAATGAAGCAGTATTTCATTGACGGTAACAGTCTCTAGCATTCCTCTATCAACCATCGCATGATTTAAATCAAACGACTCTCGTTATGAAATAATGATCAATACTTAAAATAGGATTTGAAAATAAGTTCTAATACGTACAGATAATATCTAGTTGCAACAGTCACATTAGGTTTAATTTCAATAACATGTTCGGGTCGTTGGTCGGGTACCTTCCCGGGTCTAAAATCGGGTTTAAGAGAATCTTTCCCTGGTTCGTATGGCTTCATTGTACAGGTCAAATCCTCCTTTCCTTTACCCAGAGTTAGTTTGCTCGTTAATTCCAGAGGAGGCAACATTAACCGAGATTCAGTACTAGCACAACATTGGCAAATCAATTCCGGCTCGTCACAGCACTTGTCTTTGCACTTGAGAATGTCACAACAAAATCTAAACCTGCCCAAAAACATCAATTATTTACATGTAGTCAAGGGTGGTATACAAACGGTCTTAGTCCCTATATCATACCGTGTTCACGCCAGGATTATTTGAAGATGATAATCTATAAGAAAAAATATGTCACACGGATTCACGGGGCCTCTAATCCTTTGGACACTTCGTAGTTCGTGCACTGATTTGATATTGCTTTGTAATATGATTAATATATAGCAGCAATATTTGCAAAAAAGACAAATGTTACCTTGTCAGCACATTCTAGTTACTGTTAACTTTAGACAATATCAGATGCGAAAAAGACAACCTACACGTCAACGAAGTTTCCAGCATCTGATATGCATTCATAAAGTTCAGTACCATCATTCAATTCACCACCGGCTGCATGATCGAGCAAACTAACCACCAACAGTACTACATGTAGCATTCCAGCGGCATTAAACAGCATCTAGTCATATTGAATATAATAGAACTAATATTAATTTAATTTGATAGATTTCAATTAAATCAGGAATTCATATCAACAAAGCATATTATATTATTTATTATTTCAATCCATTTTGGATGCTCTGCAAGGGGTAAGGTATCCTGCCAATGATCACAGTTTATTGATGTAATGCGATGACTACTTGAGTTTTCAGTAATATCTAAGAAATACCAAGATGGCAGAAGGGTCCGTTTTACATGTTGTTCTCTGTTACTTGGACAGTGAGGTCGAGGTCAAAGGCGTAGCCAGGGGGGGTGCGATCGGCGCCCCCTTAACCAATAAAAATATAAATAAAGATAAAGGAAGAAATTAGCTTTAAAATTATTTTTATTTGAAGCTTCTACGCACCCCCCCCCCCCCCCCCACCTGATTGAAAGCTGTCTACGCCCCTGGAGTTGGTAGATAATTCATACATGTGTAGTTGTATTATAGCGTAAGTTGTCGAAAGAAGATACGAAAGAAATATCTCTTCAGGTAGACGTTTTTGAAATGTCAAAAGTCTTTTATTTAGAATTCGCATACATTCACAATACTTCAGTAAAACTTGAGAGCATTTTCTATGACATAAACTACAGTATACAATCAAAGACATCCACTAAGATTTCCAATTCTACGAACAAAAAATAACGAATCGACAAAAACCTCTTACCTTTATTACGATATTGGCATATATTGTTTGTACAATATGTACTCTGTTGTTGTTTCATGTATATCCACAGATTAGAGTTTGTTTTAATGCATAAACGGTGAAGAAAATAATACTTAAAAGCTGATTTTACCTTGACATCTATGTCATTTTACAATGCAACAATAGTGTTCCATACAGTTAATTGTGGAGGAGTGCACAGTTGAATCAACAATTATGATAATGGCTAATATACCAGATCATTTATAGAATTGATGTTTGATTTATATTACATTATCAGGACATAAAGGGTTAAAATTGAATGCTGCGAAACAAACGTGTATTTATTACGCTTCATAGTTTTATAATGTCAATCAATTCTAAAATAATTTCAATCATGCAAGCTAATAATCATTATTAACAATTGCTGTTCTCAAGATTAATTCAAAATTGCACGAATGCATCGAACTCAGTTCGAAAACAGGTTTCACAAAAATGTTTAATATCTAAGGGTCAGAGCGTACAGATTGTGCGACGACTCTAATCTAAGTGTGCATTCGCAATTTCAACCGCCGGCTGACCGATAACAGCTTTTAAAATCAAATTCATTTGAAAGGTGGTTAATCCGTCAGCCGAAAGCTGGTAGTTGAGTCCGCGAATTTAATGCTACTTGAGATCATAAATTTCATGTCATAATTATAAATTGGGACATATTGTTATAGTCTTCAACACTTTTCGTGGACGGTATTCTGCGGTTGGCGTCTGTAACAAATGGCAGGTGGTGACATTTTGCATGTTAATTCCTTGTTATGCTGCTATATCTTAGCTATGCACGACTTCCTATTGTTTGGACCAAAACTTATGCATAATTTGGGTCGGTGGTAGTAAGTATAAAATTGTCAAACTGCCAGGTACTTCATTCAACCATGGTTGGGCAAAGTGTGACCAATTCGAGCCTATCAGAACACGCCATTTCACGTAACTGCATTGAACCGAAGTTCAATACTGGGGCATATTTCAAATTTTGACGTTCCATGTTCTTACTATGTAAATATCGGGAAAGTTCGGAAAGCGAACATACTCATGTTATATATCAAAATCTTCGTATAGGTACCCTCTAAAACCTCATTTGTATATTTTACATGGAATTTTTCATTTTAGAGCATTTTAGAGCATCCTTCGTGTATCAAAACGTTAGAAATATGCCGTCACGCGTAACATTTTTGGAGCGCGCTATTTTTCAAAGTGATGTAGAATCATTATTTTTTCATCAATTTTGATGAGACAGGTATGAATCACTTCCTGAGACAATGATCTTTATTATGACGTCATTAGTTTTAAGGTAACAATGGAATGTGACGCTGATTTTTCAACTTCAAACAAAATCCAAAGGCCGTCACGCTGGGTATTTTGACGACCCCTAGATAAGCAAAATGCCATTTATTTTGGAATTAATTACTTTTAAAGGCTGAAATTAAAATAAGAAACAAGGTTTTAGCTAAAATTAATAAATCTGAAGAATAAATATTAAATTTCCTTCAAATTTCTTAAATATCAAATGATATGTAGGGTACGAAAAATGTCCCATTTAGTATTTTTAGCTTAAAAATGCGTAAACTTGAAATCCAGCCATCACGTGCACGCATTAAAATTAAGAAATATATCAAAATAAAAACATTTTAGATATAGGTTTTTAATATATTTTGATCGTGGAAAATTTCAAACATTTTCAAACATGATAACTTGTCAAACGATGCGAAAGAAAAGGGTACAAAAATGTCCCATGTAGCTTTTTGACGTCTTTTCATTGAGAATTTTACAGAAAAGCGCAATTGTTCATCACTCGTGACGTTACAAAGTATGCCCCAGTATTGAACTTCGGTTCATTCCGTAATCTAACCAATAACAAACTCAAGGTCACTAGTTAAACAGTTGTCATAGTGATGACTGGAGCTTCCAGATTGATTTTGATACTTTGCCAGCTTGACCCTTGCAAAGAGTTTCATTGAAAAAATTTCATTTAAAGATTTTCTATCTTTTCGATGATTTTGTAGAAAATATTTTCCAATGTGCGAAAATAATCCAAACCCAAGACTCAATGCATTGTGTAATGACCATTCCTTTCAGGTGTTGTTTCTTAAAAGGTCCACTATACTTGATTTAGAAGAAAAAAGAAAAAAATATTATTGAAACATATTACTCACACACTCGCTCAAATATGTAACAAAGTTTGATTTGCTTTAATATTAAACCAAGAAAAAATAACTCACATAGAAAAAAGCATTTGAAGTCCAGAGATCATTAGACATGCATGCACCTGCTAAACAAAGTGCATGTTTTTAATTACTTTTGGTTTAAAAGATGGTGACACTTCTATGAAAATGAATGTACACTCCCCTCCATAAGTTTGGCAAACTTTTTTCCCCCATTGAAGTACGTGTTAAAGCCTCTTTACCTTTGAATTTTTATTTACTTAACCTGCGATGAAAATACTTACACTATTGATGGGAACGTAATTTGACTTTATTTCCAATACCTCAAAATTTTCTCAATTTTTTTCCTCAATTACAATAAGTCGAAAATTGATGATAAATTTGATGAATTTTTGAAAATCGACATTCCCATGTTAACCAATGGGAAATGGTTGGTTTGCCGCAAGTCATATGACAGAATATCCATCCATCCGAGTCCTTGCAAAAATACGAGTTAGGCAGGCAATTGAATTTGCTAACTTTATTTACAAAAAATTGATATGTTTCTTCAGGTTCAACAAAGTTATAGGGCTTTAAAGTCAAAATTGTTTTTCAAAAAACCTCTCCTATTGAAATAACACAGGAGGCGAAAAATTATTTTTAAAAATGACTTTGAAGCGCTGTAACTTTAATATTCATCAAATAAACTAAACACTTAGTGTTCAAAAATGTTAGACAATTCAATTTTCTATATAAATTTTTTTTTGCTGAATCTTTTACTGAAAAGATATCCTGATTTCTGATTTGGCCCGAACCCTCTATTTCCCATTGGATTACATGGGAATGACGATTTTCAAAAATTCATCAAATTTATCATCAAATTTCGACCTATTGTAATGGAGGAAAAAAAAATGGAGAAAATTTGGAGGTATTGGAAATAAAGTCAAGTTACGTTTCCATCAATATCATAAGTTATTTCATCGCCGGTTAAGTAAATAAAAATGCAAACGTAAAGAGGCTTTAACACGTAGTTCAATGGGGGGAAAGGTTGCCAAACTTATGGAGGGGAGTGTATCATGTAATACAAACAACTTCGCCATCTTTTAATGACATTGATAAAAACTTGATATATAACGTTTGACAGATCAAAAATATTTTTTGATTAATTATTGTAAGCTTTGATGTGGCCCGTTTGAGCTGTTGTTGTTGTCAAATGAAATATAGGGTTCTTATCAATACATTGGGCATTCTATAGAATTCAAATAAAAGTCTTTATTTTCCCCCAAAACATTGAAAATACGCGAAGATTAACACTCTGCATCTCATGCAAATTTTGGAAAGCAGCACCTTATAAGCAAAGCTATATAGTATTTAAATGTTAGTATGATGTGCACTTCAAGGTAATAAAGTAATATCATACTAATGTCCGATCATAAGTTCGAAAGTTGTGTTTCAAATATTAATTGTATGACTTATACGAGACCAATGGTAATGCAACCAGGGGGAATCGGACCTGCAGGCCTTATTATTTATACAGTCATGTTTTTTTCTGTTTTGAAAAATTCGATATGTGACTAATATTTCTCAGCTTTCTGATCTGTCTGCATGGGGTGTAATTAGCGCTTGTTTTGAATGCGCGCTATAAATTGCTATATTTATTCGTTCACGGTTGCGTTGTAAAAAAGATTGCTAGCTTAAAAACTCTCCATTAGCATCAGGACGTAATAATACTTGCCTTTGTAATAGAGTAGATGATGATACCGTTTGGTATAATAAGATTATTAGCATTAGAAAAATAAAGTGACATCACAACTTTGCTAGCCTCAAGCCTCAGTCAAAGTCCCTCTATGGCGGACTTACGGCGACGGCAGCTTTGCATCATCGATATAGAAAATCGGAATCGTACTGCTTATTCCTATTTTGTTGCATAATATTTCTCTCGATTTTGGGAAGCTGCGGCCGCCTTAGTTACGTTTGACCGAGGCATTATTTACTGGTGACAACAAGTTAACTAACTGATAAGAAGAATATATATTGTAGAGCATGATTTTAACATGATCTCATTTATATCAAAATATAAAAATACTTAAGTCGATAGCAAATTGATAAATATAGTTGATTGGTTGAAGATGTCCAATGTAAGTTTTGAAAAGAACTTAGGATGTACCATATGCTTGTAAGTATAATTGTGTTTTTGTATTGAAAAATATTATTTATTTTTCTACGAAATCAAGCAACAAGTACATTCAAACTTTGTGCACTCGTGTGTAGCAGGATTCACTCTCGAATGTATGGATATCGCGATCACCTGTCGGCTCCTCATTTACTGATACGCCACACCTAAAGTACTCGTCGTGATCTGTGAAACTCACGGTGCGATGAAATCGTAAATGAGTTACCGACACGGATTTACCCAACAAACCACTGGGGAACCTCCAGTATATAAAGTACTTATTTTCAAATGTGTCTAAAATTTGCGTGTTGCCATCGCACCACTTGAAAGATGTTACTTCAGAACCTCCTGCATTCGCGTGCAGACAAATTCAACTGTTTGGCTGTCGTATGCATAAATGGAAGTGTCTTGACACTTTGGTCTATGTGGAAGTAAAAAGATAAATACAGGGTGACCGAAAAAAGGAGACCATAGAATGCAATATCTTCTAAACTAGACAAAAGACATCAACGAAACCTTGCACTGCACACATCAAGAATGTTTTCTCTTAAACCAATTATTGAAAACATTTTGTAAAAAAACACTGTCCTTTTACTTTATGAAATGTTGACTGATTGACAACAATTTGATATTTTATATATATTTTACATAACTGTTTTTGTTAACATTTTTGTTTTTTGGTGCAATTGTTTTTTGTTCCTTTCTACCAATTCTTGAGAATGAAATAAAAAATATTTCCGAACCTTTTGGAACAAAATAGCATAAAACATTTTCTCAGACTTCTCAACATTATAGCTATACAACTGAAATTTTGGTTGATTTAACAAATAGTATTCAAAGAATTAAAACAAAAAAACAAAAATAGATAAAAATTAAGATATACCTTTTATTTCATTAACACTAGATACTTTTTTGAAATCAACCAAACTTTCCTTTGTACAATTACAATATTGAGAGACCTTAACAGGTTGTGTTTATGTCATTTTGTTCCAATGAGGTTCGGAAAGATGTTTCATTTCATTCCGAACATATGATACCAAGAACAAAAGAAGTGTCTGGTGTGTTTTCTAAAACAATATAGTGAAAAGTATATTTATGTTTTTCAAATTATATTGTTACCATTCAAAAGAAGACCATGTGAAAAAAATGTTGATGACTGGTTTAAGAGAAACGTGTGTATCGATACCAATCCTTTGTTCCTGAAAGTTTAAATACTTCCAGTCTACAACCAGGCAAAACCAACCCGGCGACCTCACGTCGACCGTAGTTCTCTGAAATTAGGAAAGTCCTGCAGCAACCATAAGACAGCTACGGTCGCATTGCGGTCTCCGATCGACATATCCAGTTTTTTACAGGACGTAGAGTCGCCGTAGAAGATATAACTCGGAATTAGCCTTAGTTATATTTGCTACGTTGACCGTACGATCTATGATTTCCGGCCAGAAACATTCCCACGGTCGCCAAGTAGAGTATCGTTATAATTGCTACCTCGGCCGTTTGGCTTGTTTCGATTTTGAAGAGACATAAAAACTACGGCTGACATACGGCTGATAAAGGATGTCGCACGGATAGCGTAGGGCATCCCTACGTGTACGTAGTTTTTTCTTGACAAAAATCAAGGTAGACGCATGGCAATCGCAATTGTAACACACGATATCCGCAATTCAACCGTACACCCGGCGTACGACCGCCGTGGGACCTTTCTACGGTTTGGCTGCGTCTAGTTGATTTCACGGTGACCGCAGTAAAAATATACATGTCAGTAAATGCTGTGAGTACCAAAATTACCAATTTATATACTAATAAATCGACACGAGTACGATGCATTCGACAACATGTAGAGATATACTTGTAAGAATTAAGAGTACCCTCAAATCTTATCTTTTAGACATAGCGATGCACAACGTCGTGTCAAAAGATGTACTTTAGCGTTTATCGCTCTAAGTAACTTTATGCAACAAAGTCATTCTTACTACCAGAAAAGAAATAACTGTATGTCACATTGAGCAAAATGTGGACCTCGTTAGCGCTGCTATTGTTTGTGGGGCTTGCTTATGCAGGTAATTATATTTTATGCAATATTATTTACACCTGATAAGTTCTCAAAGCTTTCAATGTAAACTATTTACCTAAAGATAAATATAGCAACTTTTTAATAATTTTACCATACTTATGACTATCCATCGCCCATTTTATAAATATAACACCCACCCTATGTTAATACAGAACGAGCAAAATTGCAAGGGTGTGAGTATTGCTGTAACGGGGGTCAAATTTTTCCTGTTTTTGACCTCTGTAACTATGTTACATACATGTATGTCATATGCTGTATATTGGTCTAAGATGCATTTGGCAGGAGAAATTTGTAATTTGCTTTAATCGAACTATTTGAACTGAGCTGAAAAATCCAGGAATTCAACACCCGCAAAAACAAAGACATTTGTTTTTTCTGTTTTATATATACTTTCTAAAAACCACGGTCCCATAGCTAATTCTTGCAATATTTGATATTCCATGATTATCTGAAGCTCCAAATTGGTTTCAATTTTGAGTAAGGAATTGAGGTGATTACGAAAAGGTTTCATTTTACGATCGGACACTCACACTCCTGTAATGATTTCTATTGCAGCCGAAGACCACAAAGGTACGCGATTTATTGTGGCCTTCATGGCCCAATTTCGCAACTCTGAGACCGGTCACAATGAAGTTGTTATAACCGCGTCAAGGCGCACCACTGTACGTGTCCAGTCACCCCAAGGAAGTTTCGATGAAATATATGTCATCGAGGCCGGAGAAGTAGAAAGAATCCGATTTCCTGGAGCCGTACGAATGTTTTATAACAGAGCCGAACGAAAGGGTATTTTGATAACATCCAATTACGAAGTCAGCGTTTATTGCAATAATGCTGGAATTGCTGGTGAATCATTCTTGGCACTTCCGGTCTCTGATTTTAACGCCACGCTAACACAAGAATTCCTTATTCCATCATATAATGCGTTAAGCGTCACCTACTCTCTCATTGGTATCGCAGCACAGGAAGAAAACACAAACGTCCAAATTGTCCCTCCTTTGCCAGATGGTGGGCATGATTTTGCAAATGCACTGAATCTTATGATGATGGAATTCGAAACGTATCAGCTGGCCATACGAGGAGGCGACACAACCGGCTATCTTGTAACATCTGACAAGCCAGTGGCGGTTTACGGTGGTGCTTCGTGCGTGTTTGTGCCCACTGGTGTTCAATACTGCGATCATATTGTAGAACAGATACCTCCAATATACACCTGGGGCGAGTACTTCGCCACAGCGCCGATTCAGCCACGTCGAGCAGGAGACGTTTACAGAGTGCTTGCATCAGAAAATGATACATCAATCACTGCCTTTAATTATGGAACAAGAAGGGGTCTGAACAGAGGGCAATTCTTTGAGTTTGAAAGAAGGTCGAATGACTTCAACTACTTTATCTGCTCAAAGCCTTGTCTTATTGTCCAGTACAACAAAGGTATAGTGGAATTATTTAATGTCAGTTACGCACCAACCTGGTAAACCATTTGAATGGTAAATCAAATCCTTTATCAGTAAATTCCAAAAATACATGCAAGAATTATATTGTTTTTAATTCCTAGGTATTTCTGCCGACAATCTTCGCGGTGGGACGGATCCGTTCATGATGATTGTGCCACCTGTAAAACAGTTCACTGGTCCAGTCATATTCACGACATTCAGGAATCGCGTCGAACGAGATTATGCCAACTATTTGGCAGTTATAGCATCCTTACAAGTCGCAGGAGGATTGACCATCAATGAGCAAATCATACCGAGAAGATTATGGAGTCCAATTCCGGGAACCAACTACACGACTCTTCTAATAAGTGGACTATTGTACCGGACATACAGAATTGATCACTGGGCGCCAAATGTAGAGTTCATGGCATTCTCTTATGGACATCAGGGTATTGAATCGTACGGTCACCCAGTTGGATGTGGGTTGAAGTCAAACAAAATCGGTAAGATCCTTTAAAACATTCCCCATTCATATTCGAATGATGAAATTTTCTCTCTAATGAATCCACAGATTTGACAATAAATTCGCGACATCAGATATTAGGGAGATTAAGTTACACCCTGTACGTAAAGGTGTAATATTTCGACCCCCGGGATTACTGTCAACCAATTAAATACTACAACCAGGATACCCAATTCATAACTCAGGGTTACAATTCTACACGTTCACGTACACGTTTTTTAAAACGTGGAACTTAACCTCCCTATTAACTTGTATTCGCGAATGCAACTTTCGGCTGCCGGTCATCGGATTAGCCTACTATTTTATGGGCAACTTAAACATGAATAGTACCTGCCACTATTCAATTCATATTTAAATGAGTTGGTGATAAATAGTAGGTCGATTCGGTAGTTAACAGCCGAAAGTTGCATTCACGAATTCAAGCTATTGGAGAGGTTAAGCTACCGTATAAAATCCAAAACGCAACTTAAACGTATCAATCGGCCCTATACAAATACATGTAGAGTTCACACATAAATAGCCGTTCAGCTCTAGTGTTTGTTTAGACTACACCATAGCTTGTAATGATTACATAGTATCCCATTGATGAAGTTCAATAGCTGGTTTTCTAATACATATTTTAAACGAGCTCGTTTCGTAAGATTATTGGAGTTAAATCATGCGTAACATACATCATCTTCTTCAGAAAGAATTATACTCTGCATCGAAATCAAAATTGCAAGGATAGTATTCAACAGACATGAGTATAATGATTCCCGTTGATAGCAACGTGAAATTTCTAAATCTCCCGTTCTAAACAAGCAACTTTGAAGTTGAACGGGTATCTGAAGTAGACTAAAGCGATACAATCCTATGTTGATTCAATGTACTTTGCGTTTACGTATACGTTTTGAAAAACCGTATTTGCTTAACCTCTCCATTAGATCGATGTTTAATACTTGGAAGATCAGGAGGGCCTTTAGCTAGACTCAGTAAGACAGTAAACTACTACACTGACTTTGCTTTTTAGACTTTGTTGACATCAATTACATCTACCAATATGACTAAAGCTGTCGACTGATACAGATATTGTATTCATATTCCCTATTTTAGTGGATCTTCCAACACCACCCCCAACCACACCAGAACCCACTACGCCACCCGGGGGACCATTCAATGAAAAGTAAGTTCAAGTTCAAGTTAATAATTTAATTGGACTGGGGATTCTAAAATTTTATTCTATTCTGATATTTGATAACCGCATATTTCAGCAAATTCAGCCCCATTAAGAAGAAAGGTAAGTACATAGTATGCAATCGTCAGTTTTTATATATTATGTTACAATCTTTGGCGAATTATTCTGAACCTCAATCATTACTCGTTTAGGTGTAACTGTACCATTCGACTCGAGGCCAATATAACGGCAGGTGAAAGTGAGCCTACGGACGTCCTGTATCAGCTAGACTCAGTATGGTACAACAACACCAAAGGAAGATGCTATGGATGTGAAGAAGTGATGGATCAATGCAGAATACAGTGTGATGGTGCTCTACGTAAAATCTACGGCACACAGGGGTTGAATTCGTCAATCCTAATCAATAATACATCCGAGATATTGTACAGACCTCTGGGGCAGGTTATGTGTGATGAATGGTCGAGGACACTCTCACCCCCTGGTTTACGTTTGGTAGCTTATTATGAGCCTGGTACGTGTGGTGGAACTTTCCATACCTTTGTAGCTCCACAAGCTCTGTGTTGTCAGGAGCTTGATGTTCCAGAAATTGGCTCCGTTGTTGTATGGGACGCGCAGTGCGATGCGGATGTTGAATTGCCAACAAATTACCAAGTAAAATAGTAAATGAATGCGACCCTTAATATAAGAGACTTCTTCAAAGTAAACAAACCCCTTAAACAGCTATGTTACTGAGCATGAACTGGTCCACTTTTTGATTTGTTTTGAAATTGAATTGGTCCTACAAGGTGACACAAAAAATGCCACCCACATAATGTTGCATAACGCTTTTGTCTGCACGATTTCTTACTAACGGTCATAAAAGTACATCTAGTTGAGCTAGTCATCTGAAACGTGTGGAGTTGCTCCATGGAATTTAGTTTTAATGAAGAAAACATGGGGGATCATGCATACAAAGGAGTTATGCAACATTATGTGGGTGGCAATTTTTATGTCACTCTGTACTTTAAATAGAATTAAGGAAGTCACACTCCATGATCAATCATCAACATGTATCAGCAGCACGCAATTTTTTAAATTGCACATTATATATAATGATCTGAAAAATACATTTCTCGACCATGCTTTTATAAACACTCATGCTCATTTTTGTCTATGGGAAATGTACAAGAAGGGGTTAAAAGAGATTAAAAAGATAAAAAAAATATACATCATGATTCATAACTTTCTATTTATTTTATTTAGCCATCTATGAAACATGCATAGGAAGCACAGAAACGTAACCTTATCCCACCTTATCACAGCTAGAAGACGTACTCTTGATTGGCATTCGAATTTTCTGTTAAATTCTACACTTTCCAATTACACATCGTCTCGTCAAAAAAGTTTTCTTAAATCCATTCATAGCATAGCCCTTTTCAAGCGGATAATCATGAATATTCCCTGTAGTACAATATCTTGTCTAGCTGATATGATCTTTCACCGCATTATTCACCCTAGAACTGGATTCGCCTGTCCCACATGCATTACTATAACAGACATGTCAAAGAGATTTCTCTCTTCTAGGAAGGCAGGCTGTCCCCAAACCCAACAGATCAACGGAATATTCTCAATTCTCTGTAAACTTATTTCATCCTCCGATCGCAGAGCTCTAAGATCCATATCTTCTTTCTCTTTTAGATTCATTCATTATCTCAATATTGATTAAGTCAACCGGAATTGGAGATATTAAAAGGAATATTCCGTGCGAGACAATCTCTCTCCTAATATGGTAGCTACAACCATATATATACTTACCATGTTTAGCAGAACACGGAAAATGTTTTAATATGGTCAACATTGGTCATTTAAAAATGTAGTGCTCAATTCCAGTAGGCTGCCATCTTCTTAAGATTTCACTCAGGAAGTGATGTCATCGACTCTCAACTTTGTATATAATATTAGGCAAGGAGCTACTAAGAATTACAAAACCAGCATTCTGATACTCATAGCATCTTTCTGTTTCACCTGAAACATCTCAGGGCTGAGAAGATTTGAGATGGCATGGTTGATCATGATGCAAAACCAGCTGAATATTATTTTTCAAATTTGTCTCCTATTTAAACCTTTTAAGAGTCTCTTCTTTTATTCTAAGCTGACAAGCTCTGAAAATATTTTTGTACATAAAGTAAGGACCACTTGTCTAGAACTGATTTTGTGCTACTTTCTTAGACTGTTTTAGGCAAGGTCATGAAAGTTGAGAGTTGATGACATCACTTCCTGAGTGAAATCTTAAAAGATGTCAGCTTACTGGAAATGAGCACTATATTTTTTAAATGATCAATATTGACTATATTAAAAAGTTTTCCCATGTTTTGCTAAATATGGAAAGCATAAATATGATTAAGGCTACCATATCAGGATAGAAAAGGTCTGACCAGGAATGTCCCTTTAACTAGCAATCAACCCATCAACCCATCAACAAAGTTTTTTCAAAGATGTTGATCTTCTTTTCACCAAAAATGCAATCATTTTCAATTGCAATTTTTCCCCATGTTATTTTTCCATTTAAAAATCTCATACTGTGTATCGATTGGTTTCTGCCCTCTCTTACTACAATTAGAAGAAACCAAATTGCAAAATATAATTATCTCAAGATTCGTTATGCCATGGCTTATAAGTAGCAATTCTTCATGCACATTGCTACCTTCAGGTACAACATACGACATCAATCATGCATCTGGCAACTATTTTTCAATGCAAAAAGATGACACGGTTTGGAAAGGCTTATTACAATAATTTGCTGAAAAGGATATCAAGGCAGAAAAAATATTGAATATTTGTTGACAATAAAAGAAGGTTGACAATGATTTTGAACTTTCCAAGTTTGTTTGTAATCACTACGAGTGCACGACAGATACAATTTCAAAGGTTGATAAATTGACATTAGCGGCAATTGTTGACAATGAATGAATGACGTGTCAATATGTTGAGTTCAACTTGGTACAATTTAAACAAGTCTGACAACATTTAAAAATAACAAAGTCCATTGATTGTTCAGTTATTGATATAAATATTGGTATTTATTTTTAATACAATGTAAATAGGATGTAGATAAAAATAGTGTATCGTGTTTAAAATTATATTAATGCAACCCATGTATGAGATAATGATCAAGACCTTTTTATTGTTGATTTTGAATTCCGAGATCTATTCCCGTTTGCATCATTTCTATTATTATCTCTTTTATAGTTATACGGACCGGAGTTACACTAATTCGTACCCAGGCGTAAGTCTCTCACGTGCACGTGATTTACTTTACTTGAAGACCAAGGAGGATTGGCTCCCAGAGTGCACCACCGATATTCTGTCCCATATATGGGTATGTCGTAATACAAAATTCGAATTCAAACAGCCGCCATTTTGTTCACTTCAACATTTAAATCGTGAATTTTGGTCTTATTTCCAAACGAAAAATTCCAAAACTCACAAGAAATGATCGAGATATTTGTTCGAATCTTTTGAACTGTTTATGCTGAATTTATAGTCGGTTTTAATTTCAGAAAATAACTACATTTCGACGTTTTTATTGTTGGAAAATATCGAGTTTCGATCCTGGGAGCCAATCCTCCTTGCTTGAAGACAATATTTAAATATAAAATGACGTCATTGTTTTCTTATTATTTGCTAATGGGTTATTTCACAGAAAACTACGTGAGGAGGAAATGAATAACTTCTAAATTCAGCTCTGTATACAACAGTGGCATGACTCTGACGCTGGAGAAATCACTCCACTAACGCAGCAATTAGCTCTCCCACATTCTTTGATGGCACAGCATACTTCATATCTGGAATAACAAAAAAGATGACATATCTATCTGTTTGAAAATATTACTCCATGTAAATATATTTACATGGGAATAAAGCTTAATAAACAATAGATGTTACGGTCCAGGGTATAATATGTTCACAAAATGTATCCCCACCAGACATAATAGTCAGATATACCATTAATTCATAGTCGAGATTTAACGAAATCCTTACAAATATAAAGGGGTCTGGTAAAATATTTCTTTGTGTGATCTTTTTCCTAGTATCATCATAGGGGGAGCCACCTCCACATAGCATCCCTCTTCATCTGATATTCCAGCGACGCATTTGGTGGGTTCATTGGCAATTGTGCCGAACTGAATTGTACTTGTAGTTTCATTGGCTGATGAGCAGCATTCGCAAAAAGGACCTTGTTTTGTGCGGCAACATTTGTCTTTACAGTTGCTTATTTTACAACATGTCAGTTCCCTTTAAAATTTGAAAAACAAAATGTAAAACTCATTGATTAAAATAATAATCTGACATATTTAGTATCAGTTTTAACTGACCAATAAATCCTGCTTCAATATGACAGCTGCATAACCGACAACATATTTTTAAAATCAAGGAAGGTCGAATACAGTCATAAAATAAAGGACTTACAAGTCTACATAATTGGGCAATCTGATGCTAGTGTCTGTTTCTACCCAATCTGGTCGTTCCTGACTGCAATGCTGGTTTAAAACAAGTTTTCCTATTTTGTTGGACATGCCCTTATTAATATGCCTGGAAATACTGGGACAACATTGACAGTGAGGATGACCTTCGGTGAAGCAACACTCGTCTTTGCAGCTCTTAGAAGCGCAGCATGCAACATATCTGCATTAAAATAACCAATGTTTTTTATCATGTTTTATTAAAATCTGTATCTTTCTTTACACAACAATTATATTTTACAAATACAATATAGATGATGATATTATTTTGAATGTTTAATAGTTGTGTTTTCTATTTATTGAAACATAGATTTTCAGAACATTACGTCCCCTACATCTTCGAATTCCACGGTTCTTATACTTTATATTACACAGTTTGAGTTGGAGCACCTGAGACATTGTGAAACAAGATGGTTCCCTGTTGATTTTACGCTTTCTCATAATTAATACAGAAATTATAATCATCATACCAGTGCACCACTGTGGAGACGTGATTTTCTTTAAAGATGAAATAATTAATGTGATTAATATGGAATCATATGTCGCCTAAAAGCTACCTTGAATCGTTGTACTGTCTAAATTTTTTCAAACTGGTAAGACTAGCATCTTGTTGAGGGCGTTTTGGAACACATTGACAAAACGGCCATTTGTCATGAGATATGCAGGTATTGCATTGCATTATATGACAGCAAAAAGCAGCACTGAAAAACAATTATGTTTTTCATAACTTCTGAGGTTCTAGGTACATACCGAGCGAGAATAAATAAAAAGAGCTCAGCTATAGTTCAGAACAATGTAAGTTTAGATTTTGACAATAGATACAGGAGTCATTTTTCTGGTATGTCATGGAAGTCTAAGTGTTTCATAAATATATAGTAGCCCGGACAGAATTGTTCAATGGTCACTTTTTCTTTAATAACTTTTTTAATTTACAGTATTATCAAAATCTGATTACAGATTTGAAAACTAGAGTGAAATTCTGACATACAAAAAAAATATTTATGAAACATCTCTTAATTTAATGATATTATAGGCGTTCATAGTATGAGTGACGCGAATACATAATTCACCATTTTGTCTCATATTTGTTCAAAAATGGCGGCCTGTTTTGTGGTTTGAATGTTCAATTGAAAATTAATATTTAAGAAATATAGGCCTAAGAGAAATCATGTAGACTGCTGCCTTGGTATGAGGTAATGACTGCATTTATAACCCTTTGTTTTAAATTGACTTGTACTGTATGTATACCAGTACTTAAAAAGGTTTGTACATTGTATGTACAGTATATTGGTAAGGTCGCAGGACTTAAAGATTTTTGGCCATTCCATTGTTACTCGTAGTGGATTAGCAACCCTACATGTAGTTCGTTTAAGCTGTGCAACTATAGGGCCATACTGCCACAGTTTGTAATGTCTTTCCCAGTCACACGCCTCTTAACCCATCCTTGGCATGCATGTGAATTGTTCTTCACCTTTTCAATGGCTTCTGAGATGGCTGTTTGGAGCTCTTGAAAAGATTGAGGACCTACTCTCATCACACCCCGCACATTGGGGCGCCACCTTTTTAAATCCTCTTGAACACAACCCCGAACATTTCAATAGAGTTGATTTCATATACCCTCAGAGGGAGTTAATTTCTTGTATTTGATGAATGGTCAGTTGCTGCTGCATTACATCAGGATTGTAACAGTGGCCGCAAGGCCCTATAGTCCTATGACAATCTTTAAATATTAACTTTCAACTGAACATTCAAATTCACAAAATATGCCGCCATTTTGAACAAATACTATGTATTGAGATATTTTTGCAAGGGAACATATTAATTACTAGATTTAAAATAACTTGACGTAAACCATAAAAAGAAAACATTAACTTGATTAACAAATTCATATTTTTTGTATATTAGTAAGGGATATCCCCTACTGATAACAATATTTGAAATAACTCAGAAAGAAATAATATATGACATAACAATCACTTACAATGAATATACTTGTATCTTTGATTTCAACTTGTTGTTAATGAAATTCATCTCCGTTGATATTTGGACCAAACATCCTTCTCCACGACCAATATTCTCTTCGGATTCACACTCGTAACAATAGTCAAACTGCTGTTTGTAGCAACATCCTTTCTTAAATTTGACTCCTCGGATTTTACAACACAATGCACTCCTAAATTACATTGATCAAATGTCTTCGGTTTATACAGGGTGTCCCAAAATTGTACCTAAATGAGACATAAGTAACTCGTTCCCCTTCATCTCATTAAAAAAAGTTTACATGATTAAGAAAAAAAGCATTTGTCAATTAGCAGTAAAAAATTACTAAATAACGTGTATTATTTTGAGTATCTTCCTAAGAAATTTGATATTTTGTGATGTCTGTCGATTAAGAGCTGAACGCATTTCCAAACATGGAAAAATGGGTGACGGTGTGAAAGAAATCATGGTCCCCCTTACTGGGCCTGATTATGTATAAGATAATAAGGGAAAGCGGTCACCATATAAATCAATGGAGAGTAGGACCATAAATTGATAGGACCTTCTACCCTTTTACACCGGTACTGTGTTTTTCTCCAAGAAAACCGGATGAAACTTTCAGCTGTTTACTAGATGATAACTCAATTTTCTGTCAGATATCCAAATTTTAAGAATATTCTTTAATCACTCACAGAGTTATTTCATGTTTGTCTAGGTACAACATTTGGGCAGTGGAGCTAAACAAGCGTTTCTCTAAGAAATATGAGTAGTGGAGATAAACAAGCGTTTCTCTTATAAACTCCTCATCGTTTCACTAATTACCCAGTGAAACCTTTAGATGTTTATGATAATTCAAGTGTCTGTCAGATGGCTAACTTCTAAGAATATTCCTTCATCACAAACGTTATTCCTTGTTTATCTCGGTATATTTTGGGACACCCAGTATATGTATATGTTTTGAAACATTAACAAAGGAAAAGATAGAAGGTCTAAATTTTATATATAAAATTGCTCACAATCTCTTCAAACAGTACGTTTCAAAAATGTTCACCATTAAATATGTTCCATTTGGAAGTGCCGGATACATTATTGATAGACGAATGTAAATTCCCTGAATAGAAACATTCATTTCCATTTTTATCAATCGATGTTCAGCTGTTACTCATATACATTGAACTTTGATAGCACGGGCAATAGAAACAATAAAGCTACGTTCACACCAACGGCGCTTTGGTGGCGCTTTAAAGCGGCTTGTAAAGCGACACAAAAGCGTAATAAAGCTTGATTAAAGCGTCGGGGTCGTAATACAGGTCGTAGAAAAGCTCGGAGTAAAGCGGGATATTCGGCAAGAGCGCCAAACATTTTTAAAGCTACGTTCACAAAAACGGCGAATGCCACGCTTTAAATCGGCGAGCAAAGCGCCGTCATTTTTGTTTACTTTTCCAAAAATATCACGATCTCCTAAGTAATGTTACGGTCTGATAAGCTCTGATACGCTCTGATTTCCCGACTTGTTACGGTTCCTCGCGCTATGATCCCGCTTCGACCAAGCTTTGTTACGCTTAAAATCACGCTTTGATAAGCTTTGATAATCTTTATTACGCTTTGATGCGATTATCACGCTTTAATCAGGCTCTGATACGATTGCCAAGCTCTGTTGTGCATTTTCGAGATCGCCTTCATCATGACGCTTTTGATCAAATGGCTGTATAAAGATGCAGTATATCCATAAAACCATTGCATCTGTGACTCGAGAAGACGATGGCAGAATAACAAGATCCAGAATTTCCAGATGGACCAGATCATGACCTATCCGAAGAAGACATGATGTTTGTCGCACGGCGTGAACGAGCGTGAGAAAGCGTGAGGAAGCTTGTCAAGCGTAACAAAGCGTTTCAATCCTTGATTAAAGCGTCTCAATTCGTTAAAAAGCTTGAGAGTCCTTCATGAAAGCGTAACAAAGAGTGTCAGATATTGATGAAAGCGTCTGACCTCGTGTCAGATCTTCATGCCAGATCGTAGCAAAGCTTGAGACATCTAAACGAAGCGTGTCAAATGGTAACAGACCGTGAAGAGACTGGGGTCCCCGCTTTGAACCAAGCTCTGTTAAGCTTTCCTACGCTTTGGGTCAAGCTTTGCTGAGCTTTGTAACGGTTTGTTAAGCTTTGATACGCTCTCGGCGCTTTAATCAATTCGTAACGGAGCGCCCAAAATTTTTAAACAGTTTAAAATTTTTTGGCGCTCTTGCCGAACATCCCGCTTTACTTCGAGCTTTTCTACGACCTTTTACGACCCCAACGCTTTAATCAAGCTTTGTTACGCTTTGGTGGCGCTTTACAAGTCCCTTTAAAGCGCCATGCTTTGGTGCCGCTTTGCTCGCCCATTTAAAGCGTGGCATTCGCCGTTGGTGTGAACGTAGCTTTAGAGTAATAGTAAAAATACTCACATGTCTACCCATTCCCATTCATCCCTTTTACCAATACTCGGCTTACTGTAACATACGTCTGTACTGTCATTTTTAAGTCTTGAATCAACAGCTTCAATTCTTTCAGGGCTTACAGTGACGGCATCTGTTCTTGTCTTACTATTGATGGGAATATATTTAAACATTGAAGCAACTTCGTCGGTTTGCCTACCGCATGTACAGATCGACTCTGTCTCTATAAAGCAGTTTACAAAAGGTCTCGGACACATCCCACTCTGGGCCAAATTAAAACAACAAAATTGAGGTCTGCAATGAAAATAAGTTAACTATTAGATGAAGTATCATTTGCAAGCATAACCTGGTAAGCATCTGGCATAGTAACGTAGCATATAGATAAATTTTTTAGGAGGTAGCCGTTGTGGTGATGACGTTTCCAAAGCATATGTCAATAACTTCCTTTAAACCATTCCCAATAATTCCAAAAACCAATAGATACCAAACTTGTTAAAACGTCCAATAGTACAATACAGTAATATATATATTAGTATATGCCAGATATAATAAAGTATATGCCAAATATAATATTTAACATAATTTAAGCCACAATTTTATGTTACATTCTACATCCCTGTACTGGGAATGTGAAAAATAAAAGTGTGTTACAAATATATCGTCATTCTATTTCACATCGTTTGTTCAACGAGTAGTACTTACAGATCTATCATCATTTCACCAGTGACTTTATCGTGATGTACAAACGGTTGTAATCCTAAGGGATACGGGGAGGTCCGATTTTCTAGAACTGGATCAATAACACAAGTACGCTCCTCGTATTCACTTGCTTCAGGAGATTCATTTCCATATCTTGAACACCTTTGTTGTATATCTTCAAACTCTGCAGGATGTACCTGATCAAACATAACTTCAGTTTTAGCGCAGCACTCACATAGGTAGTCATTCAGTGGACAACAACTGTTTTGACATGTGCCCTCCAGGACTTCGCAACATATCTTCCACCTACAATGAAACTCTTATAGATAAAGCCATTGCAAAATGCATTGACTCTCCATATTATCAGTAGACACCTTTGACAATCCCATTATTTAGTACTGCGTACTGCCGGTGAATAATTTTGGGCTTTTGACAGTTTTGAGCAATGATATTATATATATATATGTACAAGTACATGTATATATGAAGATATGCTATTTAGTTCAAACGCTCAACTCCATAAGATTGGCAGCCGTAAGTTTTCATTTGATCATGATAACCTGTGAGGGTATATTAATATTTGAATCTTTATCTTGTTCCTTTATTAGAATGTTTCGGAAATTATTCACTTTGATGATATTTTGAAATCGCCAGACACAAACAGGTGTTTATATGCAATTCAGTTCGGTTGCCAAACTTATGGAGGGGAGTGTAATTGTATTTACTTACACTTCAACTGGATCATTTTGTCGACTTGAGGATGGAAACCAACATAAATCGCGTGTCCTGTTCCTGATGGTCGCCTGATGAACATGGCTCTTCGACAAGCCAAGTTGTACCATTGACAACATGATGACCAGTAGATCGATACACTGCATCTGGACAAAAGATAAAAAACAACTTAACTTATCCTATTCCCTGTCTTGTATTCAAAGCGTTATTACCATGTATTTATGCAAGGATCTTATCAAACATTATTGTTGAAGGTTAAAACATCCGTCTGACATACCTTATTAATTCAAAAAGGTCTAACACATTATGAAAACCTTCAATACTCGCTCACGTGATAGAATCCATGAATGAAAATGGCATTAAAGAGGCACAATCTGATTTTTAGCAATGCGTATTGATAGGGCTTTTGAAAAATGCATACCCTAACCATATCATTACCTTACCTTTATTTTTAGAATCTGAACGTCCACAGAAGATTAAATCCAAACGCACTTACCTGTACCTTTAGAATTTGAACGTACATACAAGATCAAATCCAAATGCACTAACCCATATCTTAAGAATCTGAACTTACATAGAAGATAAAATCAAAATGCACATACCTATATCTTTAAAAGCTGAACGTCCACGGATGATCCAATCCAAATGCACTTACCCATATCTTTAGAATCTGAACGTACAGAATATCAAATCCAAATGCACTTACCTATATCTTAAGAATCTGAACTTACATAGAAGATCAAATCCAAATGCACTTACCTATATCTTTAGAAACTGAACTTACATAGAAGATAAAATCCAAATGCACATACCTATATCTTTAAAAGCTGAACGTCCACAGATGATCAAATCCAAATGCACGTACCTATATATCTTTAGAATCTGAACTTACATAGAAGATCAAATCCAAATGCACTTGCCTATATCTTTAGAAACTGAACTTACATAGAAGATCAAATCCAAATGCACTTATCTATATCTGTAGAATGTCTTCCAAATAGTGACAGTAGATTATTTCATGAATGTACTGCAAGATCGATTTTATTTCTTGCACTTATAATGACTATACACTACATACACTATTTTTTAAATATATATCCTAGGTACTTACTATATTGATAATTTTATTTGGTAATTCATACGTTTCATAACATGTTCTGGATCAGTACGTGTCTCTTTAATGGAGGCGAATCTTTTTTCAATCATAATTATCATATTCCTATGGTTGAAAACTGCTGCTTAAACAATAGTGAATAGTAATAGTATCAGAACAACATGCAAATAGTAGCACAAATGATTAAAAATAGTAATAGGATAATCTCATTTACATTGTGTCAAAGTCATGTAAACAAATACTAATATCAATCATAAATCAACTATACAATAAATACAATATCACCCATGGACATATATAAGCTCAGAGAATAAAAATAAGTAGTGGATGGTGTGTTATAAAATGAAAATTGCGAAATTCTACGATAACCATGACTTTGTATAGCTGAATATAAAATTGTAAATTAAAGCCCCGGCCCGACTGTCTCAAACAAGAATAATATACCAAACGTAATACCATGGTCAGAGCAATGTCAGGTAAATAGCAAGTGATAAATCACAGATTTGGGATTAGAGGGGTGATATTGGGATTAGAGAGGGATGATACCAGTGTTAATATGAATATCAATCCGGGTATATATTCAAATATTTTACTTTTTTAATGTTCATCTTTTCAAAAAATTTCATTTTTTCTAAAATTTTCGTTTTTTCAAAAAATTTCATTTTTCCAAATATGATATGAAGAATATCCCTCGGATGATATCAATATTTCTCTCTGTCATTGCGCTCCCTCGGGAAATATTGAAATCATTCCTATATCCATATCAAATCCCTCCTGATGAATAATATTTTGATCAAACATATTAAATCTATTATATATTCTCAGTCACGTGTCCGATGCAGTAAAATAAGATTTTTGATGAATACTTTCCAGCTGGTCTTATCTTTGTATTGTATATGTAGCGTAGCAATTAATTACAGTATTGATATTCAAACATGGTCTATATAACACAATTAAAGATAAATGACTAACATATCATTTAACTTGTACAAGGAAATCCGTTTACAAAGTTCCATTTGTCAGACTCAATTTATATGCAAAGTTCTATTTGAAAAATAACGTATACAATGGGTTCCAAGAATGGTTTGTAGAAAGATAGTTTCATCACGGCGCATTCATGTTACACCATTTTGAACTGAAACTATGTATTAGACGTTCTACAAAAACAGTGAATGTATTTACAAAGTAAATTCCAATATTGTGACATACAGAATTATGTATGAGGTACGTATGTACGTAAGAAGACATAGGTCAATCACATTTCCAATGAATCATTTTCCTACACCAAGAAGAAAGGATGTAGTAATCAGATCATCATTCCCTACCAATGTAATTCATTTGAGTGAATACGTTGCACTTTATAGAGCAAGATGGGATGTCATAGAGCAGAAACAAAAATAGCTTCTTGTTCAATAATTATTCAAGAGACCATTGCAGATCATTAACTGGTCATTCTTTTCAACCTTTTCAAAAATAGATTTCAAACATTGATCTCAAACATAGATCTCATACATACACTCCCCTCCATTGAACTACGTGTTAGTGTTAAAGCCTCTTTACGTTTGAATTTCTATTTACTTAAACTACGATGAAAATACTTATACTATTAATGGAAACGTAATTTGACCTTATTCCCAATACCTCCAATTTTTTTCCTCGATTACAATAGGTCGAAAATTGATGATAAAGTTGATGAATTTTTGAAAATCGTCATTCCCATGTAAACCAATGGGAAATGGTTGACTCGGGGCAAATGAAAAATCAGGATATCTATTGAGTAAAAGATTCAGCAAAAACTGTTTTTAAATAAAAAATTGAATTGTGTCTAACTTTTTTCTACATTAAGTGTTTAGTTTACTTAATGAATGCTAAAGTTACAGAGCTTCAAAGTCATTTCTGACAATCATTTTTCGCCTCCTGTGTTATTTCAATGGGAGAGTTTTTTTGAAAAATAATTTTGACTTTAAAGACCTATAACTTTGTTGATCCTGAAGAAAGGTATCAATTTTTTGTTAAATAAAGTTAGCAAATTCAATTGCCTACATTATTTGTATTTTTTGCAAGTACTCGGAGTGATAGATATTCTGTCATATGACTTGCGGCAAACCCTTTTTCCATTAGTTAACATGGGAATGTCGATTTTCAAAAATTCATCATATTTACCATCAATTTTCGACCTATTGTAATTGATGGAAAAAATTGAGAACATTTGGAGGTATTGACAATAAAGTCAAATTACGTTTTCATCAATAGTATCAGTATTTTCATCGCAGGTTAAGTAAATAAAAATTCAAAGGTAAAGAGGCTTTAACACGTAGTTCAATGGGGGAACTAAGGTTGCCAAACTTATGGAGGGGAGTGTAGATCTCAATCCTTACTGTTATTGGAATTCATAATTATATAAATAAATATATATATAAATAGTCGAATGATTCAATAAAATTTTAAGATCCTCTTGGTATATAATGCAATGAATTTTGTTGTTCACTTTATCTTTTCCCACATATATATTTTTGAAAATAACTAATTAAGGCAATTAATTTTACAGATTGATACCGACAAGAATTTAAAAGTAAGTTTCATGGCCTTCAATAGTTTATATATAGGGTATGAATATGAAAGAATCTCTAGAAAATCCTAATATCAACTTTTTGTATATGGGGAGGATTGAAGAATTTGATTTGGTAGTGATTATCCGAGTACAAATTCTGCTTGGATAAAGTCATCAGTAGTTTTGCCCAAGTCCGTATCATCTTTTACTTATCTTGATTTTCAATTAATGTGAAAATAATTTTTTTAAAAGACTCCCAGTTAGGCAAGGGTAAGCCACAAGATGAACGCCCCTTCTCGTTTAAAGGCAATGTATTTTTCCAATTAAATATTCAAATCAATTTCCCCTTTGCATGTCTTTTAATCAATAGTGCTTGCTAGTCGGTTGCATCACAATACAAGTGCCTTCATGCCAAAGCGAAATAAGCCAGCAATAAAAAAAAAGCAACAATCTTATCTCATGGGACAGTCGTATGACGGTTTACCAGGCCAAACAGCGAATGCGTCAACCACACATTTCGGATTGACTTGCAAGAGCAAATCATATGTAGATGTATGCATAAACTATTGTTTGACGTTTTCGCATATAAAAATATTACAGTTAACTGTATATATATTTTTTTAATTGTAGGAGGAAATCCTAGCTATAGAACATAAAACATGAATTTATTGTAATAATCAAGGTTACGATTTAATACCGCAAGGGGATCAACGGATGTTGTTAATTACAATCGCAAATATGAAATACCTCTACTACACCGTACGAGGGGTGATCAATAAGTAAGGAATTACGCTTTTAATTTGTCACTCTTGGTCAGTCTCGTTTTCACATGTTGTACGGATACATCATGCTCTGAAGGTTTGAATACATATACAATTTACATGTATCAGGCCCGTAGCCAGGGGGTTCGGGGAGTTTAAGCGAATGTGACCCCTCCCCCCTTGGCAAATGATGGCTACGGGCCTGTGTACATGTATATAGAGTACTTTGTTAGACTCTGTTATCCTAAAGAATATGCGTCGGATGAAGGAACGTGTTACTACTTAAAGGTAATCAAATATGAATATATATTTTTTACACACTACTGTTTCTGTCATTTTCCTGAAATAAAATACGCAAAAAAGATATTAAAACGAAAATGCCAACTTTCTGATTCTCCGATCCAAGGATACGTCTCTTGAGGCAAGTCTAGGAATCGATCAATGGGAATGCATAATCAAATCACACTTTTGTTTTCAGAGGAAAAACAATGAGCTTTACTGCTCATTTATTTGTTGTTACACCATTCTTCATTCATTAGAGGTGTGCCCATGCATAAGCTGTCTCAACAAAATAGCGATGAAATGATCCCCGCCGTATAACGTATGAGCTGTGCGAGGTATAATAAGGCCCTTACAAATTAAGTGCCCGTTTAACATTAAACATCGCCCACCTATTCATCCAAAAACCTTCAAGATCAAACCTTCCTTTTTGTTTTTTTTAAGATTAGGTGGTTTTTTCATTCAACGGAATGTTGTTTCTTTGGAGTAAATGAATCTCCCTAAGCGGACAGATAACCTGTATGGGCCTAAATGCAGGTTGCAATTAGCAGATTGCAATAATCAGAATACATTGACTCTCGACAAAACCACTATGAGATGAAAATCCTCGGGAAACGGGGTGTCAGGATTTTACACGTGTATTTAGACATTCATCGATAATGTTTGAACCAACGTTTTGTATAAATATACTTAACGCATTGTATTTGTAAGTCAGATTTTCAGTGTACGTTTCCTATTGTTAGGGGTACAACAGACTACATATTCAATCCAAATGGAAACATTGGACCTATAAAGAGCTTAACCTGGATAATGACCGGGAGAAACGGTATTAACAAAATTTGAATCGAATGGCGGATTATTTCGATTTTTGATTCGTACAATTTTGAATCGCCATCAAGGCATAAAGTGTAGACTTTCGGAGAAGTATTATACCTTTATCACGCCTGTAGATTCATGGATTCTTATAACACAATAAAATGAAGTTCACAATTTGGACAATTCTTTGCCTGATTCCTGGCTCTGAAGGTGGAGCATTTTTGAATATAGGATATGGTTTGGTCGCGACGCAACAATACCTGGCCGTTGGTGCAGATAACACAATATTCCTCATGGAAGATATTCGTATAGATTACAAGGGAACACTACGATCGTTCTCAGCCTATTTCGCCAACGGAAACGCCGTGATGTTTGGGATATGGCGGCCTGATCCTGCAGAGCGAGGAAAATACACTTTAGTCGGTGCTAAAATGCATATTCCAGAATCCGCCCCTTCAGCTAATACAGTCATTCTCAAGCCGTCAGAGTTTATTAGAGTTTTTCCAAACGATATAATGGGGATCATGAACCAAGAAGGAATGAGCTCTGTAGCTTACACATACTTTGACACGACCATCCCTTCCTGGTTCAAATCAATAGATATAGATATCAACGAGACCATTCCAGTTAAGGATGACAAACTTAATTTCTCATTTCTTAAGAGTCCTTATAAATTTTCCGTGGGGTGTACGTATTATACGGACGATGATGTACCGCCTAATGTATCTACAACGATACCATCTTACTTTAATGTCAGTACACCGTCATGGTTAACCACGGAGACCTCCCAGAGCACTACATCAATAGCCACTCTAACTACCGTCCCTTTAACAACAACAAGAGCAACAACACCGAATGAGACAATTACAACGGAATCTAGTTCATTAACTTCAACAACTCCAATGCCGTCTCCAAAAACAGAAGCCCGCGTTCTAGAGAGTGATGACGTTGTCCTCAGTAGATGGATGGTGATTATCATTCTTGTTTGGTGTGGTGCTTTAACAATTGCATATTTCATCCTTATTACTTGTCTTATATATAGAAGACGTAAAAAGAAGCAGTATATAATGGATTCACTAAAAATGATCCGCCCGCCTCCACTAAGTCCCCTATCTGAGATTGAGGGAATGAAGGGCGAGACGGTCATGGATTATTTTCTCCCGCAAATACGTTCTGAAAGCAGTGGTAACATTAACCCAAGCTTTTCAAATAGCCAACAATTTCAGATGCAAACCAGTAGCCCCTTGTCAGCTTCGACCGATGAGCCCAGATGGCTACAGCGGATATGAAACTACGTGACCGTAAACTATAATGATTAAAGGGATAGTAAACAATGAGCTGAGAAACTCGTCTCTAACGTTAGTTGTCCCTTTAAATGGATCGAAATGACACATTGGTTTGCTTATTAATTGAACGATAAAGACTTCAGGTTACCTCACTTTCATTTTCTTCTACTTTAAATATGTATGGGTTCAAACTTGACCATTGACCTATAATTTGCAAACAGTCATAACAATATAATCTGTTTGTACGATATGAAATAAAAAAGACCATTCGACGGACATTTTTTTTAATTCGATCTCTTCTACTTGCTTCGAGCTAGAAGTGTCACTTGTTTTCAATTAGAAATAAAAATATGATTAATCTTTTCCAAAACATTCAATTTGCCACGGTACCTTTTGTTGGGCAGAGAAAAGTCAGCGAGTAGGTCCTTTAAACCAAGGGTTCTTCTGAAGAAGTACGTCTTTAAAGGAATCCAACACCTTGCAAAACTTCTTAACGGAGAGGAATAAGGGAAAATGCTTGCCGGATTCTGAATCTGTGTATTTTTTAATGATTTTTCACCGTCTTAGAATTTCAATTTTTTTCCTTTGAAAAAATGAGATTTGCATTGTTTTCCAATTAGACAAATGAGTAAACATGAATAGCCCGAAATCTAACGGTGAGATTTTGTTTTAAAAAATCATGGATATCAAGGCTAAATATAGCTATACAATAAACATAAAAAAGCAATGCTTGGACTCTTCATATTCACACAAAAAATTAATTAGTAAATGAGGTTTGATATTTGTGAGAATAAGTTGTACGAGTCGCAATGCTCTACAAACACCAGACTACAGGGTGGATTAGGATCAATGACACACATAAAAATTGATTTAAAAACATTTCATGATAATTATCTCAAACAAAAGCAGTTAGCGTAGGATACATTTCATTACACTCAATAAATAGTTATCACTTTTGACTATATATACATATCTCATGGGAATGTATTTCCATCTGCTCAAGATATCATATTTTAGCTCCGAAAATCACAATCGTTGGATAATACATTTGTCTCAGAATGATAGGCCACCCTGTAGCAATGTAGCTTTCACTTGAAGTGTACCCTTGAGAATAATGAACTTACTTTCAAATTGGTCTTGCTTTTGTGGTGTATGTGGCATTTTAGCAAATCTGCCACGCTCATTTCTTTCCAGAACCATCTTGTTCACATGTAACACTAGGCTATACGCGCATGTATAGACAGATGACATAGATATACATATAAATTATATATTGCACCTGTATTTACTTACATGGGAATATTCCCTTTGGAAAAATGCAAATGCATGAACATATATTTTCATCTTATATATGACTTCAAGCTAACATATTATTTCATAATTATATTTTCATAGTTAGTCTAACATAAATAATAGATCCATGAGAACAATATTATTTGTTTTCTTAAAATTTGATGGGTTTACTGTGAATTCAATAAATTACAAATTGCAAGGGGTAAGTATACTGTATGACCTTAGTTGCAAAGTACTGTTTATATATGCAGCTCAATAGCATAAAATATGTTGAATGAAGCATATGGTGGGGATTAGTCGTGTGACACACAAACTGACCAATAGTGGGGCCAGTTAGCTGTTCAATTGCACTTGCTATATATAAAGCACCATTGTTTGACCAAAGTATCCTTAATACATATAAATTTGATATCTAACGAAGTGGTAATGAAAAGTGCCCCCATTTAATAATAGCAGCCCTTGAAAATTTTGCATTTTTACATTGAGCCCCATGTTAATTTATCAATCTTCTAAAGACCCCCTGCAGAACAGTTCTAGAGTAATAAAGCCCATATTCCTAGTATGTTACAATTATATAATTATCTTCAAAATAAGAAGGGTTAAATTTTTTCTTTTGCCTAGTTCCAAAGATATTGGCCTTTGAAATTTGGAAAATTCCCATTGACTCCCATTATAAACCGCTTTCAATATGGCTGTAATAAAATATACTTTTCTCAAAAAGTTTACTATGGAATTTTCTGATATTGCAGATTTCTATAGTTAATATATTGACTTAAAAAAAATCAAACAGACACATTTCTAAAAATTTCTTATTTTTGAAATATAAAGCTGTTAAGTTGCACATGAAACTATAAAAAAACCTATATTGAGCCCAATGTTAATTTAGCTATCTTAAAAGGACCCCCTGCAGAACAGTTCTAGAGCAATAAAGCCCATATTCCTAGTATGTTACAATAACATAATTATCTTCAAAACAAGGGGGGTTAAATTTTTTCTTTTCCCTAGTTCCAAAGATATCGACGTTTGAATTTTGGAAAATCTCCATTGGCTGCCATTATAAACCACTATCAACATGGCTTTACTAAAGTGTCCTTTTCTCAAAAAGTCCACTATGGAATTTTCTAATATTGCAGATTTCTATTGTTAATATATTGCATTTAAACAAATCAAACAGACACATTTCTAAAAATTTCCTATTTTTGAAATATTTGGCCATTAGGTTGCACACGAAACTATAGAAAACCTATATTGAGCCCAATGTTCATTTATCAATCTTCAAAAGACAGAGCAGTTCTAGAGTAATAAAGCACATATTGCTGGTTTATTCCAATAACATGATTATTTCTAAAATAAGAAGGGTTAAATTTTTACTTTTTCCTAGTTTCCAAAGATATTGGCTTTTGAATTTTGGAAAATTCCTATTAACTCCCATTATAAACCGTTATCAATATGGCTTTACTAAAATGTCATTTTCTCAAAAGATTCACGATGGAATTTTCTAATATTGCAGATTTCTATAGTTAATATATTAACTTAAAAGAATCCAAACATGCACATTTCTGAAAATCTTTTTATTAAGCCCTTAAGTTGCACATGAAACTATAAAAAAAACTAATTGAGCCCAATGTTAATTTAGCGATCTTCAAAGGACCCCCTGCAGTTCAAGAGCAATGAAGCCCATATTCCTAGTATGCTACAATAACATAATTATCTTCAAAATAAGAAGGATTAAAATTTTTTTCTTTTTGGCTAGTTCCAAAGATATTGACGTTTTGAATTTTGGAAAATCTCCATTGGCTGCCATTATAAACCACTATAAATATGGCTTTACTAAAGTGTCAATTTCTCAAAAAGATTTCTATGAGATTTTCTAATATTGCAGATTTCTATTGGAAATACATTGAATTTAAAAAAATCAAACAGACACAATTCTAAAAAATTCTTACTTTTGAAATATTTAGCCGTTAAGTTGCACACAAAACCATAGAAAACCTATGCCCCATGTTAATTTTAATCAATCTTCAAATGACCACCCTCAGAACAGTTCTAGAGTAATAAAGCCATATTGCTTTTGTGTTACAATAGCATGATTATCTTCAAAATATAAGAAGGGTCAAAGCATTTTTTCTTTCCTAGTTCCAAAGATATTGGCGTTTGAATTTTGAAAAATGTCTATTGGCTGTCATCATACAACGCTATAAATATGCCTTTGATTAAAGTGTATATCCTATTTCTTTCAACTTTTTAGGTCTTCAAGATTACATACATTTTTAATACAATGAATTACTAAAACGTAATAATAAGTCTTGATAAGTCCCTGATAACTAAACTCATGTTATTATCACAATGATTTAAATCACATATTTTGAAAATAAATATACGGTACAATGTTTGACCCAATGTTTAGGACTTAATATCAGAAACTTACGCCAACAGCATCCCCTTTCAACTAAAATAGATATATTGATGTCTTTCAAGTTTGTAAACTAAATGTTGTTTTATTCATACTTAATTGTTTCAAAAGATAAAATGAATCCCTGTCAACATGTACAATGATTATTTCATTACAAATAGCAAAAATCGTGCATCTTATAATTTTATTTATTTATGGAATGAACTCCTTCAAAGAAATCCATAGGCGAAATAAATTGAAGTCGGATTATAAAAAAATAATCCAAAATAGCAGAAAATAGCAGACATTTTCAATTGAACGGCCATATTGGAAATTCCCTCTCTAGCAGAGGTCTTACGGCTATTAGTGCTAAAATGGCATAAACCTAAAACATTTTGCCAGTATTTCAGTAAGTTATCACTTAATTCAATATATTTACTATAGAAATCTGCAATATTAGAAAATTCCATAGTTGACTTTTTGAGAAAAGGACACTTTAGTAAAGCCATATTGATAGCGGTTTATAATGGCAGCCAATGGGGATTTTTCAAAATTCAAACGGCAATATCTTTTGAACTAGGCGAAAGAAAAAACTTTACCCTCTGTATTTTGAAGGTAATCGTATGATTTTAACATACTAGGAATATTGGCTTTTTACTCTAGAACTGTTCTGCAGGAGGTCTTTTGAAGATTGAGAATTAACATGGGGCTCAATACAGGTTTTCAATAGTTTCCTGCGCAACTTAACGGCTAAGTATTTCAAAAATAAGACATTTTTAGAAATGTGTCTGTTTGATTTTTTTAAATTCAATGTATTAAGTATAGAAATCTGCAATATTAGAAAATTCTGTAGTAAACTTTTTGAGAAATTAACACTTTAGTAAAGCCATATTTATAATGGTTTATAATGGCAGCCAATGGAGATTTTCCAAAATTCAAACGTCAATATCTTTGGAACTAGGCTTAAGAAAAAATTTAACCCTTCCTGTTTTGAAGATAATCATATAATTGTAACATATTGTGAATATGGGCTTTACTACTCTAGAAATGTTCTGCAGGGGGTCTTTTGAAGATTGATGAATTAACATTGGGCTCAATACAGGTTTTCTATAGTTTTATGCGTAACTTAACAGCTAAATATTTCAAAAATAAGAAATTTTTAGAAATGTGTCTGTTTGATTTTTTTAAATTCAATATATTAATTATAGAAATCTGCAATATTAGAAAATTCCATAGTAAACTTTTTGAGAAATTAACACTTTAGTAAAGCCATATTCATAGTGGTTTATAATGGCAGCCAATGGAGATTTTCCAAAATTCAAATGTCAATATCTTTGGAACTGGGCAAAAGAAAAAATTTAACCCTTCTTATTTTAAAGATAACCATATAATTGTAACATACTGGGAATATGGGCTTTATTACTCTAGAACTGTTCTGCTGGGGGTCTTGAGAAGATTGATAAATTAACATGGGGCTCAATGTAAATGTGCAAAATCTTCGAGGGCTGCTATTATCAACTGGGGCCACTTTCCAATACCACTTCGTTAGATATCGAATATATATGTATCAATGATACTTCTGTCAAAAAATTGTGCTTTATATATAGCAAGTGCAATTCTAGGGTTTTATTGTCCTAACTGATCCCACTACAATACATGAGGGTATTAGCTACTTTTCACAGAAACCAAAGGAGGACAGTGCTTTTATTTCAACTGGGAGCTTACCTCCACACGACTGATCATGTGACCATGGTGTTGGGTCCCTTTAAAGAAGTTTCTAAATAGCTGCTGTGGAACCATATTCATAGAACTGAACAATAAAATATTGAGTTTTAAACGATTAAAATAGATGTCACTAAAGGCACGATCGATAGTCTCTCTGCAGGTCTGGCTGAGCAATTAATCACAGTAATAAAGATATACTCTATAAAATCCGTCGAAGGTTTCCATTCGTATTTTGCATTCTGTGTTAAAAAATCGCAAAAAATAAAAGATAGAAAACAAGGAGGGATTTTGAATAGTAGGCCTTTCATTTTCGTGTCCACATCTATGGAGGTTAAGCTACACGTTTTTGAACGCGAACGTGTAATGAAATGACCCCCCCCCCCCCCCCCCAGGATTACTGTCCTTTGTAAAAAATATCTGGCACCTATAAATGACAGTTATTTACCTTTTTACCTTTATACTCATGCAGCCAAGTAAATACTATAAAAATTAATTAAACCAGAGTTAAATTGTAATCTCTCAATGACCATAATTCTTCACGTTGGTGAACAATTTCTCTTAAGGACGTGTATTTTAGCCAGATTGCTGTAGAGGCTGTAAAATGCAAAATGATAATGCATATTTCCATGAATAATTGAGATCATTTCTGATTCAACCGGGATTCCCTAGTCATTCTCAATTTAGTCACGTGTGTTTTCCGAAGATGGCAATTAGGTCTACGTCATCCTTGACAAGGGCATTCTACCCTGATACATATAATTTCAATCGAAATGAAAGAGACCTTGTTAAGGGAGGGCCTACGTGAAGAACGAAGCGTTCCACCATTGTTTATTGCCCTATCATGAATATGCAATGATATCCGTGACTTTGAACAGCATTACGAAATTAGAAATCTAGGGCTGGACATAGAATACCTCGGTGAGTGTTATCGTGGATATTTTGCAAAAAAATAAATATAATTTGTATTTTGTCGCATTTTTGTCAAAATTAAATTGAAAATAATGGTTTATTGTGTTCGTAATTGAGTCTGCTTATATAATATATTATAATGATATTACGTTATCCGAAACCCATATAGCAAACTATATTGATTTATACTGCTAATGAGTAAATGTCTTTCTATATGGTTCAGTTCGAATTCTCAATAGTGATATGACTGTTTATTTTACACTTTGCCAGATATGATACAATTACAAATGATATGATATAAAGTGATATGATGATATAATATGAAATGGTATGATTTTTTATTTTCTCCACTAATCCGAGTCTTACAGTACAATAATAATGTGCATTTTTATAATGCACAATGGGCAACAATATTGTAGAACACAAATATGAAAATTATATGATATTTATTTTGTCAATTTCTCCCATGATCACTTATACCTATTTTTCCCTGATATACATTATAATTCTAAATATATACAATAATAATGTTGTCGTCAAAGGGAAACTACCAAAATGGGGATGGCCAGCCAGATACCCAACAGACTGCGAAACATCGGATTCGGCTTTCGAGCCTTGAAAAAGAACTATGCTGTAAGTTAACTTCAATTTGTTCAAGTAATCAATAATATTCCAAATGACCTTCACACTTTCAAGATCAGATGGAGTTTCATTCGAATTCACGTTCACTTAATACATCATACGATGATGCTTTTGTAACTGGATATGGCTCTTGAATATCAGCGGAGGGCGACTCATGGTCAAGTTGACATACAATCCTGAATATCAAAGTTACACACGGTTTATTATTAGTAGGGATATTTAATTATACAGTAAATGATCATGAACCCACGCAAATGCAACAAAATGCAAAGAGATATACAATTATTTATCACGTTTTCCTGTTTTCAAATGGATGTTGAAATTAAATCGTTAATATCAACGGTCTCAGTTTCGCATTCACAATTTGTGATCTTTATTAGACATGTCCTTGAAATGACATTTGCCAGTATTCCATATACTTCCTTTATACATGCACGAGCTGTGTATAATATTTTCTATGCCCACAAGTCGTTAATTGTCTATCTATGGAACGTTTATATGAAGTCATGATACCCTGCAAATATGCCGATGATAAATGGAATAATCTTCGGTTTGATAGCCTAGAAATATGTAAAAATATCGCGATGAAATTTCACGGCAGGTCGCATTGAACATTTTACGATTATTTTGTGATGTAGTAGGGCTTACTTATGTAGTACCTTTATTTTCTCTTTACAAAAACAAACATAAACAAACACTTCACATGAATTATTAACCAGGTGGTAAGCACTATACAATCACAATAACAACATTTCGAATGTACGATTATTTTCAATGTGTATTATAGATATATTTTATCATACATGTACTTCCCTCTCTATGTTAGGAAAGGGTGAATATAAATCAGAAATTAATCATTTGACATGCAAAAACAAGGAAACATTGATTTGGTCATAGGACATCAGTTCCTTGATAATAGCAGTATACATAGTCGATATAACATAGACTTTGACACTATATTATATTTCCTTTTCTTATAATGTAATATAATTCTGTTATTTCAGTTAGTCCCTCTTGTGACCATAATAAGTTTCGCCTGCCTTATGGGAACATCCATGATCGTCTACTCACTAGCAACAAAGCCCGACGTAAGGTGCGTATAAAACAATTACGATTCGTATATCAATCAAACTGGATGACGACATGGGCGGATCTATAAATTCACGAAGGGGGCCCACACATATTCAGACCCATTGTTCCAAAATTAAGCCTAATTTGAAAATGAGGCCTTGAAGCCCAATCCTAAACCAAGATGGGGCCCACCAGTTCCCCCCCCCCCCCGAGATTTGTCAGTGGACGTTACAAACAGAAGTGGATTACGGGTTACGAAAAACCAACGTCCCGCCATTTTGAAAATGTTATGGAAATTATAGTTATCGTAACAGTTGCCCCACTGTAATAAGGTTTACTGCGGGAAATAAGACAATTAAACGTAGCGTTCATAGAGTTGTTCTCGCTTGTTGTTATCTTCTGGCGCCAGTTGATCATGAATAGTGCAGGAATAAATAACCTTTTTATGGGTACAGCAGATGGCAACCTCGCAATAAAAGATATTCAAAAGTTTTTGGATGATGCATTTTATGATATCAAATAAGAAAGTTACGAGGTGGGTCTGGGAACCCAAGAAAGATACATTTAGCCTAACAGTAAACCTGTCTTATAGGCTCATGGCCCAACAAACATAAAAGTTATTTCGGACCATGATGTTATTTGGATCCCGGCTTGCAAAATGCAGTGTACGGTCTTACCTTTACGTCTTATACACTGATAGTATGAGCTTGTATTCGCGAATGCAATTCTATCGCCTGTCGTCTACCGGATTAGCCTACTATTTTATGACAAACTCATTTAAATATGAATGGAATAGTGGCATATGTTATTCATATAATTTTTTGCATTCACGGGTTTTTTCATGGCCGGCAGCTAATAGGTCCGTATAGAGTGGAACTTTATACCGAAGGAAACATATTTTCGTTCATAATGTATCATTTATCAAAGTGTTTTCAAATCAAGTAACACTACATGTACATGTTTTATTCGAGTTTGGCCTTGTTGATTTTTTAATCAATAAAACAAATGAATTGCTTTTTTAACAAAATTACAAAATGAAACACAGGGGTACGTGTAAATGTGAGGAGATATTGTTTTAATTTCAGATTCGACAGGAAAAGAAAACACATCCCTTATAACCAGGAAATCCAGGTCGAAGAAAGTAGAAAGGTCAGTAGTATTAATAATCGGGATCAGTACAATGCACAAAGCACATAGCGTCACCTATAATACTGATTCCTTGTTTGTACCATGGTGTAAGCGGATGGGCTTTCAAGAGACTCTTGAAAGCTCTCTTGAAAGCTCATGTGTGGTAAGCGTAATATAAACAAGTTGTATCGGCCCATGTCTGTATCTGTAACTGATATATGAATTTAATTAACAACTTCTCGATAGGGAACTCGTACTCTCGTAAGTACGAGTTAAGATATGATTATCGAAATCACTTTTTACAAGAAATACCACCCCATATGAAGACTCATGTTTCAATATTTTTCATTTCGTGGTCCAAATGTCACATCGGAATAGCCTGACAACGGTAAAGCCAGATACCGTTGTCAAAAATGACGGACATAACCGTCGCTTCAACTTTTTAAACACTTGGTCCTCATTTCACTGAATTCTATCGTCGCTAATTCTGTGCATGTATTAAGCTCTTGTGATGATATGAAATCCCAATTTCGATCAAATTTGGTCGTAAATCGCCAAAATATAGCGTCTTCGATATTGTCAATGACAATGGAATCTGAATTTGAAATAATATACAAAGACAACGGCATGTGGTAATACAGTGTCCGTTGTCCCGTATCTCATTTTGTTCGGTTAGATTGAAAACTTTATTTCGATGGTAGAACATTAATAACTGTACAATGAGTATAAAGCACTTTGATTGATTGTTGTTCCAAAGGAATTTAGTGTAGGTGCTCTATTAAACAGTACATACAGTTCATGAAAATCTGATTGGAGCGACGGTTATGTCCGCCATTTGTGACAACGGTACATGTATGTACTTTATAGTTGTCAGGCTATTTCGGCGTGAATGTCTTGAACAAAAAATATTAGCGTATAGCGCAGTCAGATGTCCAGAAATGAGCCCTTTATAGTTCGACTTTTTCAGGAAAGCAACAAACTTGGCACAGTTGTAGAAACACTTGATCTGAGTGGAAAATGATTTCGGGGCAAGTGATCCGGAGTGGTCTTCATGGATTTTTTAGTCTCTGACCCCAACCCCTATCAGGCGGGGAGGGGGTACATTATAAAAGATAAATAAAAATGGTTGTGAAGTAAATTTTTTTAAATGACTTAATTTGGTGATTGCTCTGAGCCTTGAAATTGAGACAAACCGATAGTAAATGTGGTGTTTAGTGTGGAAAATGCATTTTGACCCAATTATCTAGCGTGAATTCATCTTTTAAAGGGTCAAATATGGGACATCAAGTACTGTATTTCAAGAATGTGATGTCTGATCATATTGGAAAAATTCATACTAATAGGGGTATAAGTGTTCATCACAAATATAGAATATGGCTTGGGTAGCTCATGTATTTTTTGAGATAAAAATTATCGAAATTTGAATTTTTAAGCCCTTGCGGCCTAGGGGTAACCTTATTCTACCTTAATAATTTTTAAGATATGCAATGTATGGGTCTCATATGAGCTCAAAATGGTGCATTGAGTCTTGTTTTGTCATATTATTCCTAATTGGATTGAAAAATGATTGGAACTTTTCAAAAAAAAAAAAATTTCATTATCGCTTCTGAAGGGCCAGGGGTAACCATATTTTACCTTAATTACTTTCAAGGTTTGTAATATATGTATCCCAAATTAGCTCAAGATGGTGCATATAATTCTGTTTAATCATAATACCTCCAATAAGATGTAGAAAATGATTGGACATTTCTTAAAATTTGAAATTTTCATTTTAGCTTATGATGGCCTGGGGGGGGGGCTTATTTAACCTTGAGCTTTTCTTAATTATGAGACGTATGCATCTCAATTGAGCTTAGGATTGTGTCATATACTCTTGTTTTGTCATATTATTCCTTAGGAGATGTAAAAAATAATGGAAATTTGAAAAATGACATTTTTAGCTTTTGACAGGTCAGGAGTGATTTTATCATATATTACCATAATATAGCAGCAAAAGATGGAGTGAGTTTAGCAGCCCCGTCCCCATGACCGATGCCATTGGCAGCTTGGGTCTTAAAGCATTTATGACCCAAGCTGCAATAAACCATGCTGACCTATTCTCAACCAATCAGTGAGCTTGAAGGAACAAGTGGTAAATGCGTGCACATTAATGATGCGATTTCGTCAGAGAAAATGACCATATAGAAAGCCGTCATTATTTCGACAACAAACTCTGATTAGCGCAGTGAGTTCAGAGATTCATTGAAAACTGATAGAGTGAAGACGAAGCTCTCTTTTGAGAAGGAAAGTCGAATGAATGCAAAGGGTAGTAAGTCCAGTCACCTTAGCCTGATGGGGGGGGGGGTTAAGGTGAGCTGCTTCTGTCAAGGATTCTGCCAGTGAATAATGACAGTCAATGATTGGGCACAAGAATGCCAAATGTTATCACAATAATTTTCAAGATAAAATGATCTCAAAATGGGGAAAATAGTCTGTTTTTCACTTTATTCCTACTGAGATAATGATTAACAACAATTAGAAAATTCAGTGACACATTTAAATCTCAATCCATTTATTCCATTTTTCCATAACAGTAGAATACAGATGTAACATCACATCCAATGATTGTATGAGAAATGGGGAGGATTTAACTTTGCTCATGGGCAGGTAACCATATGCCAGGATAACCACATCAGAATTAAATGTAAGGAGTATTATTCTTTCTCTTGGAAGGCCATGATTGAAGCAGTCTAACTGAAAATATTGAGAAATATCCTTGAATCTGCTTCTTCTTATAAGATTAAGGGTGATGGCAGAACCTCACTGTTGGGCTAAAACATTGCATTGCCTCCTTAATTTATGTGGTCACTATCTTCTTTCCATCCATTTCAAGGGTTTCAGTTTCCTCCTTAGACTATCCTTGTTCCAGTTCCACAAGTCTCTCTAGTGCTGTTTTAAAGGTGCAACAATTAGTGCAAAGGGGCCATTCAACGATCATGGACCAGTGTCAAAATATATTCAAGTTTTGATATTTCATCAAGACTAACATATATGTTTATTTTTTTCCAAAGAAACCCCCTGGATGAACATTATTTCAGCTGATTCCTCTTGAAATGTTTTGGATCTTAAAAACCTATAAGTGGGACTCCCTTTATAGAAGCTTTGAACTGAATTTACACTTCTTAAGAAGAGGGAGCTGTTTTCCTTCCAGACATCAAAACTGAAACCCTGGAGGAAGATGGCAAGAAGATAGTGACCTCACGATGAGGTAATGCAATATCTTAGCCCGATAGTGAAGTATCTGCCATCACCATTCGCTCATATGAAGAAGCATGCCAAAGACTGCTTCTGTCATGACCTAATAAGAATCATAGTCAATACAGTTGATTTTGATGTGGTTTAAACTGGCAGTAACTTGTGCTGAAAATGTCAATTTGGATTGCATATGGCCTATGGTGAGGGGAAATTCCTCCAGTATGAACGACCTGCCTTAGATATTTCAAGGCCATTTGGCCATGAACGAAGTTTAGCCCTTACCATTTTTCATACAATCGCTAGATGCATTCTGCTACTACTCTTAGTCAACTGATTTGCAGGAATAGAAGGTGTACCCCGAGGTTACGCAAGTGTTCTTAAGCTTTAAATCTTTTTTGATACCCTAAAATTAGAAGACTAGAGTCCTTATTCATTCTGATGCATTCTTACCCACAGTTTCCATCACCACATGAATGTGGCTGGACTACTCCCACTGCTGATACTGAGGCCACAACATAAAATGTAGGTCATGGGGTAGATACCTGTGTCAAGAGAACAGATGCAAATGTTTGAAAGAAGATCTGATTTGCTCTGAGCTATGTAGCTGTAGGAGAGACTGTCAGAATCCATAAATTGTGACTCCTTTGATTAGGTTTTATAGATTTGGATTATATACTCAAATGATAATATACAGAATCTTAACAATGCTACTACTCGTGCGAGTATGAACTGGACTTATCAAACATTTTCATATCTTAGAAAATGTTCTATAAAACTAGATAGTATTGCCATTGGTACTAGAAAGGAATAAATGGCTGTTGAGGTTCATTTTTTATAATTATTAATCATTATTTTATATCTCAGTAGCAATAATATGACAAAACTAGACTATATTCACTATTTTGAGCTCATTTGAGTAGACAATATGATATATCTTTGTTTAAAATTTTAAGGTAAAATTAGGTCATTCCTGACCTATCATAAACTACACTACCAATCTCAAACTGCATCAAACAGCATGGTTTCATAAACAGTGCTGTAAAAACAGTACTGAACACAGCTGTTTTCTAAAACAGTACTGAGCTGTAAAAACAGTACTGTACTACGCTGTCCAAAACAGATGGTGTTAGAATAGCATTGTACATTGCTATATAGTGCAGTACTCTGACTGCACTGTTCAGTACTGTTTACAGCGCTGCAAGAAGATGTTACGGATTGGGGGTGTAATATGAAAATGTCATTTTCTTATAATTTCCAATCATTTTTTCACTCCTTGGGAATGATATGATAAAACAGGACTAAATATACCATCTTAAGCTCATTTGAGGTGACTATGTCTCATATTTAGAAAATTATTAAGGTAAAATAAGGTTACCCCAGGGCCATCAAGAGCTTAAGTGAAAATTTTAATTTTTTAGATATATCCGATCATTTTCTACATCTTATTGGAAGAATTATGATAAAACAGAACTATATGCAACATCTTGAGCTAATTTGAGATGCATATATTTCATATCTGGGAAATTATTAGGGTAAAATATGGTTACCCCTGGCCCTTTAGAACCGAAAATGAAAATTTGATTTTTTTTTAATTTCCAATAATTTTTTTACATTTAATTAGGAATAATATGACAAAACAATACTTAATGCAACATTTAGAATTCATATGAGGCCCAAACATTGCGTATCTTAAAAATTATTAAGGTAAAATAAGGTCACCCCTAGGCCGCAAGGGCTTAAATATCCATATTTCGATAATTTATTTCTCAAAAATTACATGAGCTACACAAGCCATATATCATATGAGTGATTATCACCTATATCTCTATTAGTATGAATTTTTTCAGGATGACCAGACATCACATTCTTGAAATACAGTACTTGATGTCCCATATTTGACCCTTTGAAAGATGAATTCACTCTAGATAATTGGGTTAAAATGTATTTTCCTTCCTAAACACCACTTTTAAAATAGGTTTTTCTCAATTTCAAGGCTCAAAGCAATCACCAAATGAAGTCATTTAAAGAAATATACTTTACAACTATTTTTATTTATTTTATTATAATGTACCCCCTCCCCACCTGATAGGGGTGGAGGTCAGAGGCTTACAATCCATGAAGACCACCCCGAATCACTTGCCCCGAAATTATTTTTCATTCAGATCATATGTTTCTACAACTGTGCCAAGTTTGTTGCTTTCCTGAAAAAGTCGAACTACCAAAGGGACATCTGACTGCGCTAGTAACTGAGGCCCAGAACTGAATAAAGATGGCAGTAGTGTTGTTTAAATTCTGATTGTACTTGTATCTTTGGATTAGTTGTCTCTGTAATACCATATCGAAAATCAAGAAACATCGGTAAACTGCTGCTCATATAAAAGCTGGTTAATAATATCTTTGACATCTTTTTAGTCAAGTACTAGAAAGACAACTACCCCCCCCCCCGGTCGTTTAATCACAATATTCCTTTTCCATTTACTTTCAGTTGAGAGAAGTAAATCCTGAGAAGTACACGTACGACCCAGAGATCGTAAAACTACGTGAAGAACTCGGAAAATATCAAGCAAATGTCCACACTAACGAATTATAAGTAATTTTCAAAACAATATTTTTGTAAATACTTCAACGGACAACTTACGATGTTATTGCAATCAAAATTGGATGAAGAAAATAGAAAAAGAAATGATTTGAAATTAGTGGGATAATATTGCTTAGAAAGATGGATCGAGTGAACTCTTGGATCTTTCTATGCATAACTGTTCACGATCATTGTAAAAACGTGTATGTTATTAAAAGTGTGAGAGGACAAAACACATTTTCGTTTTTGTAAATACAGTAACTGCATGTACATTTTTAAATGCAAGCAATATGCAGTATACATAATGTACAACAATCCCATGCTGCCGCTCCATTGACCTCTATCCCTGTTGCCGCCAACCACTCAAGGAATGTAGTCGTGATGTAATCTTTGGAATTAAAGCATATCGGCAATAAAGAACAACATATTTGGAGAACAAATCGAAAGAAAACACTGCATACTATGCAATATGTATCATATGTGTATGGTTGTCAAATGATGTTTTGAAGTAATGTGAGTAAATAAAGTCTTCTAAAAGTCAAAATATCAAATATTTTCATTATGATAGGAATCGGTTGACATTGCAATGGAGCTGTCTCACTTAAATACTTTTGGGGCAGACGGCTGGGCACCGCATTAATACACGATTGGCAAAACATTTTTTTATGTACGAAATACTCCATCACTCGAAATACAAAAAGATTAAGCTAGTAATCGATTACAAAATTAATGACGAAAGGTGAGCACACACGGCTAATGTGACTACAACAGTGAGTTAAAGAGAGTAAAGTTAGAGCCTAGAGACGAACTGAAAAGTAAAATTTAAATTTACAATATTTTTCACACTCATAATTCCATGACATAACTCTAAAGGTCCAAAAGTTTTGAATTTATATCCGGATAACCCTTCAATTTTCAAGGTTACCTGGCAAAAAATACACGGTGGCCGGAAAAAGGAGACCATTGAAGTTTTAATATAACCAGTTAGCTGTTTATATTGAAACTGTCAGGAACAAATTTTCATAGAAATGTTTTCCTGTGTGCAAATTTTCATTGATATCACTAGTCTAGTTTAGGATATATTGCCTACTTCAGTGGTCTCCTTTTTTCCCGGTCACCCTGTATTATGCCTAGCTATGTGTGAATAAAGACAGCTCATTTGAATAGATAAGGGAAGGGTTTCAGTTATGAAATTCCAGTCAACCATTGAATCCTGGGCTTAAATCCCTTTCATATTTTTGTATTTGTACTTTTTCAGAAATAATATCATGATTGTGAGGTAAAATAAATGTATGTATTACTTGAAGCTTTGAATTCTAAAATGAGATGAAATTCGTCACCTATACTTTTTCCCCAATGTACCATACATACGTTTACATAATTTGTACATTTTCAGGGCCGTCAGATGGGGGGGGGTGCGATGGGTGCGACCGCACCCCCCTTTGTCACCCCCCCAAAAAAAAATTTGAAATTTTTTTTTTGAAAAATGTTTTTTTTGAATTTTTTTTTTTTTTCATTAACTCATACACTTTGAAAGTACCCAGAAAGCACCAAATAGCATCTTAAAATTGTAAAATTTTCTAGGGGTATTGGCCACCCCTCACACCCCCACAAAACAATGGAAAAGTTCTAAATTTATTTTAGTGTTTTGTCTCAGACACTTTTAAAGTGCACAGACATCATCAAAATAATAGCTCCTTGATACAGTTAGTGTTTCTGGGGGACTAACACTTGCTCCCCTCTTGCATCTTGCACTTGCATCCCCACACCACCTCCCCCTCTGCCCCCCCCCCCATTGACCACCCCCCCCCCCAAAGAAATTGGATAAAAGTTGTGATTTTCTCAAATTCTTTAATTGACTTATACACTTTGAAAGTGCCCAGAAAGCACCAAATAGCGTCGTCGTAAAATTGTAAAATTTTCTATGGGGAGTGGGCCACCCCTCACACCCTAAACAAAACAATGGAAAAGTTCTGAATTCTGAATCCCCACACCACCTCCCCCTCTGGCATCCCCCCCCCCCCCCTTGACACCCCCCCCCAAAAAAAAAAAATATTGAAAAAGAAATTAAGATTTTTTAAAAGACTTCATCGAATAGCACCTTGATATTGTAATTGTTTCTGGGAGACAGATATGGAGGACAAACACTTGCTCCCCCTCTGGCACCCCAACCCCACCTCCCCCTCTGGCACCCCTCCCTCCCCTTTGACACCCCCAAAATTTGAAAAAAATATGATTGTTTTTCAATGTTTTTATTGACTAATACACTTTAAAAGTGCCCAGAAGCACCAAATATTATCTTTAAATTTTAAAATTGTAAGAGAGTTAGCCACCCCTCACATCCCCCACAAAACAAAAGAAAATATTCTGAATTTCATGGATTGTCTCAGACATTTTTTAAGTGCCCAGACATCATCAAATAGCACCTTGATATGGTCAATGTTTCTGGGCGACAACCCCTTGCTCCCCCTCTGGCACCCCAACCCCATCTCCCCCTCTGGCACCCCTCCCTCCCCTTTGACACCCCCAAAATTTGAAAAAATATGATTGTTTTTCAATGTTTTTATTGACTAATACACTTTAAAAGTGCCCAGAAGCACCAAATATTATCTTTAAATTGTAAAATTGTAAGAGAGTTAGCCACCCCTCACATCCCCCACAAAACAAAAGAAAATATTCTGAATTTCATGTATTGTCTCAGTAATTTTTTAAGTGCCCAGACATCATCAAATAGCACCTTGATATGGTCAATGTTTCTGGGCGACAACACCTTGCTCCCCCTCTGGCACCCCAACCCCACCTCCCCTCTGGCACCCTTCCCTCCCCTTTGACACCCCCAAAATTTGGCACCCCACCCCACTTCACCCTCTCATCCTTTTTGACACCCCCAAAATAATTTGAAAAAAAATTCATATTTTTCTTATTGACTCATACACTCAAACTCCCGTGCAGTGATATATACCGAGACACTGCATGGGACTTTGAAAGTGCCCAGAATGCACCAAATAGCATCTCAAAACTGTAAAATTTTCAAGGGGGAGTGGACCACTCCTCACACCCCCCCCCCCCCCATAAAACAATTGGAACGTTTTGAAGTTGCATTTGTTAATTCCAAACCGATATAGGGAGTAACCGAGTACCGACCCCCCCCCCCCCCCCCCTCTGACTTACGCGATTTGGTTTACGCGGCAAAAAAATGACAATTTTATATTCTCTTAAGTAAAAACCGCACCCCCCTTGGAGAAAAGTGTCTTACGGGCCTGATTTTTCACTTATTTTTAAACTGTCAGAGCTGCTTATTGCTAATTTATACCAAATTTTCAAGATATACATACTTTACATGTAGAGGTTTACCAAGTTCACCGTAAACCATATAGTTTGGAGTTGTTTTCTTAACCCTTTAAAATAAAATATATTTTAGAAAAAAAAATTTGTTTTGTGTTATATCCCATACCTCGGCACCAAACATAAATATTATTGGCAGAACTAAGGTGTCGAATAAATGCAGTTGTATTAGAATAAAGAGGGACTAAATCAGAATGGCAAGATAATAATACAATCATGTGACCTTATTTCCACGCCCATAGGAATGGAACCACGACGAATGGAGAAATAAAAGTTATAAGCAGGAAGTATAAAACTTTTAATAATCAACAATATCTTGTCAACAGGACAAGTTCATCACTTTCATGTGTGAGTAGGCTTATTTCGATACTTCGTTCTGTGATATTGTAAAAAGAAACAATATTCTCTGTCCATTACGGTATCGTATCTTTGGACATAAGTGTGGGTGCCATCTATAACGAGGCCGTGTTTCAAAACATGGCCTCGAGCTATTCCATCCGACAGAGTCACTATCCATCTATTCTCGCATAGAGGATCACCAATAATGACTTTTCTCGGCTCAAATTGGATCGTTTGGACCCTTGGATTGTGTCCCTCTAGAGTTTCCAATACCTTCAAAGTAGCATGAAGTATATCTTTATGCACCCAGTTAGAGTTTGGATCGTCGAAACATACCGCATTGGGTTTCAGTTCGGGTTTGGCTGCAAATCTGCGCATTGGTGGTATGAATAACGCTTTTAACGTCTTGTTGGAATTCCTTCTCGACAGTTGGCGTCGCCTCATTTTGATTTCATTTGTAGATTTATCAAAGAATGTATCTCCGCCAGTTTGACTATTCTGAATTGGTCTGAAATATGAAAAGGAGTGTTTAGTGTTCTATGAACAATACCGACAAGCGTACAACATAAAGTACTCTTATGTTTATCGTCGTTTTATGACACTCTTTCTATAAACTTTTACTAGTTCTTCTGTAAAGATTTTGTAGGATTTCTATTTCTGATGATACGTTTTCTCCGAGTATACGGGAGTAACATTCAATTTCACAAATCAATAGACATCCAACTAATTTTCTAGAATGTGAGCTAAACATATTTTTCAAGTTTTATTTGTTCCATAACATAATTACAAATTAGTCAAGTTATACAGCAGGATGTGCATAGAAATGTTGACATTTAAAATTCGTTTCTTCGAAATGTTGCAAAATATAGAAAAATAACAACAGTAAAACCTGTCTTAGTGAACACCTCTCTCTAGTGAAGACCTGTCTCTTTTGGACACCCTTCTTCTGCACATGCTCTACAGAGTTTTGTTTTAATAACCCTCTCCGAAGTAAACACTTACCAACCACAGACTGTTTTTTCTTGGCAAAAAGATATCCAATATATAGGTTTTACTGTATTTTGGATCCAAAGGTGGAAATATTGAAATGACTAAAAATCTGATTTGTGAAATATATGTAATCATATTTACCCTTCATTATTGTCATCTTCAATTTCCAATTGTTCCATACTAGCCGAAACGTCAAGAATCTCCCGTTGGCCTGAGTTGGTCGTCGATCGAGGTGAATTCAGCGTTGGTAAGAAACTAGCCGGCATGGTTGTTTTACCGCTGTCTTCAACGCTGGTCCTTCGTCGAATTTTGTTTTTCACTTTCTTTGTTGACTTAAGACCAAACACTTGACCTTTACATGTATGTTTGTTTATAGTAGTAAGATTATCTTCCATGTCATGTAAGACATGTTGTTGATACATGGTCTTATCTCCATTTCTCGATTGTTCATCTCTGTGTGTCAATTTAAATGAGACGATTTTCTTTTCGTCCTCAGGTTCATAGAAACTTTCCGCTATGTTTACATTTAGTTTACCGATGGCATGATTTCTTTGAATCAGATTATTTGCGATTGCTGGCAACCTTGTAATTTCAAGTTGGTGGTCAGTTACGCCTGGAGTGTTTAACTGTTGGTCAGATACGTTTGAAGTGTTCAACTTTTGGTCAGACACGTTTGAAGTGCTCAATTTTTGGTCAGGCAAGCTTAAAGCGTTTAACTGTTGGTCAGACACGCTTAAAGTGTCCAACTTTTGGTCAGGTACGCTTAATGTGTTTAACTGTTGGTCAGCTACGTTTGAAGTGTTGAACTTTTGGTCAGCAGGTGCGCTTAAAGTATAAAACATTTGGTCAGATACTCTTGAAAAGTTTAATCCTTGGTCAGGTACGCCCAAAGGGTTCAACTTGTGGCCAGGTATGCTAAAAGTGTTTAATTGTTGATCAGGTACGCTTGGGGTGTATAACTTTTGGCCAGATACACTTAAAGGATTAAACCGTTGATCAGATACGCTCGAAGTGTTCAACTTTTGGTCAAGTTCGTTAAAAGTGTTCAACTGTTGTTCAGAAAGTACATCCGAAGGGTAAAACTGTTGGGTGTATCTTTTGCTACTTTCGAGGCTGTTCTTTGACTCATAATCGACATAACTATTTAAACTTTGCCTAGATCCGTTTTCAACGTCTCTATGAGAGCTTTGTTTTGGGATTGCGATATTCCTGCCCGAATGTTCCCCAGTTAATCTAACGTCATAGGTATCAGTGAAATTATGATTGGTTTCATCAATTGTGAGTCTGGCTGAATTCAGATTGTCAATCTTTTTTGCGCTTTGAAGCGGGTCATTGTTGTTGAGAAACCGATCATCAACACTGCCAACATTATGTACTTCATCTGCACTGGAAGACCTTAATTCCCCAATAGACGCGTAGGGTTGTGTTATCTGCATATAGTGTCTGTCAGAATTTCCATTACCTTCTGTGGATGTGCGATGCTTACCATCCAAAATGGGAAAATGAGGCCTTGAATTTTGCACTTTACTAATTGTATCGTATTTTATGTCATAGGAGTTAGATATTGTTGTACATAAATGGACGTCCTTACTAGGAATAGTAAAAACATCTTTCAAGACCTCAGAGTCACTCTTTGAGCGTCGACGAGTTTGTGTCATTGGAATATAAGAGTTGTTTGTCAAAAGTTCAAATTCTTTAACTGATGTGTTTTCTCCGTCTTTCACGAATTCTTTAACTGATGTACTTTCTCCAACGTCTTTCACGACTTCAACATCAACTTTGTCACGACTGACATTGTCGACAGGACGACCAAAATTCACAAAACTCTGTTTACTCAAGTGATAGAAACTTTTCTCTTGATATATACTAAATGGATAGCAATTATCTTCGTTCTGGTTCTGGTTGTAAGTGTAGACCCCCTTTGACGATCTATACATTTTCAAAAATGTTCTCTTATGTTCCCCAGCCTCTTTGGGTGGTGATTTAAACTTTTCCGGTAGTTCCACGTTGATACGTGCCATTTCCAACCTAGGGACAACTCCTGACGGTGGTCTTCTGCGCCATCTATCGACTGCTCCTGGCGACATTTCAGTGGAGTTAAAATCAGATAAAGCTTCGCTTGAAGTTGGCATTTTGGAAACTGCAGCCTTCAACACCAAATCTAAATTGTTGCTTTTAAATTTTCAACAATTCTTATTTAGATGTCCCTTTCCTAGCTAATATTCTATCGTTACATCTCTGTTGCAACTGGCGTTGATGACGTCCACAGTGAGGTAGTAAAGACAGGTCTAACCAAAGATAAGTATTTATATATGATACATGCAGTGTAATTATGAATGTCTAGCTATTTACTCAGAACTTTTATGAGATATATACCACTAGAGTCTGTAGATAAGATGGCGCTATCTAAACAAGACTGCAAATAAACCAAAGATAATCAAACAGTGTTGACCATTTCCATGTGTTACATCCCGTGTACCTCTTAATGTATTTAGATAGATCATTTTTATCAGAACATTTAGAATGCACCTTGTACAGGTTAGGCAAAATATCTTTTGGGATTTACTCTAACCTTTTTTGACATTTACATTTTTTTTAAAAAAAATTCGTTAAATATGCAGCCGTAAAAAATCATTCAACGAAATTGAAATGAAGACTGAACGTCATATTTTGACAAAAATGGCGGCCATTTTGAAATTGAAAGCCAATTTCAAATATAATTTAAATTAGTCTGTAAAGAGGCATTTACGTTTTAGCCTTAAAATAATTTCTTGACGATTTTTAATTGAGTGGCCATAAACAGTATTAATAAAAAAATCACAAAAAAAATTCATGAAAAATGGCGGTCGTTTATTACCCGGAGACAAAAAGCGAACGTATTTTCTGTAATATATGAACGGATGGTCAGGCGAATGGACGGGCGGGCGGGCAAACGTACGGAGTTTATCCAAAGATTTATCACTTCACATATCCACATGCCCATAGAATAAAATACTAATACTAAACCAAAAGGTTTCTGATTTGCACAGAATATATTTTGATCAAGTATCAGGCACACGGAATGAACTCTTGGAAATCTTTAATCCTCCTGTGTAAAATTGTAAATTAGAGAAGCCTGGTGAAAATCGGTTTTCAGAGGTGGCGTAACCGTCATGCTATAACACCGTGTTTATAACCCGAACAATGTAACCACAGTGTTATAGCATGACGGTTACGCCACCTCTGAAAACGAGGTTGGACAGCTACGTTCACTGATTTATCCAATAAAATGGCCGCGATGGAACAGAAAACTAAGGTTGGTGCATAATTTTCTTCTACTGTGTATCAATGAAAGGATGAACGATTTTTGTAGGCATCGCATTCGGTGATGCACCTAGTAATGTATATTTTGAACGTATTCTTTGCAAATTGATGCCCGGGGATAACATGAAGTAAGAGAAAAACTGTTGAGTTTGAAATTCAAAACTACACAAAATTTAGTAATTTGTTTATTTTTGTCGTTAGGGCATGGTCTACATTGCCTAGAACGACCTCGGGGTATATAGATGTAACCTACATACGATCGTAAAAAGCCAATTGAGCATTGGAAACCACCTAATATGATCTACTTAAGCCATAATATTGTATTTTTAATTTGCGGTTACGCAAAAAATTGATTGACGGTTACGCGAACCTTGTTCAAATATGTATCCCAGATTCATTGTTATTAATTTTGTCATATTCATCAGTACTTGATGCTTATTCATCTTTTGCCTCTTCATTGCTCTCTTTCTGACTTGAATTGGTTTCATAAATAAAGCAAGACACAATTTTTCCTTGCCCTATAGAGGCTCAAACAAGAGCGTCTCTTGCAAGTCCTGAAAACAAATATAAGCAATTCAATATTCCATTTCTTACCCATTATAACAATAACATGGAAAGAGGCTATCAGAACTAGCAACCTTAACTTGAGAGATGTACATGCACGTAACCGTCCGCTAAATATCTAATGTACATCTAATACAATACGTTACCGTCTATAGAATTCATACGTAGTTGTCTAAAGACATTGCGTTTGAAACCTCATTATTTACAATATGACCACGTTCCTGTTCTGGATTTGTCATTTTATGGCTTGTTTATACACAGTTTACTTACTGTTAATAGTTTGAGTGGCTCTGAGGCACATGTACTGAGAAATCACGAGAATGGACTAAAAAATATGAACTTGGACATCTCAGTCGGTAAGTTTACAGCTTATATTCCGCTTCTAGTAAACCACCTGGCAGATTTTACCCAGTCTTTATAACCATCCATATATACGTCACCGAATGGAACCAGTTGAAAAGGAAATCTTATCTGTGAATCTTGCCTACAGGCGAGAAAGAGGACATGCGGTCTTTCAAATCCGCCATTTTTTGTTATCGTTACCGCAACATTTTGCAAATCGCCTTGTCGTAACCGTCATGCTATAACACCGTGGTAACGTGAGCCATGATAAGGCAATAACTCGACAAAAAATCACCTTTATGATGAAGCCAACGAATTATATGTTCAAAAAGTAACAAATATTTATACATTTAGAAATCATACTGAATATTGCAAATTTATTACAGCGAACATGGTATTTGGAAAAAGTAACTTTTCACAATTTACTACCTATATAAATTACTGCACACGTACCTACACATGCGTTTTCAATTCATAGTCTATGAAGTGCCAGGCTTGCCAAACCTTCGATCTAGTAGTGGCATTGTCACTAAATTGTTCATAAAACTGTCACTAAATTGTTCATAAAAACTGTGTACAGTCATCGAACTAAAGTCTAACGTCTGTGTTGATGTCCGCGCGATTTTATGTTTTGACAATCAATGCCTCAGCCACATTTGATCTATGTCAATTAGCAACTGTATGGCGGCCATAATGTTAAATCAGTGTATTCCTTCAGTCATATGCAATGCCTTGATGAATCAAGATGATGTCGACATTAGCTTCCCAAATTCGACAATAATATGCAGCATAGATTTAGGGATAACCAGTACGAAGTAGATTTTCTATATCGAATTTGTGAAGCTACGGCCGCCGTAGAGCAAATGTGACTGAGACTTTGAATGAATCATAAAACCTTCACAATCCATTACTAGTTTGTATCATCATAAATATCTATTTTGCATCCTCTAATTTGGAGCAATAACTCCGACCTCCTTGCACTGAATTCGTTTAATACTACTACACAGGGAGTGATCAATAAGTAATGTGTACTTTTTTACTAAGGACTTTAAAATTAATCTCTTAGATTTTTCACAAGTGATATAAGGTCGGTTGGCTATGTTGGTCATCAAACTTGAAAAAGTAATCATAATATATACTATAACATATGATGAAAAACAGATGCAAGCTACTGTAAAGTGTCCTTTCAATATCCATTATTTAATGGTCATCCCTCGCAATAACACAGTGTCCATCTATTTCTTACTATGCCTACGTGTTGACAAATGTTTTATTCGAGATTCTAACGATCATAATACTGATGTAAATTGCATTTGCCGTATTCGTGCATCAAGCATTCTTTCAAACAATCTGAGCATCGTTGCAGACTGTGTGAGGCTGCCAGCTTAGCACTATATTTTGAACATTTCGCAATTGCATGTACAACTTCTCTGTCACAATGCATTTGGTGAAACTTTTGCCGTCCAATTTCCTAAATGATCAAAAGTTGTTGTCGAGTGGGCTTGAGAGTTGAGCGTCCCTTGCTGCAAACCATATGGGCACCATGACAAGTAATACGAACAGAAATATAGACAAAAAGAACAAGATACCAATCGCCAACTCGGCCTGAAACACAAAAATATATGCAAGTAATAAAAGTTATAACAATCTAATCAAACATGTCATTAATTGCGTCCGAAAGTGCTGTATTTTGAGAGGATGCAAACTGAATAAAAATATAATCGTAGTAATATATTAATGACACTATCGATGATATAATAAGTCTTCAGCCATCGTGTTTTCTCAGAATGTGAAAGCTTAAAAAGTTATCAACTTGAAAAGAGTATGTAAGTATTTCGTAAATCTATGAGGTATGTAGAACTTAAAATAAGTTTTCATTTTTGAAGGCACTGTCAACTGAAAGATGGCGTACCTCATTTGTCGCTAACTTTACTGTTCCAAGATGGACGACGCACTTGGCGTTCTGTGTTACTTCAGATACATTTGTGTCTATAGTAGGGCTTGTTGTAACACCATGTGTGTTGTTAGGAATAGTTTCAAGCATTTCTGTAGAATTTGTGACAGTCTCAGTGTTCGTTTTATCAGTAAGGTTCATTGTAACGCCGTTTCCGTCAAAGGACTCTGATGTTTTAACCATATAGTTTGTAACATTATCTATTGATGACTGAGTGGTCGCATATGTTTGAATCGTTGTAAAATTGTCCCGATTTGTGACCGATCGTGGAACAAGAGGACCACCATCGACTGGAATATGAAATATATAAAGAGAAATAAACAATATTTAGCTACAGTGTTTTGGTTACCGATGAACTAAAGAACGTGCAATCACGTAAGTTTTTTAATAACAGTGAACGCCCCTGTTTGCTGTTTGTGTTTACTTTTCTCTATACTCACTGACCTTATCAATTTTGGAGTTAATTTAAGCTTCTGCATCATTATGAAAATTTCCCACCAACTTCCCCAGCCAACACCAGAGTAAAGTATCAGTCAAGCTAGCGCTAAATACGATTTGAGGACAAGCTCGGAGGTTTACATTGATGCCTTGATGGGTGTAACTTTGACAGATTTACTTTCCGTTTATAACATGATGAATCTTGTCAGTAAATTGTGTTTACTTGATGTGGCAAAAGATGGCTGTACGTCTTTAAGTGTCGGCCGTGGTCTCGTTGCCTATAAAATGTACTCACTATTTGTTTCTGTAACTGACGTCGGTATCTCCGATGTTGTTTCAACAGAAACACTTGGCGTTCCCGGTATTTCCTCTGTTGTGACCCGAACTTGTGCTGTTGTGGTAGAGACTGCTTCTATGGGTGTCCTACTCTCTGCACACTCTTTGTCGTCTGCAGTTGGAGCTGGTGGGGGATTCCTCAACTTAGGTATCATCTCTGTCCAGAAGCGATATTTGCGCATCTTTAAATTAGATTTTGCTGAAAGTTTTTCGTTGATATCAAGATAGGCATGTTCATGTGCGCTAAATTGGGGCCAATCTAGTAAACCCGGAATGTTTGGAGATCTGGAAAGAAAGGTGATCCTGTTCAGTTTAGAAAACCTGAGGGAGGATAAGTATCGGCATGCGTTGCCAATATAAGGGCGTTTCTAAGAAACAGTCGCCCTAAGGAAGAGGAAATACCATTGCCGTTTTGAGACGAAGGCACACAATTACTCAACTCGTTTAAGAGATTCCAGATGTTCTATAATGTAATGAGGTGCTAAAGTTTACAATCTGAACATGTTAAAACACCATCTTACGTTGTTGGGAGAGTTGTTTTCATTATATATACATCAATCAAATCATTTAAAAGCAAATGTTTACATTCTTGTAGCATTTAACGAATGATCTTTCATTTTGGTACCATCTGAGCTCATGTACATAGTGCTTTGAAATCACTGAAGAGAAATATATCAAGTAATTAGGGGGAGATCTCAAGACTAAGGTTCTGTTTAAAGAAAAACACCCATTCACTAAATACGTTTAAAATCGGAAGTCCTTATTGGAAATCAAGCGTGTTTAAGCCAATCCTTGATTTTATCTTTCAGTCAGGATGATGAAGTGTTTTGAAAACGTTATCCAAAAATGGACTTATGATTGGCACACTTTTGGAGGAGAGTGTATCATATTTGACCACAGTAGAGAATACTCTTACAATGGGTATCCTGAAGGCCTAATATGTGTCCTCACGAGGACATGTGCTAGGATCTTATAAAATTTAACAAAAGCTGACCATCGAGTTTGACCAAGACAGTCATCCAATGATTGAGTTACCTTAGGATGAGGTGGAACGGCATCTCATACTTGTTTAATAATATACATGATTGTCAGCTTAACTTTTTAGAGCCTTACCCTTGTTGAGCAAAATTACTCCATATCTGCATTAAATGTTTTGATAGTTGTCGTTCTCCTTCAGTTACAGTTTCATTCAAACTTGGATCCAGCACCAAGCCAAAAACATAAGGTAAAAATGAGCCATGAGGAGCCTTCACTAATTTCTCTTCTTCTGAATGCCTCCAAAATGATGACCGTTGCGTGAAAAGATAAACAAAAGTACTTGCATTGAAAGACACATGATTAATAGCATCAGTTATTGTGGGAATGATATAGTTAAAGTCGGACCATGCCTCCATATACGAGGCAAGATATGCAGTTTCTGATGGTGTATCGGGACTATACTCGAATATAATTGAATCTTTTAAAAGTTGGTTCACAGATGTACCAAATACTTGTCTTATTTTTTGTGTCATTGCCATTTCGAATGACTCCTTGTCGGGCAATGACAATGATACACTCTCCCCACTTGATGAGAACGATGCATCATTTAAGTTTGTCCCAATGATATAAGGTACTTTGTTAAACTGTCCAGTTGTCCTCAAATCACTGGGGTATTTTGGCAAGAAAAGGCCGTCAACTAAAGGTTTGAAGCCAGTCAGTGTTCTCAGTGTTGTAAACTCCTCTACTGATTTCTCTTTCAGACATTGCAATGTCTCCCTTGTATCTTCATCCGGGCAGTTGACGTTTTCAGCAAGACCCTTGACTTGAAACGCAGGGTTAACGTTATTGAACCCTTCAAAATTTGCAATACCACTCATGCATATCGCTTGATCAAACCATCCTTTGCTTAAGGGACTTAGAATATGAACATTTACACTTATGGCTCCTGAATAGTCTCCGAATATTGTCACATTATCAGGATCACCTCCAAATACTGCAATATTGCGCTTTATCCAGTGCATAGCTTCAAGTTGATCCAAGAAGCCCATGTTACCTCTAACTAATGAATCACCCGTGCTAAGAAAGCCCAAAACACCAAGTCTGTAATTCATCGTAATGACAATCGCATTCCCGTGAATAGCTAATGTTGAACCATCAATAAGCATACCAGATCCAACTAAGAATGAGCCACCGTGAATGTATAGCATTACAGGTAACACCTGACGGGGGGAGACGCCGCTTAGAACAGGTGCGAATATGTTGAGGGTGAGACAATCCTCGCTTGTCCTTTCATGAACAACATTAGCAACAAGTCTGGACATTTCAGGAGATACCATATATTCCTCCGCCAAATATTTCTTCAAGAGGGAAACATCTTGTGGGCACATATCGCCATATGCTGTTGCATTTCGGGTACTATTCCATTTTGATGCATTTTCGGGTGCGCCAAAACGCCTTTCTCCAATAGGTGGCGCCACATATGGTATCCCCAAATACTGAGTCACGTTGCCTGAAAAAGTAAAACGATGTTGATTAGATCTTACATAAATATGACACTGACAGATGTCATAATCAGTAAAAGACGAAGAGGAAGTAAGTAGCTAAACTACTTGCGATATAATTACGCTAGGTGGTTGGTCGTAACTCAGTCCAGGAGCCATGGAGTTTGTTATGGAAGATAAACTTACTTTCGTTCCATGTTGTAGATAGTCATTTGGTTAACAAATAATGAATCAAACTCTAAGGTAGATAAATATTGATGAACGTAGGGCGGCTACATCCGTTCGATTAAACGTTAATGCACTCAAAACGTAGGGATACTCGTAGGGTAAAACTGACTGCATGTGAAAATGACTATATATTAGAATACTCTCATATAATTTACAAGGATTGACAATTAAATTCGTATCATTTGTGATCACATATGACATCCGTAAATTAAATGAATGAAGATGGTTTTTATCGTGTTGTAATATTATCCTTTGCAAGAAACAAGTTTTCACTATCTACTGGACATCTGTTATATTTATAATCTTTATAATTCAAGAACAAAATAGGATTGGTCAACCTTAGACTTAGATATTAGATTGCTTGCATTATTTATCTTTTGAACTTTTTGTTAACTTTTTATCTTTCAGAACAAAAATTAAAAATTGAATACAGCGTAAATGTTGTTTTGAATAAAGCAATGGTGCAATAATTATTATCACACATCATAAGTGGCTAACAAACGCCGAAACGGGCACTGATAAGTCGAAGCATGTTTAAGATATGCAAGTGCACTGGTGATTCACTCGATTACGCTGATTACCGAAACGGTTCGTTTCGGTAACAAAATGTCAGAACATCGAAGCTACGATTTTTCTTTTTTCCTTATTTCACACCTTGTAGGCAGAACAAATAGTTCAGAAGACAACAGAATCGTCGATTTAATTCCTCACTTAAGTTACAGAAACGGTATTTCGAAAAACAGTTAAGATCTACACTTTTAACCCAAACCGTTTCTGTAACTTAAATCGACGATTCTGTTGTCTCCTGAGCTATTTTTTCGCAAACATGTACATTTTCTAAAACATATGATACTGATACAAGTTTGTGAGAAAAAACGTCGTGGGGATTCTGCCTACAACACGTGAAATAGGGAAAAAAGAAAAATCGTACCTTCGACGTTCCGACACCCGAAATGAACCGTTTCGGTAACCAGCGTAATCGAGTGGATCACAAGTGAAGTACGTGCATGCACGCCAGTCAATGATTACTATGACACGATTAAGTAGGAAATACAAAATGAGATTTAGTCTTCAGCAGGGAAATGGATACCTGAAATGAACCAATAAAAGTACTTTGATAGATTGATCAACCACACTGCCACTTTCAAAGCTGATGATATTAGCAAGGTGCCCAATGAATTAACTGATAACGGTGTCACTCAACCATAATATGTACAGTCAAGAGTTTAAGAGGCAAGCGGAAAGACTATTAATTTCAAACATAATAACGCTATCATGCAATGTTGTGATTTTTGGTTAAAGACTTTTCGAGTCATTTGGGAATCTAGTAGTTGGGTTGAATTTACTTTTTTCCAGACCATCTATTTCATGGAACGCGTAACTGTTATTCCAACGGCAGAATGTGTTGAACAAACTGAGGTAAGGAGGATGTTCATAGAGGGAAAACCGTTTTGTTTTGTTAGATATTTTGTTTTCCAAATGCCATTTGGAGCACCCGTACACGAAGTACAAAAATGAAAATAAGTGAAAACCTCACATTACAAATAACTTGTATTTCCTAGATACATAATGTGACTGTTATGCTGCCCAACTTAAAACATAATTATACATACCAAAATGCCCACAAAATATGATGTCATAGACAAAAACCTTTTTGAACTCCGTGAACTTCTTGGGATGTTGAAACTTTGTAAAACTCGAACTGATATCAGTCCATCTTAATTTGGGGTTTTGTCTTTTTTGAATTATTATTCTATTATCTGAATAAACCGCGTCCTTGCGTTATTTGAGGTTAAACGAAGATAATGTGATGGAAGTAAAACTTATTTTGATTGCAAGATTGAACACCAATTTTCAGCAATTCTCTGAAGATGCACACACAATATGATTTGAGATAGTAAGACAAGAGTGTCCATATTGAGAGACAAGAATATCCAGATTTTAAGAAAGTGCCAAGATTGTAAGACAAAATAATGCAGATTCTAAGACAGGAGTACCAAGATTTCGAGACAAGAGTGGTATACAGATTATAAGAAAAGAGTATCCAAGTTGATTCCCAGATTGTAAGAGTATTCAGATTGTAGAACAAGAGTATCCTGATCATGACACAGGGGTATCAGGATTAAAAAGTACGTACGCCCAGATTGTACCCATAGTCTACCAGGGCCAGGTGGTAAGACAAGAATTCCCAGATTTTAAGACAAGAGTATCCTGAATATATGAGACAAGGGCAACAGGAGTTTTAAGACAAAAGTACTTAGATTGAAAGACAATCGCATCCAGGTGAATATCCATACAACAGTTCCCAGATTATACAACAAGGGTACCAGGAATGTAAAAAAATAGTCATTGTAAGACACGGTTATCAAGATAGTGAGACAGGAGTATATACAGGGTGTCCCGAAAGTATGCCCCCCCCCCAGGCAGACATTTTCCAGTGTCCTCATAGTATGTGTCATATATCATTTTAAAGCTTATCCAAAGTTACATTGATTTGCCAAGTATTATGGTTTAACTCCCAAATGGGAAAAGGTTACAGTCATTTTAAAAGTTAGTGTTTTGTCAAAATAAAGTTCAATTTTACCCCACATTACTAGTCAATGTGTCCCCCTTGACCATGTTAACAACAGCAATTAATTATTTTCAGATATGACCATAAAAGCCCTTCAAATAGGGGTGTGGAATTTTATAACCCTCTTAAAACCTGTTAATGGACTTTAGAAGAGTTTCCATAGAGTTTCTACCCTCACCGTTCTCTTTTTCAAACTCAATATCCCTCCGACCCGAAAAGAATTGCTGCTGGATGGCCCGGGAGGACACACTGACTAATGATTTGGTGTAAAATTGAACTTAATTTTGACCAAACACTAACTTTTGAAATGCCTGTAATTTTTTCACATTTGAGAGTTGAACCATGATACTTGGCGAATTAATGTAACTTTGGATAAGCATTAAAATGATATATGACACATACTATGACGACATTGGTATGTCTGCCTAGGGGGGCCCAATACTTTCGGGACACCCTCCAGATTGTACAACAAGAGAACTCAATTTCTAAGGCAAGAGTGTCCAGAATGTACACAAAGAAGTGCACTTATAAGTCAAGAGTCCCCAGGTGATAGACGAGTATAAAGATTGTAACAAAACATAACGTATTTTCAAGGAATATTGAAAATACAGTTCGATAATAAGGAAATCAAGTTAGATATCCCAAACAATAATATCACGTTAAAAGAACCAGTATATAAGGGGCATTTTTCCCTCTGAACTTGATCATTATTCAGGATCAAACACAGCAAGACGAAGAGACATTTTAAGTCAGTTATGGAAAAGTGCATAAAAGCAACAAAAAAGCAATAAAATTCGTATAAACACGGATGTTTATTGCCATTTGTGAGCTTTCCAATTATAGTATGCAATGTTTTATATGACTTTTAATCACACTCGACGTCTTATGAAAAGCAGAGATATATCACGTTTCTTAATTATGAAATAAGAAAACATATCTCACCCCAACAGGAAAGTTATTCGCCATTTTACACCCCAGAGAATGCAAGGCATGACAGGAATAAGGGAGGTTGATTTGTGCTTCCATCGTCCCATGCAGCTCGTAAAAAATAAATATGATCTTCAGGCCTAGATATATTTAGTCTTTTTTATTAGTGAAACCAAGGACGTCTTTGGTGAAACCTACTTTAGGCCTATTATACACATCCCTTAAAGTCGTTATGACTTTCGTTCTAAAGCATCTGACTGGTTCCAATATTGAAAGAATTTGAAGAATATACTAAATATAGGTATGTTGTTTATTAAATGCAAGGGCATGGCGATGTAATGCGACGCCTGGATAAAGCCCCGGTTTTTCATGTCAAAATGGACTAGTTAGCCACCAAGGATTAATAATTTCGTTCTGTGATGATGGATCCGCTTGGGAGTGACTTGATAAAACACGTGTTGAAATTCAATAACATCTCTATTCTTTATTATGTATTGATATTATTTATCTGAAAACGGCCTACATAAAATCGTAGACATCACAGTCTGTAATTAATAACATTGGTCTTTAGATCAGACAATTTATGAACTTTTTGCATGCTTAAAACTTGATATTGATTGAACATTCTTAGTTACTTCCTGTTTGCTATCCTGAAGTCTTTGTTATGGAATTTGATCCAATAATGTAATAATACAGACGGTGTAACCTCCACTACCCCTTTCAATAGTGGGTTTTCGTTCTGTAAAAGAGAGCGTCATTCACTATCCTTTGGGGTTTCAAATCTAGGGTGAGCGTTGGCATTTCTATTTTGAATATTTTGTTTTGTATTAAACATTTCCCAGACGAGATCCATTGATTTCACACGTTCCTCTCTCGAGGAGGGATGACTAAGCCCTTTGATTTCAGGGTGGTCGAAATAAATAGGTTATATATTCAAGCATACATTATAATTAAGGAGACGTTATGTTGTATGGGATTTTTTATTTAACTGCATCATAATGGATATGATATAAATAGTCAAGCTATAGGATATACACGAACATTATAAAAGAGTAAAATCCTTATTCAAAGCAGATCTCCAATTCCCAAAAATGATTGGCAACGCCAATTTTTCATCAATGATTCATCATCTATTCAACAAAGTTATAAAAATTTGAGGTAGGCCTTTAGTAAGGCTTATATCACATTTTTATGACTTACAATGTGAAAGCCAACACTGATATCTGTCTTATACCCCTAGTTCAATGATAAGCTTTAAATGTGTACCTTAAAACCATAAGATTTCATGATTGCATGCTGCAAAACAGAATTTTAGCGTCATTTACAGACGCCAAGTGTCTCTATACATTTTTTCAAAATACACTCCCCTCCATAAGTTTGGCAACCTTTTTTCCCCCATTGAACTACGTGTTAAAGCCTCTTTACCTTTGAATTTTTATTTACTTAACCTGCAATGAAAATACTTATAATATTGATGGGAACGTAATTTGACTTTAATTCCAATACCTCCAAATTTTCTCAATTTTTTTCCTCAATTACAATAGGTCGAAAATTGATGATAAATTTGATGAATTTTTGAAAATCGACATTCCCATGTTTACCAATGAGAAATGGTAGGTTTGCCGCAAGTCATATGACAGAATATCCATCCATCCGAGTCCTTGCAAAAAATACGAGTTAGGCAGGCAATTGAAATTGCTAACTTTATTTAACAAAAAATTGATATGTTTCTTCAGGTTCAAAAAAGTTATAGGGCTTTAAAGTCAAAATTGTTTTTCAAAAAATCTCTCCCATTGAAATAACACAGGAGGGGAAAAATTATTTTCAAAAATGACTTTGAAGCGCTGTAACTTTAATATTCATCAAATAAACTAAACACTTAGTGTTCAAAAAAGTTAGACAATTCAATTTTCTATATAAAAATATTTTTTGCTGAATCTTTTACTGAAAAGATATCCTGGTTTCTGATTTGCCCCGAACCCTCCATTTCCCATTGGATTACATGGGAATGACGATTTTCAAAAATTCATCAAATTTATCATCAATTTTCGACCTATTGTAATTGAGGAAAAAATTGAGAAAATTTGGAGGTATTGGAAATAAAGTCAAGTTACGTTTCCATCAATATCATTTGTTATTTCATCGCCGGTTAAGTAAATAAAAATTCAAACGTAAGGAGGCTTTAACATGTAGTTCAATGGGGGGAAAAGGTTGCCAAACTTATGGAGGGGACTGTACTTCTGATCATAACATCCCCAGTTTAAATCGATTCTGAAAACGTTTATTAAAACACCTTATTGTCAGCTTGTCGTTCCATTTTTATATTTATTTTCCTTTGCAGTCTTTCATACGATGTATTATTTATAATTCGTTTACTTCCGATCAATACGTAAATGTTGATCGTTTTTCAGATACGAATTATTAAACATTGGCAGCTGATCCTGCCATGCTTAACAGGAGTATAAATTTCAGGGAAACAGAAAGTAGTTTTGTTTTACAGCTATACGCAAATATCTGGCATCTAAAGCTCAGTGGTTCTAGCCCATGATGATTTATAGTGGGGACCCCCTGTCATTTACACGTGGATTGCGATTGTATCAGTAGTTAACGCTTGTCAGAATACTTCACCAGTTAGTCCAAAATTTGGGTTAGACATATCATGATAGCCCTTAGAAAAATGGTTTTAGCTAGGTAAGTTGCAACTTACAACTATTTACATTTTAGTTGGAATTGGTAGCTCAACGTGGTATTCCTTAAAACACTCATATTTATGAGAGGTGTGGAGAGATACTTTTCTTTGCAATTTTAGCGTTATTTTTTCAATCACGGCCTGCTTTTTATAGACGGGCTCTATTTTCAACAAAGCACTGACCTGATAAAATTAAGCCTCCTTGTTACAATTTAAAAAGTGTGACCATTTGTTACAGACTACATTTTACAGACGTGCACCACTATTTACAGACGCCGAACGCCGATGCCTATGCCGAACACTGGTCACAAAAACACTTCTTGGTTGCAGCCTAGCTGCAATTGCTAACCGTTTATTACAAAAGTGTAACTATTTTTACATACTTGCAACCAATTTGAAGACGCCGAACGCCGACGCCCACGCCAAACGCTAGTCACAAAACAACGGTGGCGATAACATATCACCACTCCTTAGTTGCAGCCTGGTTGCAATGATTAACCGTTTGAATTTGTAACAAACGTGTGACTATTTTCTCAAACTTACAATCACTTTTAAAGACACCGAACGCCGCCGCCCATGCCGAGCGCTGGTTACAGAAACGTTGATTGTACATATTTTAATATGTTTAATTCGTTTAACCCTGGATTATACAATACACCACCACTTCCTGGCTGCAGTCTGGTTGCAATTACAAAAGTGTTACTGTATATCTTTACAGGCAACCAATGTTTTTAAAATGACGCCGCTGAAACGGTGGCTGTACCAAATCACCACCGTTTGGTGGTAACACTTAATTAAACTAATATAAAGAATGCATATAAGATGAAGAAAAATGAACGCTAACTTTTGAGATATCGGGATAATTCCTTTTTAAATTCCAATTTTGTAATTTGATTTTTTAAATCTGAAATCATTACTTAGTGATTCATTTTATATGCACATTTAGACGCCTTACCTTTGGTTTAAAAAAGTTACGTAATGCTCGGATGTCAGTGACGGGCGAATTGCTAACATATGGGGCCCTTTGGCTACATTACCTGGATTTACGAGATGTGATAAATATACCAGCTTGATTATACGAGGATATTTGATATATCTTTCTTTCCCAATTTTTTACCGTGTTTGTTTATGCGTCTCGTTAGAAATCAGATACCATTTTGTCGTAACCGCACTTGTATACGGAATGGGTTATCAGGTCGACTTCTAATATGCTATTTTAAACCTCTATATATACATGTATGCATGTTACGTGCTTTGAGACTTGTATTTTGGTGGTATAAATGCATTTCTATGGAAGGAACTAAAAGGTTGGTCGGCTGAATAGCAGCAAAGCTCTAAAAAGTTTATGTGGATAATAAATAGCCTATATGCGACGCTGAATCAATTTTGCCTTGATGCGTTAAGTCAAAAACAAATTAAACCTGCATATTTTCAGAAATAAATGAGATGAAGCGAACTGATTTATTGCTATAATTACTATATTTTACCTGCGAAGGTTTCGACGACCTTTCCCCTCAGTCTCCCATCTTCCGTCTCCACCTCGACGTAGTCAATTATTGCACCGTTTGAGCTTTCACCAACCCAGGATACAATTACGAAATAAATAAATCCTAGGAGACGTGTTTCAAGCATCCTGGATAAGGCTTGTCAGGTCATTTTAGTTTCCTCGATCAGTCAATTTTACCTTTGCTACTTCGGAAGTGAATGCATTGCAGTTGTTTAGGTAGAACTATATACGGTTGCGTGGACCAACATGACTCCCCATTGTAAGTCATATCCGCACTGTCGTTTCACAATGCCCCATGGTCCTTTCTCCTGAAAGAGACAAGAATATCCTCTGAGCTGAACAATACTTAAATCTTTGAAGAATATATGCTCTACTCAAATAGTACAAAGCTCTAGCTCTGTCAGTGATACACTTTCATTCACTGGATATTTAAAATCAGCCTTGCTACTGTCTCCAGTCGATCATTTACAGCGACAATGTTCGATCCCGGTCTTTGCAAGTAGGACACGAATACATCTATTCCTCTATGAGGATGAATTAGTCCTTCTGTGTCGATCTCGTGAATCTTTATAGTAGAATCGAGAATCTGTTTGGCTTGAATAGAGTCCTTTCTATTCACCCTGAACAGCCTCGTCTAAATACCAGCAGTACTAGTAAGCTCTAGTAGTAAGTGAACCCTGTTTATATTCTCCTAAAAGCACATCATCATATTTACACCCCTTGAAATAAACAATGTGCGCATATGTTTTGAAATCCAGAATATGATTGATATGCGAGCATTTGTGGCCTTGTTATTCTTACAAAGCCAAATATCTCTCTTAAATGACAGTTGCCCTCTTTAATCGACCCAATTTCTTCGAAATGTTAGCCTGGCACTCGGATCCTTTTATCTCATTCTGACGCTTGATACCCTTTGCATTCGTTTGACCCAAGAGAGCTTCGTCGGTAGTTAATAACTAGACTCTGAGATGAGGGTAGACGCTTGCTTGACTTTATTCTCTCTCCATTTTGATCATTCATCGCATTTTTTCTTTCTTACTATGGGCAAAACAGTTCTTCCAATCGCCATCCACAATTCTACAACGAGCAAGATTACAAAAGAATAGAGGCAGTATTACCGTCTACTAAAACCTATCGAGCTAGATGTATCCACAAAGGTTTTGTTGTTTTCCGTTGCATGTCGAAGAGAATATGTCATTATTTAACATGGGTAGACTGGTAAGATAAATGATGCAAATTGAGTTAGTGGAGATGCACTTCATAGTATATATTATTTCACTTTTCGGAGACGTTTTCATTGATCTGAAATGGCGATCAAAAACATTCAATGGTTGCTTCAACTTGACCTGGGGAAACAGACAGTGGTCTTGGTGAGAAATATGCCTCTATGTATTGTGCTATTTGATTGATTTTATCGTACAAAGCAAGGTATCGTTAATTTACCCGAAACAGTGTCATTCAAAGCGTTTCCTACGATGCTGAACATTACATCCGTAGCTGAGAGGTATTTGATAATATCTTTTTAATGTAGTAGTTCACGTTTCTTGTATATTTATCCAAATGAATGACTAATAAGCCCAAATCGAATAGCTGAAAAGGTTACGGTGGATATGACCCTTTGATTATGCGGTATATCCTCACGCGATGAAACGGAAAGAGGTTGTTTTGCGGCAAATGATATTTTTGTTCTTGAGAAATTCAACCAAATCTATATGTAGACAGATGAAAATGTAATTTTACATCGACTGCATGAGACTTCCGTTTTTCATAATTTTCTTTTTTACAAATACTAAAAGTCACCAATTTGCGGTTTCAATTGAAATACGGCATTTCAATATATGAATACAAGCTAACAACTCAACTAAATTGATATAAGGGTCTTCACTTTCTGTGAAAATAAATTCTATTATTATTACCTTATTTGCCTGTATTTAAACACATTTACCTACACATTTTCTTTCATAATTTCATATTGAACATATGTGAATATACATATGTCATTCAAAACTAACATGCCGTGTTTTAAGTGGGCACATGTCAAATTGTTCGTCTCATCAGCGATGTCACGTGTTCCATGTGGGAAACAGCGGTGAATGTAAGTGATCTTGAAAAATATCATATTAGAATGGGGAGCGGGAATTAAACAATTTCTTCAAAAAATAAACATCTTCTAGAAATTGCTAACAATCTTACGGTTCAACCATTTTTGGTAATTTGACATTTTAGATATGATTTCTTTACTAAAATAAACACCTGGTTGGATATGCGTTCTATTCAAAGAAGAATCAGATCGAACGAGCGACCTTTTCGTACACAACCATATGCATTGTGTATTTCACATTTAGTGCAATATTCATATTTATTGTAATATTTGACCATATGCAACATGCTACTCACATTAAGTGCAATATATGTATTTATTGTAATATCAGTCTTCGACCATGTGCATGATACAATTCACATTGAGTGCGATATTTGTATTTATTGTAATTTTTGACCATATGCAACATGCTACTCTCATTTAGTGCAATATATGTATTTATTATGCAATATCGATCTCACATTAGCTGCAATATATGTATTTAATATAATGATTGACAATATGATTCCATGAACTGCTTATTTATGCCAAACTGATTAATCAGACTGAATTTATATCATTGGTTATTAATGTATAAATTTTTACCAGAGACATTTTTTGTCTCTGTCTTTATGAATGTTGACCCAAGCTGCCCATTGGGGGTAGTAATGGGTGACACTCAGATATAATGTATACTGTGTCTCATAAGTCGGCACCGGCTGGTGATGTTACAAAATGTTGTTTTTATTATGTATTTTATATGTATATTGTAATATCAGTGACACAAAAATAAACTCTTTTAAACTAAAACTAAACTAAAACGTATTTTGGATCTTAATTAAGAACTCTCGTTTGATGAAGTCACAGATCTTTTGGAAGATTGTACATATTTCCAATAATCTGTTTATCCGATTCCAACAACAATTAACGTGAGCGTTGAGATGGGTGGGGCTCACGTAAATGAAATTCGAAATGACTCCACTTAGGGTTGCCGATTTGATATTGGATAAAATAACAATTGGATCAAAACCAGAACACCGCAGTATTATGATAAGGTAATCGATGATAACACCACGCATTCCATATCCATTGCCGTTGATTTTGCAACTTGAAACGTTACTGAAGTGTCTCGAGTCGATCGACTTGATTAAATCAACTCTCCGTTGGGAGAATTTAGAATTTCTAATTGTTGTGCACTGCAGGAGCATACAAGACAACAGTGCTTTAAAACTTATAAAACTCCCCGACGTCTAAAAATCAAGGATTGTGATTCTCCTCTTGCACAGCTTTCTTGTATTAGAATTAGAATCACTTCCGTCTTAATTAGCGGCGCCGATGGATCGTGTGTTTGCAAGATGGACATTTTCCCAAAATTCAGTGTCGGTTTTTAATTAAACATCAGTTCTTTCGCTCAATCTTGATGATTTTCTCAAATATATGTTCATCACTGGCCTCCATTGCTGCATATACTATGTTTACATTAAACGCAATACTTTTGAAAACGTGTTCATAACAGTTTTCCATAATTCCCATTTCCTTTAAAAACGCCCCGTCGGACAGGAAATGACTACGAGCGATTTTACATATGACTCTATTCTTTATGAGGTGAACATGACCGAATGCTAGCCAAATGACAAAAATGGGACAAACTAAGCATTTTGAAATGAGAACGTCCCCTTTGGTTGCAGAACTAGAAGGATTAAGCTATTTCAATTTGAAATGTTTTCCAGATAGATGTTTTCGCCATCTTTAATCTGGATATTTTTCAGAGTTTACTTGAGTGATTTCGTATTACCTATTCTCTCCACCAAGTGGTTTAAACTTGAATAGGTTTTAACAACACACATTTGTTTTTTATTTATTTGCAATTGTGTGTTAATATTGAATGAAAATAGATTTATATGAATCTTTGATGTTTCATCGAATAATGTCCTGGATGTAGTTCAGTCCGAGTAGTACAGTCAGAAACCTACGTCCCTCGGCTGTATTGTGCATTAATCGCACGCCCTATCAGCAAACGTCGTATTTCACTAGTGCCACCGGCTATCTCCCAACCTTTTGCATCGCGTAGTAGCCTCCCAGCCGGGTAGTCATTTATGTAACCATTTCCCCCTGAAAATAAATTCGATACTTTATTATCAAAATGCGAATATTTCAAATGCGAAAATGCGAATATTACAAAAACATAGCCTATTTGACGAGGGAAGTTGTATGACCTGATTATTATTATTATTATGTTTATTTTATCCATCAGTTTTGATGAGTACATAGTATGAGAGTATAATTTAGTACAACATTTGTACAATATTTTATGTAGTTTTGTAATTTACAGTTTTTATCTATATACAGTTAAGATGTCAGAAAGTTGCATTCTAATATACAGTGTAAGTAAGAATAACATGCTACATGTAGGTATTCACCGCATTGGGTTAAGATCATACATTTTTTGTTACATTAACGTATCCTCTTTCGGTCGCATATTATACATTTTATAAACACTTTGTGCTATCCTTATAAGTCCCTCGCAGTCTAAAATCTGTCCCTCGTCAAAAATAAAGTTCAACTTCTGCTGATTTGTACATGTAGTGTCAGTCAGACCATATTCTCTCATTATATCCAGAAGGGGGGTTCGTTCCACATTTAAAGGCTCACATTCAAGCAACATGTGAGATAACGTTTCAATTTCACATTTGCACATTTTGCATAGTCGTTCATTGGTTGGGTTATTTTTCCAGCGACCTATATTCACTTGAAGATTTCCTTCACCTGTCATTAACTGATGACTAGACTTGTCCACGCTTTTTGAACAAAATCTTACCTAAGAAGCCAAAAAAAGAAAAACGTCTAATTTAAAGGTATGGTCGTTCCTATCAAAAACAATTCATTTAATATTTTCCAAATCCTGACACCCATAAGCTAGTAGTCCGGTCGAGGCTAAGGAAAATCAGACTGTCAAAATGTGATTTTAAATCTGACATCTCGATCTCTTACTTACCAAGTATTTGTACTACATCCAGAGCTAGCTTTGTTGCTTTTTCTGCACATAGCAATATCACAGCTGCACAGTCCTTTGGGTCCTTGGCTCCTCTGTCACATGCTCTAGCCACATTGTACAACAGGGACCGGCAAACGTTCACATCAACATACATATCCGCCATTTTCCCTTGGATTAACTAAATTGTCAAATTAAGGGAATTTAAGCATTTGATATGCCATTTTTAAAATTTGTTTCAACAATACTGACAACTTTGTTCAAGTATAGGAAGACTGCGAAATTACCAGATATAAATGAAAGCTTTTGGCGTGTCTTTTGTTAAAAGCTTAGAGATGCGTCGCCAGAATTCAAGATAAGTAAGGCAAATGAAAATAATGCAAAGAGATCTATGAACTTTATGCGCCATACTTTTTAAAGTTTTATTTGAAAAGCGTCTTAAATTATGTGATGAGACATACCTGTAGCTATTTACAATTGCAACCATGCTATTAGGTCAATTAGGCTCAATTTCAAATGCAGAGAAGTCAAGTAAGCTATACCGTACAAATACTATTATTTCCTCTCTGTAGAATAAGTTATATGTAATATGATATTGTTATGTACCTACCTGGAATTCCCCTATGTTCTTGCCAAACTGTTTCCTCTGGTGGGCATACTCAAAGGCCACATCACAACATGCTTGTTGTATTCTAAAATAACAAAAAGAAAAGGAAATGTATACATGATCAAAAACCTATAAAATGAAATACTGACCTGGAATTTCAAAATCTGCCTTGTTTTTCATGATAAATATGTTGTCGAGATGGCCGAGAGTGTTTGAGGGCCGGCACGTTCAGACTAGGCGATTGGGCGCCGTAACCAAGAGGTTGCGAGTTCGAGACGCGTATATTCTTGATAAATCGAAAGGTTTCCACAAAACTGCCCAGCTAAAATGCATCAAAGAAATATGACAACTTATTTTTTACCAAAAGTACTATATATACCCGAGTGGTGGAGCAGCAAGGTTAAGTCGTTCATAGTCCAGTCCACGCATCATTACATACACTCCTTTGTTCTCACCTCCCAAAACGTTCGATTCTAAAATTGCAATTTTCTGCTTTTTGAAACTTAACATTAACAGTAACTTAACAGTAAAACCAGTGTACGTGGAACACAGTTGGTACTACTAAAATATTTACTACTAGGTTCATTTAACATTAACAATATGTAATGGAAAATTGTTTCACTTCCATAGGTGTCCCACTTTAGGTTCACTGTAGTTCCAAACTTCTAACTTTGTATTTTATCTAAGGTTAAGTAATACCATATTAAATTAATGAACCCAAAAGTAAGAAACTAACTTATTGTTTATAAATAAGGATGGACACGCAATTACCTGGGACAATACAGTCATCAAAGAAAAGCTGGCACATCCCCATGGCCCGCAAACCTAATTTGTCAAACGGTGGCCCTTTGTTGAATCCTGGACTATCCTGTAACATTAATAGTACCAGGTTTGATATGTAAAGCCTCGGTCAAATTTGCTCTACGGCGAGCGCACGGTGGACGTAGTTTCATAAAATCCATATAAAAAATCTACATTGTAATGCTTATCTCTATATTTAATGCTGCATATTTCTCTCGATTTTGGTAAGCTATGACCGATGTACGGTTGCCGTAAATCAAATGTAACTGGGGCATTAGACTCCGGAAGTTGAGTTTTCGCTGAAGGCCTGCATAAACAGATCGAATTTTTTCTGAATCTGATTAGTGTACAATAATCAGTTACTATTCCAGTGAATTAAAACATATTTAAGTTTTGTGTTTGACTGCTGAATTTTTCCTGAGTAATTGGAGATTTTATTCATGGAACCGGTGGTTTACAAATTCTAGGGGTGGGTCAAATGATATCCTAGCGGTTATAATGCTTTTGAAATGCCTTCGTCAGGTTGAGATCATGGCCGTTTATATTAACTATTTGTTGTACATAAATACTTACAGCTTCCACTATAAATGCTGTGATGCCATGCTGTTTCTTTGTGGAGTCGGTTGTGGCATAAGTTAGAAGGATATCTGCTTCTGGTCCATTAGATATCCAAGTTTTCGTACCATTCAACCTATAATTGCCATCTGCAAATTGAAAAGTTTAAATCACCAGAGCTATAAAATTATGGGTCTATATACACTATGTTAAATATTACAGATGGTACAGGGTGACACAAAAAGTGCCACCCACATAATGTTGCATAACGTTTTTGTCTTCAGGATTTCTGATTTTTTCTTTTGCACATGAAAACTAGACTTCACGGAGCAGCTTCAAAAGGTTAATATTAACATGTTGCCCCACTTTTTGAAATCACTAAGTATATGTTTTGAAATTGAGAATAAGGTACATGGTATATAAAATCGTGTTGACTAAATTGTGCCGTTTTAGATAACAAAAAAACTTCAAAAAACTAAGGGGTATGCCTATACCTTGACGTTCTGCATGTAATTTCATACTGACGGCATCTGAGCCACTTGTTGTCTCACTTATAGCCACAGCTCCCAGTAACTCACCAGAACACATCTAGAAATACAGGTGCATACATATTCACTCAAACAACATATCTACACAGGGACTTCGATTCCCATTTTATACCATTTGTAAGTTAATTGAGCAAAGATACCAGTTTTGAATCATAAGTTAAATTGTATAGATTTACATTTCTTGAAAAGATATGAAATAAACATAAAGGAAATGTCATATTTGCAATATTTCTAGTGAACGTTCGGTAATCATCTGGTTTTAGTGTTCAGCTGTTCCCTCACCTTGTTTTCAGTAACTATGAGTTTAGAAGTTTTCACAAATTGAGATACAGTATACTCATAAACCGATTTACTCTCGTTTATCACAAAATTAAGCAATACATGCCTTCCATGGGCAGCTAAGCATCCACAAAAACGATTCTTCAATTGAGATTGTAAAAACGAACTCTTGTATATTCTTTTAATCTCAAAGCCTCGGTTATCTTAATTTGGTTTTTATTAGAACGTGACCACGACTCTACCTACTTTGGGAAGAAACCTTTCCTTCTGTTCTGTGGTACCATTGAGTACTATATTGTTCATGGAAAGGTTTGTATGTGCGCAATATAATGCTCCAAATGATGCAGATGCCCGTGATAGTTCTTCTGTTGCTATACATTGAGCCAGATAGCCCGCATCAGAACCTCCAAATTCAGCTGAAAAATTGAATTGGATATCATACAGTAGGTTAGTAAAGTTGCAATAAGATCCTTTACCCCCTCACTTTTCTCCGTCCTCGGCAGGAGGGAGGGAGATGGGATTCATTATTTGGCAAGACTAGAATTTTGGTCAGTTTACCTGGAACGGTCATGCCTAGTAGCCCCATTTGTCCCAGTTTGTACATCTTCTCTCTGAAGCCAGGAAATGCATTGCTTTCATCTCCCTCTGCAGCGTATGGAGCTATCTCCTTCTTGGCAAAGTTAAATACTGTCTCTCGAAGCTGAAAGATGTTCATACATACTAGTTTAAATTGGAGAAACTCTATTCCTTTGTTTCAAATGACCACAGGCGGCTTAGTTTCTATCATTTACAGAACTATGTATTCCAAAAATTGCAAATGCTTTTAAAATTCATCTTAAAGAACAAGTAAATGTGAATGATCTTATACTTACCTGTATGAGTTCAGATGATAATCCATAGAGGCTGTCATTAACTGGGTAATACGAAAACAGACATTTTTGCCCTAGGCTTGTTCTACGTGGGACTCCAAGAATCCCTCGAAGTGATCTCAAACCAGCCATGTAAACTTTTATGATTATTTTATTCTCGTAGGAATAAGTTTATTTCTAGACTAAGGATTCATGATGTGATTACATGTAAGCTTGAATTAGAATAAAATAGATAAAGTGCATTTTGTATTATGGGTAAAGACTGTCTATTTTTCATTCATTAACTTAGTACAGAGTTATCTCAAAATAAGGTCATCCGGCAAGTCAGTTTATATTTTATCAACAAAAGTCAAGTAGATAAACTCAAAGATTAAACTCAAACTTCTTTTGGCCTACTCCATTATATTGAACAGTTACGTATTTTATATAGACAAATACTTACATTAATTTATTATATGCAATACTTAAAGCCTCACTATGCGTATTTTCAACATTTTTTGGCAAAATAGACTTATACTTTTGAACTTCATAGTATTTCCAAAGATTGACAAGTACTTTATCTTTCATTAGACATCAAAAACAGCTCAAACAAATCAAAACTTACAATAAATTATTAAAAATATTTTTGATCTGTCAAGTTTTTATATATCAACCATTTACCACCGCAATGAAAGATGGCGAAGTTGTTTGTTGTACATGATTCATTTATTTTATAGAAGTGTCGCCATCTTTTAAATTAAGAGTTATTTAAAAGCATGCACTTTGTCAAAATTGTGCATGCACTACTAAAGATCTCTCGAACTCGTCAGACGTCATTGCCCCATATATTTAACATTATGCCCAGTTATTACCGGCAATGACCAAAAGTATTCATAATGGAAACCAATGGCAGATCAAAAAGTGGGACCAAAACGCTGTCACACTGGGAGGTATTCCGGGTGTATAGGTTTTACTGTAACCATGGGCTTTCAATAGCTATTGAATGCCCATGCTGTAACCCTACATGTTCATGAGGATAAGGTCGTATTACTTTGAGGTCAAAGTCAAGTCAAGGTCACACATTATGCTCAATTTTGAAATAGTATTTTAAGTTCCTCTGTATCATATCTACTAGAGGCCAAATGTCGTTAGAACGGCTTCTTACTTTATTCCTTGATTGGTTCGACAAGGCATTGCATTAATATTTGACTTGCATAGAATAATTAAATCACATAATACTTTTATTTCATTTATTTAATATTTATTCATACTCATGATCATATAAACAGTACCGTCATAAACGGTATTTATAGTGTATACAGCAATTATTCCTATGTCACATTTGCTCCGATTTTCAATACAAGTGCATTGAAACACATTAAATTATCAACATTTGTACTTCTAGAAATGCCTCTATTGCATCATACATATCCACTAAAACACCTTTACATCAACTTTTCAAAGAACTTCTCTTGTCTCAATGATAACACTTCTTTATTTATTCAAAATAAATAAGATAAGCCGCAAGCGCTGAGACAGAGGAGACATGGATCACATTATAACTGGATCTTCATTCACCCTAAATACATGTAGTAGAACTAGTCAAATCTCTGTGTTATGATACTTTCTTTCCCATCCAGTACTTAGGTTGAGGCTTAGAAGTCTTTGTTATTTCATGAGCAGATCTTCGTATTTTCCGTCTCTCTGCATGATGTTGCTGCATCTCCATTTTCTTAGTTTTCTCCTTATCACTCTGGAATAAAAATGTGTCAGCAAATGAATTCAATAGGCTAGTTTGAATGGAATTCACTTCCAGGCTCTCAACTGGCTTTAGTTTGTGAATCAAGTTATTATTAACATACAGGTAACTTCATATTTTTGAATTATCCCCAGGTCTGTGCAAGTCATAAAATTGGAAAAACATTGCATATTTGGTAGTAGCTAAGTCATGCTCCATCCGATGTCTAAAAAGTGCATAGCTGCCATCACAGAAAGAATAAAACATATACCGGGAAAATTTGAACATATCTTTAATAAGGTGTCTGCAGTCATTTTTTTGGAACACTTTGTAAGCTTTGTTAGTATGGCAAATTAAGTATATCCAAAAATAAAAAGAAGGCTTGCCTTTTTCAGTGTAAAGGTCATCTCTCTGGCACCATGTGATGTTCCTGTTTGCCTCACTATATCAGAATCACCCTCACTTTTCAGCCTATCACCAAGACTTCTCCTGGAGTAAACAAAGTCACAACATGCTTTATCTCTTTACATAAGACTGGGATTTTAACTGAAAATTCAACTTGTATATACTTAGAGTTTGTTATGTTATTGTAAGTATATGACAAATGGGCATTATTCTGAAAAACGTTGAATAAAAGTTTGACTAATTCCATTTATAATTTAAGTTGGAACAGACAACTCTTCAGTAAACAAGACAATTTGAGCATGTGATTAAAACTTACTTTGTTTGTTTTCGTTTTTGAGATTTATCTTTTATTCCCTTGAACTCAGTACCATCTTTAATTTCAAAGAATTTCAATTTCTCCTGCCTTTCCTGCCATTCTTGTTTACGTTGTAACTTAGCTTCCTGTTGAACCTGTCTGTATTGTTGCTTCACCTAGTAGTAGTACATTATAGTTATTGAATTATTTGAAGTGCAATACAGGATATATTCTGCTCAAGAAATTCCGTATTGGAACGAGACGAAGAATATATACTGTATTGCACTTCAAATCATTCAATAACGTTTTTATCGTGTGATCCTCTGTATTGCTACTGAGATTGTCCCCTCCATACCAATATTTTCTGTATTGCGACGGAGATGATCAACGGGGACAATCTCAATAGCAATACAGCACGAGAACTGACCAATCAGAAGGCTTCATTTTACAGATCATACGATAAGTAGAATTACACTACTTACAGTAAAAACCTGTGTAAAAACCTATTGAACATTTTTTTGCCGAGAAAAAAATATCCAGTGTTGGTAGCTGTTCAGTACAGAGAGGGTAATTTATACAGAAGTCAATAGAGTATGTGCTGGGAAAGGGTGTCCACTTAAGACAGGTGTTCACTAGAGAGGTGTTCACTAAGACAGGTTTTACAACAACAATATTATTGAACAACAAGTATGCATTCCTATTAGTTTAATCATTTATATTCTAATCTCATAGATTCAAAGTTGACATATTAAAATATAAGATACAAAATAATATATAGATATAAAATACAATAAACTATAGATACAGTAATGATCAGTTCTTTGAAATTCACAGAGTATTCTATACTTTATGCTTTCTTTGTTATTAAATTCCTGACTTCAATTTGAAGTATTTTGGAGTAGAATATCAATCAAAAATAATTAATTTGGAGACAGAGAAAAGTTAACTTATGTATTACCTCTTGTGCCCATGTATGTTCATCGTCTGAGCTATCTTCATCTGAACTTGCTTTACCCTCCCTTTCCTGAAAAAACAAACAATCTTACATTGGAGTAAAGCAAATTGGCTGATGTACATTGTAAGTGTATTACTGTATATCATATTATTATATCTTGGTTACCGCCATATTTGGCGAGCAATACCTCATTGGCATATTTCGTATTTTACGTATTTTAAACTCGATGATAGAGCCAGAAACCCCTCCTTGGAGGAGCCAGGCCCGTAGCCAGAATTTTCCAAGGGGGGGTTCACTTTTCCCTAAAATTCTAGGGGGGGTTCACTTTGGCAAATTTGGCCAAAAATCATACAAAAAATGGTCAGAATGGTGAAAAACTGCATGATTTTGAGGAGCCCTGTGTTATTTTGTGTGCACACTGCACAGGTACACAGACATACAGGTACACACCACAGCCTTTTATACGAGTCGTGAACCACTCAGTCAAACACCCAGAATTACATAACGCACAAACAAACTTGTCTGAACCGGGAATCGAACCCGGGGCAAAGCGATATTGGTAACCTTGACTCTGCCACTGAGCCAGAGCGGGTGCTTATAAAGCAAGACTATTCTCTGTTGTTGTTCAAATAGGATGCACAATTCTAACTGGTTAATGAAAACACAGAATGAAATCCTATACTAAGGGCTCATATGAAAAAGTCAATCCACCCCAGTGGGGACTGAGCCTCGCAACCCCTCGTTTTGAGTATAGAGGTGTCAAGTATTAACCAGTTAACCGGTTAACCGCCGATAATGCCTTGACCGGTCTGTGTTTTTATGGGCGGTTAGTTGACCGTGTATAATTCTGTGATTTCCCGCGCTTATTTTGCATGCTAATCCGTTTGGTTTTATGGTGTCAGTTTCACGTAAGCTACTCATACATGTCATAAGTCCTATAACTCTTTACAAACATCCAATCAGCAACTTTAATCCCTCCCATATTGCTTTCCCACCCTTACTTTGCATTTTAATCTGTTTGTTTTTCAAGCGTCAGTTTCATGTGAGCTACTCATACATGTGATAGGTCCGATAATTCCTTACAAACATCCAATCAGCAACTTTAATCCCTGCCACATTGCTTTCCCGCGCTTACTTACATAGAATAGAGTAAAGCTTGACGAACATAAAAAATAAACGCCGATATATCATTTTTCCAATTTGTTTCAACTTTCAAGATCGAAGATGAAGATTTCATTTGAAATTATCAGTTCAAATTTCCCGCCGGTTAACCGACTTTAACCGGTAAAAAAACCCAGTTAACCGGTTAATGCTCAAGCGGTTAATTGACACCACTATTTGAGTATAAACTAATGAACAGAATGTTTGAATCTGGTTAAAATATTGCATGATTTTATCGTTTGAAGTTCTGACATTTACAAATAGGATGAGACTGTTTATAATGTGTTCAGATTTATAAGTTGTTTGTCAATGGGAAGTGGTCAATTCACATTTGATTCTAATAATTCTTCAAATGTATATTTTATGTTTTACTTCACATCAACCAATTATTGGAATAAGAAGTCTTTACTCACATCATCATCATCTTGGTGGGCCTCCGCCTCTACGATTCTCTGTGCTTTTTTCTGGCGGGACTTCTCTAATTTAGAGACAACTGGGTTGAGAAGTTTGTAGTCCTCACTCTCTGGATCCACTTGGAAGTCAGGATTCTTAAACATTGCACTGAACCGATCATCCTGTAGCAGTGTGGCTGCTTCCTTCTGGAAACACAATATACAACTGGACAATGTAGAACAATCACTCTCGCATATTTTCATGCAATAAAAATTTATAATTTTCATAATAAAGACAATATACTAATTTTTGCAAAATGCCCTATATCCAAAATATTTGACCAACAGTGTACTTCTTTGGAACAGAATCTTCAGTTTCAGTAAAAAATGTCAAATAATAAAGCTTGCATGCCTAAAAGCTGGCTACACTTATGTTTATATATTTCACCAATAGTAGGATTGGAGAGCACAGAATAATAAACTTCTATGAGATTGAACAGTTATCATAAAATACCTTTTTCTTTGGTTTGCTCTGCTCGTCGGCTTCTTGATCGATCAATTTCTCTGCTAAGGCACGGTTTACTTTAGGAAGTTTCTGAAATAGCGTCCAATTAACACATGTTATATATGTACATGTATGTAGTATATTTTGTAAGAAAATTTATTTCAAGTACAGTGAATTATCTTAATTTATTCTACTTTGATTTTGTGATTGTAATACAATTCAATTGCAGAAGCTGCAAAGTTAATCAAATTATGCAATTTTCATAATTTCAACATTTTTTTATAAGATAATTAATAGTTCTTATTAATGTAAGAAGTGCTTTACCTTAACCTTAACACGATTAGCACGTGCTTCTTCAATTTTCTCCCTAATCTTACTCCTCCTGTATTCCTCATAGGCAAATGGATCTGATATGGATTTAGCCTGGAAATGATTAAGTAAATAATTTGTTGTACGAGTATGTATGTGTATCTTTTAAGACTTTTGTATCAGTAAATGAGATACATTATACGAGTACATTACTTATTGTACTTGTTTTGGTACAACATCCCATGTATTACCAGAAGACAATTATGCAACCCTAATAGCGTAAGTGGTTTAAACCCGCACATTGCATGCTCTAAAAAGCAATATTACGACATACATTACTTTTATATTTTCATACAACAAGATTACTAAAGCTTTAAGTGTAAAATTGACATGATTAAAAACTTTTTCTGGGTAATATCAAAGCACAAGTAAATTAGTCAATATATTTCCAAATATAGAATGAACGAGCCATTAAACATACAAAATGTTACCACCTCCCATCTGTTACATTCATTACAGACGCCAAATGATGAAATCCAACTGCTGAATGCCATCCATTAAAAAGTTGGAGACTATAACAATATGTCACCACTTCTGGTGGTGACATAAAAATTCAAATATGTGAAACAGGATTATTTTACGATATTGTTAAGGATCATGACTTTATTTGAACATCTTAAATTTTCTGAGGAAGTCACCCATAATTATTTACTCACTCCACGTTTTCTACCTTTACTTGTATCACAACTCACCTTATTATAGAGTCGAATATCCATGAAGTAACCATGCATGTATGCTTTTAGTAGACTTGAACCAATCAAATGTGCCAAGCCAAGACTGTCTAGCTCTGTCCTCGTCACAAACTTGTAGTCATCATACACTACAAAATGATGGTCTATGATTACTTATTGGTTATTCAAAAAATTGAAAATAGTTTATGTTTTGCCATTGGTTATTTAAAGGTCAGAAAAGTTTATGATTGGCTGTTTGTTGTTCAAATATTTTGAAAGTTACTGTATTTACCAGTCGCATGAATATTACAGGAACTGATGTTTAATAATGGCATTAAATATTTAGATAAGACATGACTATTCAATGCTCTGACATTCAACAATGGATATCATTTTAACATTTCCTGGAAATGGCTACACATGATAGTATTTATTGTTATCAAACATGGTATGGGATAATAAGAATGAGACTAATGAGAGATTGCATATCCCAACATGAAAAGTAGCCTGAGTTCGATAAAAGTCATCTAACATATTACAAGGAATGATCATTTTACAATTCGACCAATCAGAGAGCACCATAGAGCAATGCTATTTTATTCATTTATATAAAGTGAACCGTCCTTAAAGAATGATGGGTTTTGATTGGTTCAGCAAGTTCAGAGAACTCACGGTACATGTAAAGAGTTTAAAACCTGACAATCACTGTTGCTGAGGGTAATAGTTTACCTGTAGGAGTAGGGTTCTCCTCCAGTTCTTCAGTCAGACTATCCAAGAAGTGGCACCACTTTGGAGCAGGACCTAGTGACTAAACAAAAAATATCAAATTATTTTGGTTAAATAAAAAACTTGAAACCAATGTGGCTAAAACAAACTGCCAACATCCTTACAAAGTACATTAACATCTAAGACACTCAGATGGTATGTTTACAAGTAGATATTAGTCATCATTCAGTGTTCAGTACAATCATTTATTCAATATAAATAATGCCTTACTGGAATATAGTATGTGAGCATCTTTGGAGCTTCATTAGCCATAAACACCATTCCTGAGTTCTCAACAACACACATGTCTGTCAGCACTGTACCTGGCTCTATAGACGTGTATGCTTTACCCTGGTAAAATACAGAAAACATGTAATAAAGTCAGATCAGTATGAGTACACTACAACTACTAATACACAATCTGAAAATATATATGTCAAGAGGTAATTTCCTGATTTCCCTAAAACCATTATATTGGTCCATGGCATTTATGAAGCATGATTCCCAATATTCTTCAGATACCAACACCAGGTTGAGGTTAGCAATACTAGACTGGAGCTAGTACTGAGAGGCAATGTCATCAATGTAAGTAATTGTCAGACAAATTACTGCTCTGAGTGGATGTCACTTATCTACATGGAAGACGTTACCTCCTCTCCCAATTGTTCCTTGATAAATTAATACAATCCACGATTCATAGCAGACTGAGAGTGGGCTATTGAACTTGGGAAATTATCAATAATGGGCCTACATACCGTATTTCTGTCCCATAGTTTTAAAATTCTGCTATCTTGTGATAAAACCAGGTCCGTGGATTTGTGGAATACTATATTTTTAATTGGAAGACCAAACTGGTGATCTTTTACGAGAAGTGGTTTGTCAGATCTAATGTCATAGAGAAGTATCTGAAATAATAGTTTAATATTAAACACAACGTGATTTGATGTTCACTAATAAATAGAGACAAGGCATTAACATGCAAAATGTCATCACTTGTCATTTGCTACAGACACCAATGGCGGAAACACTGAACAAAAGCCGCAGAACACCATCCAGAAAAAAGTTGAAGACTATAACAATACAGTATGTCACCACTTGGGATGGTGACACAAAAAATAAATGAGAAAATTTTCCAGAATGAAAAACTTATTTGGAAACTCATCTTAGATCTAAGCAAGTTTGATCTGATTTTTTATAAAAGTTGAATAACCAACTTATGGCCGTTTGGTTACTTTTTGAAAAGATTATATACTTAGTGTACTAGTACCCAAGAAAGAATTGATCAAGATTGTCTATCTCTGTATGGAAGAACTGTTTTTTACAATTAATTTCTGCCACACAAATGAATTGATTTTGAGAATAGAATATGATTTAAATGAATTATTAAGTGATACTTTTTAATATATGAAGTTGTAAATTCAGTTACCTGTCCTGTACTTGTCCCAACTGCCATAGTAAGAGCGTCCTTAAACTTCAGTGACGTCACTGCTGGTACTCCCTCTTTTCTGGAATAAGGAGATTCATATTATTAATTACTTAATACATGTATAAAGCTGGAGTATGCTGTAGTCCCATGTGTCGCATTATCCTTTGGTTTTATATCATTAAAGCATGGGTAGATATGTACAATAATCACATTTCTGATATATACAAGGATCTAGGTTTATTATCCATGACTACTACCATTTAAAATAAATCCGGTTTTAATCATTTACTCTAAACACTAGGCAATTTTGGAAAAAAAAAACTGATGAGGACTGATTAGCATGAAAATTCTCTAAAACTTGTCATTACTTTTTTTTTACTTTGATAGTGATTTCAAGTTTGCATAAAGTTAATTAAAAGCTAGCTAAGCTGCATCCTTACTCTATATCCTCTAGGACTGATGACAGGGCACAATCCAGAATCCCCACCCTGTTTCTTGTTCTGGGGTCCCAGCATTCCACATTACCCTGAAATAAACACACAATACATTATATTTGAATGAATGTGTTACAATAATCATGTACATGAAATTTTGTTGCGTATTGAAACGAGAAAAGGTAAAATAATCCAATGTATGTGACAGCCTCTCTTGTCTCCTTCTGAAGGTTTTGACAAATTATTTTAAGGGATTTAAAGTGCCCGATAAACTATAAAATGCGCATGCGTCCAGGTGTTGATAAACTATAAATAGCGAAAATCCAGGGTTTGTCACCACAAGGTAAGCCAGGACGTGTTGAGAGAACAGCTAGTGTTGATATTGAATTTATACGTAGCCAGATAAGTTTCCTTATTGAAATTACATATGGTTATTAGCAATACTTTGTAGGTGCTAAATAATAAAATATTTAGAGTATATATGAGAGAAATTGGTCATTTCGAACCTGTTGAAAAGTTTGTGGCTCTCGGCTACACCGGGGAATTTACTTCCATGAGTACACACATAAATGTGGGGTTCCCCAAGAGGTATGCGACAAGGTGACCTGGCATCAAATGTGCGACTAAATGCTACTATCGAGAAGATAAAATAACGAATACGACAATAAGTTATTGCATGTGACAATTCCGAGCCTTCATCTCACTGAAGTATTTTGAAGTGAAAATAGGATTTTTGTTTTGATACATGGATTCAGATGAACGTAACTTTATTCTGACAACTAATTAAAACTGAACAAAATTGATTGTACGTAACAGACAATTTATTGTTTTACAATGTTTTGATTGGCTAAACGAATGAAACCAACAAATTATGACATGTAAAATGACAATTTTGAAATGTAAAATTTAAAAGTGACAAACACAACCTCCCTATCCACTCTTTGGGAGCCCTAGTAAATTAGTAATATGTACATGCAGCAGTGGTAGTGTACAGCTTATTATCACACTACGCTTTGTATTCTAAAGCCTGTTGTTTGTAATAACACTGTTCACTCAACGTATGTTTTGTGTGTGGGCAGTCAACGCTAATCATTGTTTTATCCCGGTTATATGACCTCGGCAATTATAACAAAACCGTACTAAACGAAAAAACGCAAACAAGAGAAAGCTTTCACACACATAAAAAATGAACTAGTCTAATCCGCCAGTATAAACTCTGTGCTATACGTAGCCGGGTCAGGCACACACTTTAAGGAAACCATGTTTGAGGAACACTATTACTGGAATGGAGAACATCCTTAAAGAAACCCTATACCATAGGATTGCACAATCAAGACCCTTTGAGACATTTTTGCATATAGAGTTTCGGCACACATTCACTTACTTTCAAACAAAGAAGTCCCAAATCCTCTGCTTTCAGTATTAATTTTACTCTTGTGCTGAACGATCTTAAAGGAATATTCCTTACCAAACCATCTCTCTCCTCATATGGTAGCTATAACCATATATATGCTTGCCATGTTTAGCAAAACACGCGAAAATGTTTTGATATGGTCAAATTTGATCACTTAGAAATGTGATGCTCAATTCCAGTAAGCTGCCATCTTTTAAAATTTCACACAGGAAGTGATGTCATCGACTCTCAACTTTGCATATAGCATTAGGTGAGGAGCTATTAAGAATTACAAAACCAGCTAAATATTCTTTTTCAACTTTGTATCTTATTTAATCCTTCTGAAAATCTCTTCTTTTATTCTAAGTTGACAAGCCCTGAAAATATTTTTGCACAGAAAGTAATGATCACTTGTCTAGAAGTGATTTTGTGCTACTTTCCTATACTGTTATGGACAAGGTTATAGAAGTTGAGAGTTGATGACATCACTTCCTGCAAGAAATCTTTAAAGATAGCAGCTCACTGGAAATAAGCACTAGATTTTTAAATGATCAATATTGACCATATTAAAACATTTTCCCATGTTTTGCTAAATATGGAAACTATATATATGATTATAGCTACCATATCAAGAGAGAAAGGGTCTGCCAAGGAATATTCCTTTAATTAACTAAATAAATTAATTCGATTTGAAGTTTGAATACACCGGGAAAATCCCCCTGTTCTCTGATTGGTCATTGAATTTGTTTATCTTGAACCTTATTGGCTGCCAGGTTAAAGACGCATGTGACAGCTTGTGTGACTCAACAGGGTTTTCCTCGCTAGCCTAGGAATCGATTGTGGTTAATTCTGAATGTCGGTTGTTCTGTTGATTATATCAATATTTCGGCAATAATATACCCAAAAGTTATCCTCAAGATATATTCATGGTATGTGAGATATTATATGAGCAATAATAATGGTACATCATTGACTGTCTGTATTAGAAACCTATGTTATACTGCTCTTTAAACATTGCAGAAATTACACTACAGAAAGTCTACTAGTATTTGAAACATGTCATTTCTCACCTGTTTTGTACCACAGGCAAACAAATAGTGCTCTGGATTCAAATCACAACAGTAACTCTCTCTACAAACAAAAACAGGATGCAAGATCTAATCCTTTGAATAACAAATAATATAGCTACACAATTTAAATCTATAAGTCATTTAATGAAATTTTTATCGTAGGTGGTTATTGTGACAATTTTAATCTAGATCAACATGATGAAAATTTGCATGTAATTTGCATGATTATAAATTACCAATTATTGAAGAAATGAGTTACACTTTGAACATGATCTGAATTGTTGCTATCATCTGTTGCTACAACATTTCTCATATTGTTTTCTAGATATAAAACTACTTTTAAGCAATAAAATTATTAGACGCGCTTTACAGTGAGTGCACAAACACCTCACCAGAATGGCATGCATTCTGGCTTCAATTTGCATATGAGTCATTTGTATTTGAAACACTTACGTTGCATTTGTTTTCAAGGAATTCAGGAACCTGCCCTGCTCTAAGTTAAGTCTGTAAACCTCTGAACTGAAACATAGCAGAGATCATTATAAGTTAAAGAAGTACTAACAAATAGTAAAAGCAATATTATTCATGTTTCATAAAATTTTGGGACAGTCAGTCAAATATCAATGCCGCATTTCTTTAAATATATGTTAAGGGGGGGGGCAAAAACATGTTTTCAATGTTTCAAAAGGCTTAGCAAGACAGGGAGACTGGTACTGAGTCTCTTTTTAACCCTAATTGTAGCTGAATCAAAATGTACTGAAATGTAAGTCTTATACCTAGCACCAACAAAGTAAAGGTCACATGATGCATCATGGTAAACAAAATCACGACCAAATTTGGGTATCCGAGTTCTATAATAACGACCATTTTGATGATGGAACTCTACGTGTCTGTCTGCGTGTAGAAACAGCAACTGTAAGAAGACAAAAAAATATTCAATTTTTTATGGTTTTACCAATAATATAACAAGAATGAGACATAGGGAATATCGTGTGTATGTACACTGGACATCTGCTGGAAAATTGCGGTTTCCATACTGTAACTACTTTTTCACTGACTCATTCATTTTTCTTTATACTCTTGGCCATGAATTTACGAGAATTCCTATTGATAAATGATTGATAATCTGTTGACTTGATATCATAGTTGTCAGTGTTAGCTGGGATGGGGACTTTTTTATGCAACCTGTAAAAACAAAGGATGGGGGAAAGTATCGCAACAGATTTCAGACAGTCACATGTTGGAAAAGAATAAGTGATTCCTTTTAGATAAAGTGGAAAACAATATTCCCAAGTTATTTTCCCATAGGGAAAACTCATGCGTTCCATTGCTTTCAGCTAATTTTGGTCACCCATAATGGATATCTTTAAAACCCTCGAAGGAATCACTTATTCCTTTAAAGGGGTTTACTTTCTGTCAAAACGCAACATATTGATGCAACAAAAATCAAAAAAGCAGGGGTGGAAGGGGTTGAAAATAAGAACAACATTTCAGAAAAACATGTGGGTGGGTTATTTGCATCTTCCCTGCCTCAAAGTCGAAATTATCTTATCATCTCTATAAGTGCTTTTCCTGGAGGTAATGCATTGTTCTAACATATGCACCTGTTTAAATCCTCAGAGAATAGCCAAAATCCAAGATATGACTGTCCGAAATCTGTTGCGATACTTTCCCTCCTCCTTTGACACATATTATTTCAATCTTTACCTTTGAATAATCATCGCTGAGTATTTTGAACTTAACACATTCTTCATCCATGCACCGTTCAAACTTCATTGACATCTGACTAGTATCATAGCACCTAACTCTTGGCTTGTATGTACCTAAAATCACAAATTCACTATTTAGGGACAATATAACTTAGTAGTTTCTTAAATGTTTTCCTCCTTTTGTATGAAATTTCATTTGTCAAGACACCTATATTAATCTGCGAAAATATTATAAAAATATTGAGAAGTTTAGACATTTTGAGGTACATTGTAGATACAATTGTAATTACAAAAGTAACCGAAAGAAAGGTCACCCTTTTTTGGGTACAGTAGACACTAAATAACTGAGTATTGAGTACCTGTTGCAAATATGTATTGTTGATCCTTTGAAACCTGGATACAGTTGCTAACAGCAGGCATCTCAAAATCCTGTATGAGCTCAATTCTTCGTCTAAGATCTAAAATATATCAATGTTAATAGCATGAGAATTTATCATGGGAATTTCAAGTTGTTGATAGAAAACACAGAGACAAATTTCAATATCTCAATTCAATTTCAAACTTTTTTCAATAAGATTTAAACTTATGCAAATGTGGAACAAAGTTTGATCAGATCTCGAGTCCTTATCTTCATTAGGTTTCTTTAAAAGCAAACAGAAAAGTAAAATGTATGGGAACTATTTCAATTATCTCACTTAACTAATCCCCAAGATAGGAAATATATTTCTCACTCTCAGACAGGAACTTGCAGAAATATACCTCAGACCCCTCATTATCCACCCCTACCTCATTCAATTTTCCGTTCAAAGAATTATTTTGTTTTTATCAAAACCTTGAATTTATTGTGTTATAAACCTATTGATCAAAAAAGTATTTTCATTAATTTTTACCATCATCTTCTCTTTGTAGCTGCCTTTTCTTCCTATCTGACAGCCACTGAAAGAAAAAGTTCAGTGTTAGTAACATGTAATCCATTTTTGTTGGGGCTACTTCAAGCAAAGGGTTATTTCAATGTAATAGTTATTAGTATGTAATATCCTATAACACCCTAGGTTAATTATTGAGATTTACGATGTACATCCAAACCTGTTGAAGATGTATGAATACATCGGAAATTTGTAAATCTCAACATTTTGTTTTGTTTTAACACATTAACAATTTACACCCTAGGTTACATAGTAAAATCAGTCCAAACTCTCAGGTGAAAAAGCAAAATCAAAAAAAATTTACTCTTTGTTGATTTCCAGAATTGCACAAATATGCTAAAGTTGTGATTTTTCAATTTTAAAAAAATTAAAAAAAATTATTAGCACAGTACACCGATGAACTTCTTTCTCCAAATCAAGACTTGTATTTTATTGAATCGCTCTACTGCACATTACGCCTGCTTCGGACAATTTTGTAGATTTAAATGTCCTCTCTTGACAGGGGCGGATCTGGGAACCAACAAGGGGGTCCAAATCTCAGGTAAGAAAAACAAAAATCCGCGCTTGCGTCAAGCGTGGAAAAAGATTTCGGGCCCCTAAAACTGAAAAGTGGGCCCAAATTTTGAGGCCCATTTTCTTCAAAATTTGGCCTGGAATTAACAAATAAGGCCTTACAAGGCCCAGTAATAACCAAAAAGGCCCACTTTTTGGCCAAAAAAGGCCCACAGTTTGGGACTTTAAGACCTTTTTTTGCCCAAAATTTTTTTTGAGCCCGATTTTTTTTCTGGGCCTACCCTGCTCCCCCCCCCAGATCCGCCAGTGCTTGAATAATATTCATAATTTAATTTGGGTGATATTTCTATATTTTCATAAAAAAATTATAGCCCAGGAGACTGTTCATCAAACTGAGACTTGTCCTTTCAGGTCCTTTTGAATCATTATATCAATAAACAGATTGCATAAATGAAAAGATAAATATTATACATTTTCAGGATTTGGGGTGCTCTTTCCACAATGTTTGACATTACTATCTGGGAATGTCCTCTTGTGTATTCAGTTGCACATGTCCCCAAATATTTTCTAATAAATTAATAACTTTCTTGGTTGAGTGGCGCAATACGTAATTAAGTCACATGATCATTTAGTAACCACAGCACAACACATGTCATGTGACTAACATACTGGTCAGTATCAAGTGAAGCTAGTGGCCGTAACTTTCGCATCTTAGATGGCGGACGGCAATTGTCAATTTCGATATTTTTAGTTTTCATCAAATTAAACTACGATCATGTTAGTTTTCAATACGTGGTAAATGGACATGTATGCTCTCCATTATAAACTCTAATAATGCTACCGCATCACCACTTATCAGTTATCTTATCACCTGTAAAACCAAAATCTCAGTTACCTTCCTAGCCCAACAACATTAGACCTAGCCCGGGCCTCGTTTCTTATCTGACATGTGTTATGGCTCGGCTAGGTCTAACCTCCATGACCATTTTGCCTTTGATGCGTTAATTTAATCGTTCAGCAGGTTTCGACAAGCGGAACTAATTGAACCCTGAAAACATGGCAATATTACACAAAGAATGTGATTCAAGCATGCATACATACCTTATAAACACATACACCCCGTCCCGTATCCCCCTTAGACCCTATTGATGCATAATTACGAAAATATTGGAGACAGGTTTGGAATATGACGAAAATGTCGGTCAGTTTCGGTAACATCGAAATTGCAAATCGTTTCAGGAATTAACCGTCATCACGGCACTGCATTAACGAACAGTTGGTTTGCAATTAATAACTATTTTGCGTGTATATACGCGCTATATAAATTAATCAAAGATACCTGTTATCCTCAAAATTGATCTTTTTATCCTGAGTAATCGCGATAATAATTATCAATCTATTTGACAACAATTTCGTTTCACTGGTAGTTTAATTTTACGATCCGGGACACTCAGACGAACAGACACAATGACGGACATGCGGAAATGACACTTTAGAGATTGGTAAGTGTAGCCTCATTTTACTCGTATAAATGAACATTTAACACAATAATATTGCTTGATGTTATGTGTTTTTATATTATTGTCAAGTATCAGTTGCACGTTATCGCGGAAAAATGTTTTCGATGGATTCAGAACTTGCATCAAAGGAAAGAATAGTAAGGAGGTTAAACTCAATAATGGCCCCAAGAAAATTCCTAAAAATAAAGAACGCCGTTATTGAGTTTAACGACCTTGAACTATTACCTTCCATAAGCGGTGGAAGATATCATTGAACTGTGGTGTCTACGAATGGTATATGAACAAATTATCATACTCCAGAGTTATGTCATATCTGCCTGATATAGTTCATATATTAAAGCATAACGTCAACTATAACATACTCGTATTCGATGAAAACTAAAAGTATCGAAATTGACACTTACCATCCACCATCTTTGATGAGAAGGTTGATACTGACGAGTGTAACACAAGAGATGTTGAAATCTAAATCAGTCATGTTGTGTTTGGACTGAATTTTACTATGTCTGTCTGGACTCATTGAAATTTTCAAAAAGTATTTTCACTTCATGGTCTTTGTGCTAGCTTTAGGGGGGTAGGGACAAAAAATTAGAAAAATCAGAAAAAACTTTTGATTGAAGTAGAAAAAAGATAGATCTATACATGTATATCGTGTTAGAATTATCTACAATCATAATAATGTATCAGAACTATGTTTGGTGTTTTCAGAAGTTAAAGATAAACACTAAAATATCTTTGACTCAATTATCGCCCACATTTTTTAGAAAAAAATAATATGAGTAAATTGTAACAGATACATACCTCTGGTAATGTTTTCCCAGCACTAAGATTGTAGATCTTAATATTATTAGGACTTGAAACTTGCATATTTACAATATTTTGTCAGCATTACGAGAGAAATCAATGAAATAAAAATAAAAATTTAAAAGCATGTTTCAAACCGGAAGTTTGTAACTATCATGTGACAGTCATGTGACCGTCGTACAAAACACCCGCCATTTTTTGACATTAGAAATTCAAATACGTAAACTCAGCTGAGAAACGTCTGTACCCTCTTATATGTTATATTTATCGTACATTGAAGATGACTGGATTACTGGACAGTTGTGAGGCTCAGTTCGGAACGAGAAACTTGTATTTGGTGCTGAAAATAAGGAAAGAATCGACTCCTCAAGAAGGTACACGGTTCTTTTCCATTATTATCTTTTTGTTGTTCATTTTTGCCATCATTTTTGCCAAATACAGTGTAGAACTAAATCTACTTCACTGCGTCAAATGTGAAATTCCAAGCAATTTCTAGACGTGCAAAGATAGTCTAGGAACTCCGCGTATCTAGAGATTCCAAGACGTGTCAAGAGGTGCAAAGACCTCGCGTGTAAAGAGCGTGTCAAGAGTTTTGATATCTCTTTGCACAGCCTTATCAAAACAAACAGTATAATTAGACCGGCCACATGTTGTTATGCCCTATAGTCGCGCTTAATTATACTTTACTAGGATTGGAATATAACAATCATTTTAATTTCGTGTTAATAATAACTTGTGTTTTTTAAATCATTATCAAAATAAAATTAATTAAAAAGTATGCGTGTGCGTGTAAGTATAGGCAATAGCTTAGTCGAAATGAGTAGATGTGTGCAGATGGAGATCGCCTATGTATTTTGCTAAATCTGACATTTTTACAGGATCATGTTAAAGATCAAATGAAAACAAGAAATATGTTTTTCTTAGGTTTATCTACCCTGATTTCGAGTGATTTTAACTTGGACGCATATTCCTAGATATTAAAACAGTTTGAATAATTAACAAAGTCCACTTTGAACCGTGTCAATCAAATTGTCAAATATGTAGATAGCACATGGAGGCCCGAATACAGGGGGATAGATTGGTTCTAGCGACCCCCCCCCCCCCCTTCGTGACCAAAATTGCATTTTTACCCCATACTGAGCACCTTTTAAATTATTTTGCTCATTTTTGAACTAACATTGCCAAAAGTAAACTCCCCCTGGAATTTCTTAAAAAAGTAACCCACCCCTTGGCAAATCCTGGCTATGGGTCTGAAACGCCTGAAACATGCTCTGATATAATGAGGCATATTCTGTGATCTGAGCATATTAGATTGGAAGAGTTATGAATGTCAATAAGTGTGATTGTTATCATGTAATCATCTACTTTAATGTCAATACATTACATAATGTAGTAAGGCATTGTACATGTATTTAACAACAGGCACATCCTTCTTCAAAGGACTTCATTTATACTTGTAAAATACCCTTCCAGCGAGGATGCAACAGGCACAGTTACACACGTTTTATGACCCCAATTAGATGAAATATGAGCTGGGATGAAAGATCTCAAAAATCAAGGGCTGGGAAGATTTGAGATGTCATGGTTTACTATCATGACGCTGAAACATGTGTCGCTTATTGTCACCTGTATTGATCATGATGGGGCGACGGCAGTGCCCCGAGTCCTTTTGATCTGTTTAATCTTATTAGTTACTATTTAAAATTGAATAATTTAGGACCCCGGAAGCAAAACAACTCTTTGTTATGAAAGGAATACACCACCCACATGGACAGAACCCCTCATGTAAACCATCTATAAATACCTTTGAAATCAATTTGATTTTCGATCTACATCTGAATCTCAGATGGAGAGTACTCTTTGACAAGATCAACATTTAAAAGTGTAGGAAAGTTTTGATAAAGATGTTTAATAGCTAATTATTCAGACATATTGTTCTTTCATGTTGACGATCATCGAACATAATTGCAATCAACTTCCATGATATTTGCAATTTTGAATTTTGAATTATTTTGAATGCAAATGTACTCAAGTACTATATCCTGAGTTCTGCCCGGATCCCCGAAAACGTTTAAAATCAAACTCGATTATTTAGCTAGACTTCAAAATAAGGGATTCAATAGAAACATGAAATCCATATCACTGTATAAATTGTGGAATTTCTAGTAATTTTTAGACGTACTTAGCCGGTCTAGAAACTCTGCGTATCTAGAGATAGAGGAGGGGAGAGAGGGCTAATTTTATAGCTGAAATTAAAAATAGCTTGTGATCTATAAATATAATATATGGTTGTTCTTATAATGAACAACTATTGGTTTAATATCTGATATGTGGACGGATATTTCTTGATTTGGTTTAAAAAGAAACTGAATGTAGGGTTGCAAAAATGAGGGAGACAAAGACGTTCGAAGGGTAGGGGTAAAATTTAATTAAAATCAAGCTGAGACAGAATGAGAATAAACATATCTGTTAGTTGCTCATGTAAACGAAAACAAATTAGAGGGTTCATTAGCACCGCAGACCAGATTTGCAAAATTGGGGGAGTGCATTTTCCCAGGATTTCAAACAATACTATATCTAAAATGTTGCCCCTCATATGCCTGGGTCATATTTGCTCCGATTCATCGGCCGGGGACCGGCCGATTGAGTGTTTTTTCAAACATGAAAACAATTTTAAACAAAATACTCAATCGGCCGGACGATGAATTTGAGCAAATTGTGAACCAGACATTGCAAATTCCTTCAAAATTGAACTAGAAGTTTAAAATGAAAGCCATTCAAAGCTCCTTTCTTCTTCCTTCTCTATTGGATTAAGCAGGTGGGGGGGGGGATGCGATCATTCACGAATCGCGCCCCCCCCCTGGTTACGCCTATGTGTTAACACAATATCAATATTTAAAACTGTATCTTGTAAGTGGCTTATTAAGCATCAGATCAATCACTAAGAACCCCTCTTATCCGCCCTTTGCGTTTGGAAGGATAAAGACAAAGGGGACGCGGCTACATGTATATCGCGATAACGTGAAATCTTTATGACATATCCCTTCACCAGGGCCTACACCAATATTCTTAACACCACTTATTAAAGGATGCATGCATCAAGGGGTAGACATCATTCAAAAGACATAAACATGACCGGGTCGGTCAGGGGAAGGTTTGCATACGATGCAATTTGTACATGCAAGCTCATTTTTCACATATAAATTAATAAAGTCGATTCCTTGGGAATACGTTATTGGGTAAGCGTAACGAGGAGAAGCGGTGGGTTCGCACCCCCTCCTACAAGCAATAAAAGGTACCATAAGGTAGAGAAAGAAAAGAGCATTAAATTGATTTTTTGTTTGAAGCTTCTAGCTCAGGTTTGAAGGAAGTTGCATCATTTTCGTAAAAATTCAAAACAAATATTTTTTGCCTCATTTATGTCACGATCGCACCCCCCGACTGAAAACCTAAAATATTTTGGTGATTGCATCACCCCTCCCCCCGACTGAAAGCTGGCTACGGCCCTGGGGTTTTATCGAAAACTATATCGTCAACATTTTATCATTATGCGGAAAGTCCAATATGAAATCTTAAATTGTAATTGTAGTATATTGGTTGCATTTATTGAGGGAATTCCACTGTAAACTATAATGTGAATGTTTGATATGAATACTTCCATACAACCATCAATATCCATTCTTTTGAAATAAGATGTTACAACAAAGGGAATATTGAAAACTACAGTGGTAAGAGCATCTTTCTGACTGCTAATTATGTGTATCAACATTTTGATTGCACCTCAGCTGGAGATTAAATCTTATAATAATTTGATCAAAGGGATTGTAATTTTCCCCAATTCGCTTATCTATGTTACAATCTGTATACTTGTTATATTGTGAGCGGTATGTGTTGATAAACCAAAAAGATATGTTTTTTGGATATCAACATTTAGAAAAAAGTGTAAGATACCATTCTATATGTTTATCTTAGTGTTTAGCATAGGTAAGAATGGGGGATGGGCTGGCGGGGGTCCGTCTTTGAATAATTCCAAGGGGTTCATATATTATCACAATTTTGCTACAAAATCACTTGGAAAGTGCATGATTTGAAAGATTATTTGGCCAAGGCGTCCGCTATTAACATGAGTATGAATTTTATAAAAAAAAATACTTGAATCAAAATCGAAGAATTCCTTGCCCCGTGTGTTCACCATTCACCCCGGGGGTTCACACTCGGCTCAGGTGGGGTACCTTTTTTACATTTGGTATGTCAAGCCAATGGACCCACATTTTAAGACAGATTTTTCCATTTTCTGGTATAAGAATCGGTGTGGAAAATATGTTACCCCTCAATTGTGGTACGGCATTGGTCCCGGGGCATTGGTCTAGTTGTTACACATATCCTTCATTTGAGGTTGTTTATGATCATTTTACTCAAAGATCTGCCTTCTTCTCGGGGCATTCGATATTTCGAATGGCCTTGGTCTTATATTCTGGATATTTGGTACCCGGGGGTATGGCATTGGTTCTATATTTGGATGTTTGACATGGCATTGGTCTTGTGTTTGGACATTTGATATGGCTTTTTGGGGTTTATTTTAGTTTGTATGAGAACACATTTAATGCCACCCCCCCCCCCCCCAAATTACAAATCTACATCTATTCTCTCTATCCCAAAGGTGGATCGGAAGCATGAAAAACAGATGCAGACTCGGGACAGTTGCAAGGGGGGCTATAATGGAGAAATTCGTTTTGATTTTGAGTCTAACTGAAATATTTTGTCACAAATATTAATTAAATACGCAAATAGCCTGTTTTATTAAATGAGACTAGGGCAAAAAATCTATTCATTAAATCTAAAGCCTAGACGATATCTTCTGTAATCAAGGTGGTTTTGGTACACTTCCGCAATTATAAAAACAAAAACATAGACTAAGTTATTAATCTTTTGTTATCATATCAGATTAAGTCAGTTTTGTCTCCGATTGTTATGCAGGTGTGTGTATTGACTCCAGTGAACAACATTAAGTGAATCAATCCTTGAAATTCCCAAATTCATTCCAAATTCTGGCCGTTAACCCCCCCCCCCTCCCCCATGTCTCTTAATTACATTTATTTTGCAAATGATATATAAATTATAGATTAAAATATTTCATTTTCGAATTGCACAAAGGGCAACATGTGAAGATAAAACCGCGATCCTAAAGCTACTTGCGAAACAAAGTGGTTTATGGTCCCCAATATCATTATTATATTAATACCAATACAATGTACCTCTATGAATATCATAAATTCACTCCTTTTTAATATCAATAGTCAAACAAATTAAGTAGTATGCTACAGTTGGTTATCAATCGGAGTTCACGACCTATTGATTACTCTTTAATACAAAATTTAACCATTTTAGAATGGGTAACTCACCCCCCCCCCCCCCGTCCATGTCCATGAAGTGCGTAGACTGACATAATAGTGTCATTTATTAATTAAACATCACTGATTCATGTTGAGACATTCAGTGCGATTATTTCATTTCTTTGTTTAAAAAGTTAAAGCACCAATTAAATACATATTTTTATCACACAAAAGGGGCAGAATACTTGACCTTGTATCAATTCATATCCCGATAATTCTTTACAAGGGAATGTTTCTTATTAAAACATAAGCAGCGCCTAGGCGTCGATGGGGGGGGGGGTCAATCCGGTGTTCTCAGGCTATGTACAGCCAAGTATCCTGTTTATGTAAAAACCCTACGTTCCCGAATCACAATCAGACAATTAATTAGTATATTTGCTGTGTCTAGCAATTGATCATAGAATTAGATGTTGCGAAAACTATGGGAACTTTGTACCTGTCTGTTTATGGATAGGCTGGGAAAGAACAGCAGAGAGAATGGTACATTCGATTGAATATGCTTGTTTTGCCCAATTGTGAATTAAAATGCCCCTCATTTATCATATGTATGGTCACAAGTTAAGTCGGCGATAATTTGTATTGACTTAACTTGAAACAAATTACTCCGAAATCCAAATACTCATCGAAAAGTAAGGTTATCTTTATATTAAGCTAATACAAAATAAATATATAAATAGGCCTGATGTATCAGTGTTTTCAAAGTTTATTGCACGTTTTATCCTTGAAACGCCTTTCTTTTTCTTATCATGATATGTATTTCCTTCACTTAGGATCAATGCGTCGATTAGCATTGCCTGTAACTGATTTATATTTTCAAAAGGCGGCATGAAATTGCCAAAATGTTTAAATAAGTCAATGTGTCAGCGTACATACAAAATAGTCTGTTTAATATTTGCTACATGTACTTGTTCCAAACAGTCTGCGAATGAATGATAAAAAAATATATTAATTAAAAGTATCAGAGAAAATACTTGCAATCGTTAAAATACTGTATGTATTGCTATTGGTAATTAGGTTAGTTGTTTATTTACACATAATTATGTTGTTCAGTGTGCCAAGAGCGTGTCAAGAGATTCCATTAATTGTCACAGGGCGTGTAAAGACTTTTTGACATGGTCTTTACACGTCTTTGCACTGCATGTGCCAAGAAGTGCAAAGAGGTGTAAAGAGTTGAATTCATCGCGTGTCAAGAGGTGTAAATAATTGGCACGTCTAGAAACCCGGCGTGTAAAGACCAGTTTCTAGACGTGTCAAGAGTTGGAATCCCATATTTCACGCAGTGCTTGAATTAGTTGATAAGAAGTATGTTTGTATGTATGTATGAACATATCTATTGACATTTTTCCATCGGGTTACAACACTTAGGTTACATAAAGGAATGGACCCACTTACGTTGTGGTCGTACATCCTCCTAAGCAGGTATCCAGAATCGAAGCGCCCAATTAAACTGAATCACATGATCTAGTTATGCGCAATGACTTATATATGATTTGTGTCGCAGTGTTGCGACAGCCAATCAGATTGCGAGTTCTTTATCGGGGAAATGCTAACTGCTTATAGCAGGGTGTAAAAAGAAAGAAGATATTATGGATTTTGAAGCTCTGTGATCGGAGGATGTGGTCGTATGACCCAACAATTGTTCAGGCAGTGTTTCTACAACATTGGAGAAAGTTTACTCACTTCGAGAGCCATGTTAGATTTTGAAACTTATGGCTCTCTAACGGAGAAGTGAACAGCTGATCAATAGTGACCTTTGAAATTGAATTAAGTCGATCCGCGGCTTACTTTTGGTCTCTAACTGTGTCTTACATCAGTATCATCAATCCGTGTAAGTATTGGAGCGCTGGAGTACTTCTTTTTCGATCAAGACTTGTAAATTGTTCATCGAGTTAAAGTTTTACAGACCTATTTCCAATATGGCGGTTTGCTAGGTGCGAGATACGCAACGAACGAAATGAATTTTGAGAATAAGTTAGGTTCGGACAACCTCGGGAGATTTACGAAAATGTCCGAGCAGAAACCGCCATATTGAAATTTGGCAGTAAAACGATTCACTCGACTAACAATTACAAGTCTTGATCGAAAAAGAAGTACTCTAGCGCTCCAATACTTACACGGATTGATGATACTGATGTAAGACACAGTTAGAGACCAAAAGTAAGCCGCGGATCGACTTAATTCGATTTCAAAGGTCACGATCATTGAGCTGTCCAAATGCTCCGTGGGAAAGCTATTATATCAAAATCCAAATAGCTTTCGCAGGAAGTAAGAGAAAGTACTACGCATTGCACACTTAAAAATACCTACCTCGATACATTCCTGAGTATTTTAGGATTCTATTTATGCAGTTAAATAAATCACCAATTATATGGGTTTATCGGCAGAAAGAAGAGATTTTCGTTTGACATCGGAAATATCCCCGCACTTTTCAAGATCTACATCAATAATCTGTAAATGGCTAATAAGCCCATTTAAGCAGATGTATACATGTAGTTTAAAAGTGATAGAATTTGAATAGAATATAATATAAACCTTAACATCTAAAGAATAGATCTATGGTTTACAACTTATTTTAAAATTGAAAGGAAACTCCTTGGTTGGGATGGCCCAAAAGGGGAAGAGGAACCCCCTTTATATACCAATAGTCTCTCAATGGAGGAATTTTGCAATTAAAAATGAAAATTTCCTTTTTCTGCCGATTAACCTACAGTATATGATTGGAGAATCAACTGCATAAAAAAAATTCTTAGACTCAGTTATTTAGTTTTTTACCACTACATAGAGACAGCCACCAGAAGCACCAGAAGCATCAGAAGAAAAAGACACTTCATGGAGATGAATCCCATCACAGAGACATACAGACGAAGTTTCTGTTTTGTTTTAACCCATTTTTAACTGTACAAATACGTCACCTGATTTAAACACTTTTTAAAATGCGCTTGGACAAGACGCCTAACCTCCAAAATGTGTGGTGTCTAAAAATTAAGGACCGTACTAAGGATTTAGATAGATGTGGAGGTTCTTAGAATGTGAATTTCATCATTAATAATGGCTCAATATATTATAGTATTTATAAGTAAGCTCAAAATACTGGGAAGTGGAAATTGAATTACTTTTCAAATGATGCTTGATACACCCTCATATACAGTATGCACGGATAAGTAATATATGGAGGACTTCCCACTATCTGTGATAGTATGGTTTGTTGTTTCTGAGATCATGGGGAACAGATACCCCCCTGTTTGTAATTCTCTATAGCCTAACCCTGCCCTGTCAACCCTCACGCATTAGGCGTGATTGTCACGCATTTGCAGGAAAAATAGAAATCACGCATCAATTTAGCGTGTATGATCAAATATCACGCATTTTGTTGATATTTTTCAAGATCGTTTTTTGTGAAATGCCAATACGGTAATGGGCGGTAATATACCGAACGGCGAGAAAAAGCGAACGCATTCCGTTCCGTCTTTGCACGCGATTGCCGTTTATGTCACACATTTTGTACAAAGTATGTGCATATATCACGCATTTGTTTCGAAAAAATTAACACCTCCCACCCCCCCCACCCCCAGTCAAGTTTAGACTTGAAAACAATCATGATTTGCTAATTAAATTAAGGTTTACAGGTTAAGGACAGTATTGAGTCTGGAAATCATTTCTGCCCAATTTGTTTGTTCGTTTTTCATTCAGACCATTTTAAGGTAATAACGCAGATGCGAGTCGAGTACAGGTAGGTAGTTTCCAGATTCACCACCAGGTGGCTCGTTCGGGTCAGATAGCATGGCGGGTAAAGTAGAAAGTTCCCGGCCCTTTAACTTAAATTACATCTATTTGCGTGGTTCAATTTTCATATAACCCTTATGTATCTAATAGTTATCCAAATTAAAATATGTTTAGTAAAAGAAAATGTTATCTGTCCAATACAAGAAAAGATAATTCACTTTTTGTGATTTTGTAACATGGGGTCTATGGGGAATCAACCCGAACGAGAAGTCACATTTTCAAAGAAAATTAAATTTTCAAAGTTGATAGACAATTTTCGAAACCATACTTCTACATGTACTTTTACATGCAGATTTCAAATATGACATTAAATTTTGAATATTTAATGACGTAAATCAAGTCAAGTCATCTAGTCTATTAAAGTGGAACAAAATTGGTGTTGAAAAATACATTGAATATGATTGACATGTATTCAACTTCAAATTATATAGATAATTTAAGGTAACTGGTTACACAAATGGTCAGCCTTTTTCACATATTGCTAGTTTTTTGGTGGTGCCATATTGTTATAGTCTCTTAGAGATGATGTTTCATAATCGGCATTTAGCGGTCTGTGTTTTGCATCAACAAATGGCAGGTGGTGACATTTTGCATTTAAATGCCTTGTTTGTATGTTTCCTCTAGCCCTATCATAAGGCTACATGTATCTGTTGAAAACTCAAAGCAGTCAAGTGAGTCTTTATATTCTTAAACCCAAGACTATCACAGTTTTGCCAATTTACATACATGTACCTACATATATATATTTTATGACAACATTATTCCATTGTGTGTATTCCAGTGAAGAGGGGCTACCACAGACTATCACTCAGTGTGCATCCAGATAGAGTCCCAGAAGATGAGAAAGAAGAGGCAACCAAAAAATTCCAAACACTTGGCAAAATTTACTCTATACTGTCTGATAAAGACAAGAGAGCCCTCTATGATGAATCAGGTATGAAAATTGCCACTGCGAATACGGAGCACCAAATTTACAATGAATAGTCAAAGGATGTAAATGCCCAATTTTAGTACTTACTAGTAATGTATATCCTTCACAATTTGAAATATTTGACAATGAAATTACGGCAGCTGTTTGAAATGGAGCTGCATGGAGAAGTTGAGTAAATCAGACCTCATTATATAATAAACATACAGGGTAGGCCAAAAAACTATATTCAGTTTACAAAAGTGTATATATGAACCATATGCCATGAAAATTAATAAATGAGTAGGCCTTAATGTTTTAATCTTTCTTGATGTATATCAAAAATGATGCATATTTTCTTTACCTTTTTGCTATTGCAATTGTAGAATATTTGTTCATTTTCTATTACTTAGATAAAACTCTTCAATTTTCAATATTTCATTCATTATTCTTTTCACATCTCACTAGAACCATAATCTGTATACCCATATTTCATCATCATTGTGACTTTTTTATTGATTTATTTAGATTCAATTCATAACAAACAGATACCAGGATGTTAATGTTGCAAAGATATCTGAATAATATTTATTGCCATGTCTAGTATTAAATCTTTACTTTATGTAAGTTTGAGCAGAGAAATAAAAAAGATTCATACAAGGCCTGGCATACTTGGTTTACCATACTATGAGATTTTTCATTATAATTTTATTTTCTTACAAAAATTATAGGATCCCTTGATGTCATGTACTTAGTCTTCCTTTTATCCCTACCTATATGTAGTTCTCGCCCCCCCCCCCCCCCCAACCATCATTCCCACCATCTTATTCTCTATCGACATCACATCGGCATCCCTCAGATTGGATCCAATCCTCAATATTTATCTTTTTACACTTTTCAATATTTAACATTCTATCCTTGAACTCTATTTCCTCCTCATATTCCATCTTCCAAATTATGCCACCTCCTCTACAAATCTACTTGATCCATTAGACTCCTTTTTGTGAAACTAAAATTAGAATGAAACCCTGAACTTGTGAAGATTGTGAATTTGTTATTCAAAATTCTTTAACAAAACAGGCCTGTAAAATACTGCTAAAACACCCTTTCACTTAAAAATGATTATGAAAAATCCTCTCAAGTAAATTGATATTAGATAGCTTAAAATGATTTGAAAGGTCAATTTCTCTATAGATATGTTTTACCTGAGAAATATGAACATACAATCAATCAATTTTAGTAAAAATTCTGTTTTTTCGAGGTCTCCTCTGCCGAAGGCAGCGCGAAGTAGGAGCGTAGCGACTACTTTGCGGGAGACCTCGAACCATTGATCACGTTTGCTCCTGTAATTATTCACTTCTTCACCTCTTTAAAATGTGATTTCAATCAGTTGATCAAATTTGCGAACTTTGACCTCAAATTCAAATATTAATATTTATTAGAAAAAATACTGACTCATTATTATATTTTTAAAAGTCTTTCAAATAAAGTGAAATGAAGCCAAAATCAGCTAAAATTATGCAATGTCGTAAAATGGCGTGACTGGAATATGATGCAATCACCTGTGACGTCAGACACGTATTGCCGCATCAACAACTAAACAAACAATTAACATAGACTTCACTGATTGGTTTAAAGATTCTTCGCATCATTTGTGACGTCATAAACATGTTACCCAACCAACAACTAAACAAATAACAAATTGGCATATAGGTTCGTTCAGTGCAACGCTCTTGAATCAGTTATAAACAGGATAATCAACAGATAAGAGGGTCGGGCATTTTTTTGACTTGGAGACCTCGACTCGAGGAGTTTTGCTGCATTTTTTAATTGTCTTATAGAGTGACCAGTTGACCTTGGTATTATAACACAGGCCATCAATTTCACTTCCAAATATGGAAGGTGCAAAAATAGAGCTGTCAATCAAATATTCTGGAACTTATTTTCTTGATTGTTGGTCAGATGTGCTTGTTACTATTTTAGATGTAGTTTTATCACAGAACTTGACTTGAAATATAAAGATTAAAAATTTCACTTGTTTCCATTTGAACTGTTTATTGATAAACATCACTGGAATATATACAGGTCAGTATGACCTCGTTAAAACAGTATCAAAACAATATGAAAAAGTGAAAGACAAAACAATATGGGAAAATGGTACAGCATGAGCTCAACAATTCTTGATTTTCAAACATCTGGAAATTCAAATTAAAAATAATGGTTCTTGCAGCATGTATAGCAATAAACATCCAGTTGCTTGTGTTTCCATTGGAAATTGATAATGAGAATGACATCCCCAAAACACCAAGACAGAGACTTTAAGTGCAATACTAGTAATAAAGGTACCTTTATATCCATTCTTTCCTTCCCTTGTATATTCAAATTTTCAACCACTATAATTTGTGAATGGTTTCCAGGTGAAATTGATGACGAAAATGATGTCCCCCAAGACAGAGACTGGTACGATTACTGGAGACTAATGTTTTCTAAGGTCTCTGTCAAAGACATAGAAGAATTTGAAGAAAAATATAAAGGTAGTGTATTTTGAAATCAGAATGACTGCTGAAGTGTTCACTAAACAAAAAGTGCACAAATGGACAAACAATGCAGAAATCCCAGGTTTGAACAAATCAGTGTCAGATTAGCTGAACTACTAGCTCAACAAATTGGACTTAATATTCTGATGTCAAAAGACATGCTCTCTTAAATACTGAATTGTTTTCATTATAGGATCTGATGAAGAAAAAGATGATCTGAAAGCTGCTTATTGTGACTATGAAGGAGATATGGACATGATATTAGACAGTGTGATGTGTGCCACAGTAGATGATGAAACTCGCTTTAGGAAAATATTGAAAGATTTAATTCAAGCTAAGGAGATTCCAGCTTATAAAGCATTTACTAAGGAAAAGAAAACTGCACAGACTCAGAGGAAAAAGAAGGTGATGAGGCTACAATAATTAGATTCTCTGTTAAACTTTTGATTTATTTTATTTTATTGGGTAGTTATTATTGACAACTTTGATGAGGCTTAAACAGGGTTCATAATTAAGTGGACTGAATGATTACATGTATGAAGTGAATTGTGCCAGTCATGTTTTCAACCGTTTGAATCCCAGAATTTTGTATTTTCGGTTCCGGCATTTGTTACATTTGACAAAAATGTTTCCTGCACTATATTACTACTTGATATGATAATTGTATATAAGTGCAACATCACTTTATATTTCCATGTATTTTATTTTTCAGGCTACTAAAGAGGCCAAAGAAGCTGAAGCAGCAGCTGCTGAACTTGGGGTCAATGGAATGGACTCACTTCAGGCCCTAATACAAAGTAAACAAAATTCAAGACAACAAGGCATGGATGACTTTTTCTCACAGTTAGAAGCCAAATACGCACAACCCCCCAAAAAGACTAAAACCTCAAAGAAAAAGAGTAAATAATACTCAGATTATTTTTGAATCATTTCTTAATCAATGATAATTTATGTGAAAAGTAATGCAGCATGTCAGCTGTATTCATGAATCTGTATGCAGTAAGTCTGGGATTAAGGAAGGAACACAACCCATACCCCAGATTTGTATTCTGGCCCGACTTATAATGGACATTATTTATTAATAACATGATGTAATAAGTACAATCTAATCTACCGTTTTACTGGCGTGATTGAAGACAAATATAAACTGCTTCCACGGATGTATTAACAATACTTTTTATCTGTATTCTCTATCTTCAATATGGAAGCTCATTTGAATGTTAACAAATGTGTTGCTGAAACATCTGTGAAATCAAACTTTTGTTTGTAGTGTAGATGTGAAACATGCACCTGCAATTTTCCCTGATGATACAAATAATATATTGTAGCCTGGAGAGAACAAGTCCCTCATTTCCTCAACTTTTAAAGAGTTAAGTCACCACATTTTGCATCTTGGCGTTCATAGACTATTGATTAATTAATCGTATACTTTCAGAAGACCGTTAATCTCCGAAGGAACAGATTTTTAAATGCTATTAATGTACACTTGGTCATCTGAGTCAATAAATATCATTCAACAACTTTTGGGCAATCATGGCTCAGAGAACCCGAGCAATCAGAAATGGATACTAGATGAAAAGACGGGGAGTTTTATATATAAATGTTCGTGGCTGATTGACCCTTCAAATTAAGGGGAAACTGGATCAACAATAATAAGCATGATTTCAATTCGGCTATAAGAGCTCCCCAATTAAGCCCAACATACACCATTCTTTCGTTTTCGACAAACCTCCGATATCAGCTAAACTAAGCTGAATCTTGACTCCAAAAGTTTCGCCATGCAAACTAAAAAAACTATGATTGTAAAAAAACCAATTAAATGCCCAGACAGCCTCAATGTTAGAGAATTGAAATAAAACGGCTTCAATTAGAATGACTCTTACTGAAGTTGATGATGACACTGACAGCTTCAGTTAGAGTCATTCTAAGTGACGCTGTTTTCTCTAAAATCCACCCATATCGCGGTTGTTAGAGCATTTATCTGTGGTTGTTTACAATCGTAGCTTCGTACGTTTGCATGGCGAAACTTTTGGAATCAAGATTTAACTTTATTCAGCTGAAATCGGAGGTTTGTCGAAAATGAAAGAATTTCGGCAACCATCTTGAATGACGCTAACTGCAGTTAGAGTCATCCAGCTGTGGAACAGTGATTATCTGACTAGGCTATAATGATTCACCCTGGACGCAGAGTCTAGTTATTGACTAAGACGAAGCTCTCTTCTAAGAAGTGTAGTCGAACGAATGCTAAGGGCAATAATCATACAACATTAATATGTCACTAACTCGCGCATTTCATTCATGTTGCACTTACACGTGTAAACATGAATGTTTCTAATGTAATTCAATAACACATTATATTGGCGTTTTTGCATCAGAACGTTGGTGTTTTTGCATCATTGATAATAAACAGAGTGGTGTTTTTGCATCAAAAGTGAGGAACTAACTCCTTGAATTTATCGGTTCTTGATGATGTTCCATGTAGATGGATATTAATAGGACCATTTTTTAAAATTATAGATCGTGCCCTAACTGCACGTGTACGATTATTGAGAAACTCTTCCAAGAAATGGGTTTAAATTAATTGGGAAAACAAAATATTTTTCGAAAATCTATCACGGGAAGGCAATCCATCTTGATTCAAAAACACCGTGCTTTTGCATCACGATACCCCCCCCCCCAGTGGTTTTAGCATTAAATTTAAATATTATCTTGGCAAAACCTTTTAGACAGGCATAAATATTTACAATAGATAACACAAATTGTGTTGTTATTCTCATACATACTAATTTATTTCATAATTTCTAATATCACACTAATTTATCAAGCATGAATATTGTCCGCATACACCTGTGGTCCAACGCATCTGTTAATCACCAACAAACACTCATTGTAAGTTAATATCTTTTCATCGTATGCAAAACAGGTGTATTTACACAAGCCCGTAGCCAGGGTTTGCTAAAGGGGGAGGTCAGGGGGTTCACTTTTGATAACTTTGGCCCAAAATGGCCAAAGTCATTTGAAAAGTACTCGGAATGGTGAAAAACTATGTGATTTTGAAAAGAACTTGGTCCCGAGCCCCCGTTGCTATGGGCCTGATACATATTGTACAAAGAACTAAGTAAAAATGTATACTTGTAGAGACAGGCTTTTCTGATACTCATAGCATCTCTCTCTGTTGCATCCAGAAGGATAGAGATGGAGAGGGCGTGGCTTTCCACGATGAAGACAGGCATGAACACTTCAAACTCAGCATACAACTGATTGACATCTTTACCTTAGTCACATGATCCTCCCCCTTAGTTTGGTGCGGAATGTCACTTTTAGTTGCTAATTTTCCAGCCTCCATGGTATTCACCTTTGAAATATGTCTACTTAAAGTCGTCAATTGTTCCATGGTGGCGTCTCAAAAGCTCACCTTGTTTCAAAATGGCGGCCATGTTTACCATGGGAAAATCAAGTTGTCAGCTATTTTTGGTCATAACTTCACCGGTACCTTAAACCATAGGTTATCAAAATGTCTACAAGTTTTGGCAAACCTTAGTAACCTTGGCAATGTGTTGTATGTAAATAGATGATGGACATCTAGCATGAATAATTAATATCAGCTCTGTCATTACAATGTTAAAGTAGATAAGGATGGGGGTCCAGTGTCGTGAAGAAAGACTAATCTACGATATCATCAAGTTGTTAGTCAATCGGGTTTTCATGAAATATTCAAGAAGTTAAAAAATTCAGTTTTTCCAATGTTGTAAATCGTATATCTACTAGATACTAGATATTATCTAGCCCTACCAGCACACATGCTGCCATCTATATATTCATCTATATGGCAAATGGTTCATTAATAAAAGGTATATACTGCACCTAAATTGTTATTTAAGCATAATGTATTAACACCTTATCTTTAATCAGGATTGAATCGAGCATACAATTTATGTCAGTTTTAATGGTTATGCTTATCTCTCTTATTATGCACTATAATTAACAAGTAATTCCTGTAAATAGATACATTGGCTACAACAATTTCATTCAGTAACCAGAACTTGTGAAGATTCAATAAGGTAAGTAAATAATGGAATTCTTAGAATTTTCATTTGAAGGTAGACGAAAGAACAAAAAGTTGTTCTTAATAGATGAAAAAAGTAAGTTCCCCATTTGTACGTTTATCACATAGAAGTTGTAGCATAAGAAACTATGCTTAAATAGTATTTATATAACAGATAATCATAAGTAAAAGCACAATTTTTTATTACTCCGTCTTCCAAAGAAGACCAAAGAGAAAAATAATAAAGAGAAAGACCAAGAAAGAAAGACTTTGCTGAAGAAGATATTTGCAAGGTGAACACTAAATTCAAAAATGGCCGCCATTTTTCGTAAAAAACATGATATTTAATAATTCAAATACCAGTGAACGGAGTTGGTTCAAATTTCATATGCTGATGCCTAGAGACACAATAAGCTGTTAAAGAAAGAATTTACAAAATGGTGGCTGAATTTCAAAATGGCCGCCATTTTTCATAAAAACGTAATCTTTGATATTTCAAATACAAACAACCAGATTTGGTTAAAATTTTATATGCCGATGCCTTGGGACAACGGGGCTCTGTTAAAAAAATGGCCGCCATTTTTCGTTAAAAAAGGCAATGTTTGATAACTCAAATGCCAATACTATCTAGTGGATGGACTCGGTTAATAAAATGATGCTTAGTTAGAGATAAAGGAGGTCTGCTCAAGAAAAAATTTTCAAGATATGTTTTGTTCGTTGGGATTTGCTACTCTGTGGAGATGCTGTTTTTCTCGTTGACATTTATTTATGAATTCTTCTGAGCACTTCTACTTTCAGCTAGGTTTTAATTGTAAACTATATGCTCCTCTTTGTAAACTGGCTAGTCTTGTCAGAATTTGTTTTAATCAGAAATTCTTCAACAATTTAGATTTTTTCAATTTAAAAGATTTACAAAAAGTCAATTTTCAGCCTGCACCATATTGGGTCGATTAAATAAGTCATCTACAAATTCCCAGGGGTTATATCTGAAAACCATCTTCTAGCCACGAGAATTTCGAATATAATAGTTCTCGAGTTACATACAATTATTACTCACACATGCAAATTACAAACATGCAAGGATCCGGTAGTAGAAGATGAAACACACTTTTTTATTCAAATGTAAACAATAAGAGGTTATCAGACAATCTCACATTAAAAAATCGAAACCAGGCAACGATGTAAAAAACATGACTTACCACCAAAAGACAGTTATTGTTCTATTGACGAGGGAGGGGGTCTTAAAGAAATGGCAGACATGATTCTTTATCTAATAATCGGTAGAGATAAGATCCTTAGGCCCTATATCAAAGTAACGTTACACATAATGTGACGAATGTAGTTTTATTTTATTTTATTACTTCTACTTTATTACTATTTTTATCGTGATTGTAATATTTTATTGTTGGATGCACGTTTGACCTTAGTAGGGCATCAGTACAAATAAATCCGATATTACTTACATCTTTAAAATGTTCTTCTCAACCGGCTTCTGCCAAATATGAGGCTCGGAATACATTTCAGGGAACTTTCTCAGGATTCATTGCACTTATGTTTTTAGATGATGTTGGTGCATACAGTAATAGTCCTGTTTGGGATGTGGGCTGTGGCACATGCAGGAGGTCTTGGCGATTGGGGTAACTATATGATCCCTACCGTTTATCATTTTGGCTACCTCTAAAAATGATGTATTTTTGCCAAACTAGTTGTCGGAATATAAAAGCATTTTGTCATTTTATGCCGTCACCTTAGAATTGATGACATATTGCTATGCAGGGCGTCCACAAAAAAAGTATACCCATCTTCAATGCCAGGTTTCTAGAATTCTGAGCGATTTTAAAAAAAATACAAAGGTAGCAGTAAAAGGCCTAGTTTGTCTTCCATCCAATGGTACCTAGATCATTATGTAACTGTCATGGATGACTGAGCAATCATGACTTTTATGAAAGGTGGTAAAATCAGCACTGTGCCAAGTTGGCATTCAAGTAGGAATGACACAGTGAATGATTTTTTTGTGTTCAAAACATTATTAATGTTCAAATTGACACTTGTTTTATGTTCTTCACACTTTTGCATAATAATGTGGGGCAGTATTGCTAGAAACCATTTCAATAGTAAGAATAGGGGTTCTATATTGCCTTCTAGAACTTTTTGTTGGCTCTACTGCTCAGGTATCAATTGAACCATTTTTGCAGGCCTATTTTAGAGTAAGTTAAGCTTTTGGCCAAACTTTTTTTCATTAGAGAGTTGCTCAGTCCCAAGTTCAGTTCTGTATGGAAGGCCTGTCCTCTAACTTAATGTAACAGAAAAAGATGCTTAGCCAATTACACATCAATTGCCACACAGGAAGGTAACTTGGCATAGTGCTAATTTTACCACCTCTCATAATGGTCAAGATTACTCAGTCATACATGACAGTTACATTATGATCTTGGTACCATTTGATGGAGAATAAATCAGGCATTTTACTACCACCTTTGTATTTTAAAAGAAAACTGCCTAGGATTCCAGTGATTTGGATTTGAAGTTGGGTATACTTTTTTGTGGACACCCTGTATAGTCTCAATTTTTAGCAGGTACAGGTGTTCGGCTTCGGCGTCTGTAACGGCATTCAGCGTCTGTTACGTATGGCAATGCTGACATTTTGCATGTTATGCCTTGTTTATTAAATGAATTTTATTACAAATTATTTGGTGGTAGTCAATCCTGTGAAATTTTAAATTGTCAATAATGACTACGACAGCTTTCCAAAGGTGTGTAAAGTATTTTCGTTCGAAGAGCAGGTAGGTGTAATTTTGCATGGTGGTCGTTTCGTAACTGCTCATCCAGTTTCCCGTCCATCGAGGAGCATTCAATTGTTATAAATTGACAGCAATCCATCTAGTTTTTCTAGAATGTGGGTTAAATCAAAGAGAAATACCTTGATTTTGAAAAAATCTGTGTTAACCCCACATTTTTATAATTGATTTGATGTACTTACATGTGATAATTTGACATATCTGTTTAGCGGAGAACAGAGGTGTAAAAGTGCCTAAACGTGGTAGGGTTGAGCCTCACCCTGACTTCAAGGGTAAGTACGTACACTTTGCTTTTAAAATTTTCTAATTTAAATGGGTTTTCAACAGAAAGTGATATATACGAGGATTGATCATAAAGCTCTAATTTCTTTATTTTTCAGTATTTTTTTATGAAATTTCACAGAATGTGCAGCATGGAATGTTTTATTAATCCAGCAAAACATATTTAGAATAACAGAAATATTAGATAAGAAATGGTTGTCATATTAACATGACATAAAGGCATCCGGAGCAAATAAAAAACTAATTAGAATAGCCCCCATTAACCATGTTTAAATAAATAATAAGTTGTCAAATAAGCTATCAAACACATTGAATTGTCAAATAGTATGGGTTCTTGACTGTTTTGAACTATTACATAGATGGTCATACATGTGAATTGCGTTATTTCATAATGGATGATTGTTATGCTTCACTAGAAGTTAATTTTAGACCCAATGACTGTTTTGTCAAATATCCGAGGGAAATTGATTTTGCCCATTTTGTTCATTTTTAATATGTTCAGACCACACACACGATGTAATTTTGTTGATATCTTAGCAACTTTTTATCACTATGAATTTTATAAGTATTTCAGAAGATCTCTGTATCTATTACATTCTCTTATTACTCAGTCATTTCTGATGATTAGTTTCGAGTCTCAGACTCTGGTATCATATCTAATGAAGCATGAAACCATCCCCTATGATATCATAAATCCTCTGATCAATTCTTTAATAGTAAAAGCACTTAATAACATATTATTCAAGTCGACATTTTGGTAATTTATGTTAACATGCATAATAAGAGCCATTCTCTCAATTTCTTTTATATGCCACGGGTGCCTTGATTTCCCGTTACTATGGCAACCATTTCTTATTCAATATATCTGTAAAAATTAATATTATTCAATGCTTTGTTGTACTAAAAATCACTTTCGGGTAAATGTACAGCAAATAAACATGATAAAATAAAAACTAAAACTATACATACAATTACAATAACATAAAATGAAAATTTTACATGGCATACAATGACAATATAATGCAATTGACTGATCATAATTCTTGAAATCGTTGTTCCCTCTTCAAAAGAGGAGACGCAAAAATCTTTCCTTATAAGGTCAAAATATTTCCCATGATGCAGTTCGCGGAGGAACAAATTTATACTTCCTTGTTTTCCCTCATAGGTTTAACATGGGGATTTTCACACCTATTTTTCAATCGATATATTCGTTCATATTCCCGTACGAGAGTACAGAAAAAATTATGAGAAACGATTGATCTCTTATTAATCTTAGTATAACAGCTATTTTTTTCATTGTATTGATTCATGGCGTGGTGAAAACGATGATTGAAAAGTGAGAAAATATTCCGGAAGAGAAGGTCACGTGATCAGTTGACTAGTCGCCATATTGGAAAAAACAATTCCATTCGACTTTCAATACTTTCATGCCAATCTTACCGCACTACAAACTGCAACATCGATGCAACAACTGAATAAAAGTAATCATCTTCAAATTACATTATAGAGTTACGTTGAAAAACCACAAACAACTGAGCAGTAGACCAAAGAAGACGCGTCGCTATTATCTAGGTCAATCTGTTCAGTGGTCCGAAAGCAAATCTATAGTACTCGTTTCCGAATTTTGTTGTTCATTGTACAATTTTTTATTGATTTAATTCGGTATACTGACTATTGAAGCAATGACAAAGAAGAACACTTCCGATGGTGACATTGTTTTATTTAGCGTGCGGGTGTAAAAACAAAATTGCGTAATTAGTTTGATTTAGAACTTCCGGGTCACGCAAATAGCTACGCGAAATGCATCATGGGAATATATTGACCAATCAAATTTTGTCCTTTTTGAGTGCTTTTTCAGTGCATATTTGCGAACGTTCTGATTCAAAGGGCGAACCGCGAAAGGGAGAATTAGATATATATCAACCACTACTATTAGCCTACATGTATATATTTATAATGTTAATATAGTTGATCTCTTTTCAATTATTTCATAAAGGTATTTTGCAAAGGTGATACACATGTTACCCTCAGCATTAAACATATAATAAGCCTTTTCTTCGGGAGTCAATACAGTTAGATTTGGGCAAATTGAGTTAAACGTATCAAAGTATTCATTTTTCCAATTTTTGGCATTCAATAATAAAATGAGTTTCCGTACCAGTGTTGATTTTACATAATTTGCATTTTCTTTGATCTCTCGGAATTATTGGTCTTATATATCTTCCTCGCTCTATTTCTAAATTGTGTGCACTTATTCTTAATCGCGTCATAGATTTCCTATGTTCAGCGTTCTTTATTAAATCCAAATATGGTTCTTTTCCCCATCGTTGTTTGATATTATTCAAAAATTCTATTTTTGCTGAATTAATAAGACATTCTCTGCTGCATATTCTTTGAAAATGCCAGAATATATTGAAAAATAAAGAAATTAGAAAGATATTATGAGAACTTTTTGATCAAGCCTAGTACGTATGCATTTTTATCCTATGCCAAGTAGAGTTTTAGGGAGATAATTAAGTTGGTAAGATATATCCCGTATCCGGATTTTGAGGTTTCCATATCCAGAACCTCCATATCTCCCGCCATATCCCCCGCTTCGGTGCATATCTTCCCGCTTCCCAATAAAAGTGGAAATGCAATAAAATGACTTTGCATATGAACGATTTGTTTATTTTTACACCTTGTACTATTGAAATGGCCATATGCCCCTGAAAACTCTACTTGGTATAGGATAAAGAACTTTTTGATCAAGCCTAGTACGAATGTACGGTCCCTCAGGTAGATATGCATATCTCCCTCTGGATAAACCCCATATCCAAAACCTCCCAGTACATAACCCTTATTTATTAATTATTGATCTATTAATATAGTCCAAATCAATATGGGTTTTATCTTTCATTGAATGTTTCCTCTTACACTTCCTTTCAAACTGCCTTTCATATCGTGTGTTTTCCTTAATTAAGGGTGCAGGATATCCGAAGGCCGATACAAAGTAGCTGAAGTCCCTGGTAAACCAAATGAAATTGATGAATGCGTTTACTATGAATGTTTGGGTAATGAATGGAAACGAAAAGTGTGTCAGGACAAGTTGGGCGTATTAGAGGATCGGTTTAACGAAGAGGGCAGAACGAATAGCTTCCCATGTGTGAAGCCATCGAATAAATGTTTATCAACTCTGTCAGAAAGAGGAGTGGGTAAGCTGGATAACAATAAAACATTCACTGGTCCCCATCTGGTTATAAAGACGTCTTTATAACAAAATGGATGAACTTCCGTTGGGGAAAATATTGAAGCTTATTTATCATGTTTATTTTCATCATTTTCTCCAACAAACACGTGACGTTGATTTGTATCCACATATTTCAGCCGTTTCATCTGGTTTCTGAAAAGCTAGTCAGTCAAGAGCAAATATACCCAACAGCTCCACCAAACAAGTGAGAATTCCCTCACTTAAGCAACCAATTAACTGGAGAATGAACAACGCAAATGTCTTTATAACCAGATGGGACCAGTGACTTCAATTTAAAAGTCTTTTGAAATGCATATTGACAGATTCTTTGGTATCAATATATATCATGAACAGAACGGCATAGAACCTTCTTATGCCAGTGAACAACTTCTTCAATCATGAATAATGTTTATATTCTAATCCTTAGCCGAGACTTCGACAACTGTCTGTGGAATCGACTTGGTCTGTGTAATAGATGTTTCCTGTAGCTTCCAACTTTCCTATTGGACCAGCATTCACCCAAATTGCAGCTTCTGTATATGGCAGTATTGTCAGAGACTTTCTCTACTTCAACACCTACAATAGTGCGAGGATGGTTAGTGAATCTTTGTGATCATATAGATAATATCAATGTTTTAAAACGCAAGCAAAATGTTTAATGACTTTTTACACTGATTTATGAATGACATCGTTTATTCATATAACAGGTACGAAAGGCAATTGATGAAATGCCACTTGATGCTAAACCATGTGCTACCCACACATTTGAAGCTCTTCGTCATGCAAGAGAGGTTCATTTGACTGAAGAAAATGGAAGACGTAATAAAGGCGCAGATATACGTGATGTACAGTTTTTTGTAGATTTTTTGTTTTTGAAAAGTCTCGTTCAACCTCTAAACTTCAACAGTTCATTAGTTTTAGTTGCAACATTAGTTAAAAAAACTTTATTGACTATCAATCTTAACAAGCACATCATTATTCTACAATTTGTCCCCACGTTCCAAGACTTTAATTTGTTGATTAGAAGTATTTTATTTTCTATGTATCTTTGGTCATGACTATTTTCCCACCGTGAATACATTTTCTTCTTTTTTAAAATCATACTCAATACCATACCTGATCTTTTAAGAATTCAATATCTGAAAATTTCCAGCGTCAGCCTTACTGCCGATACTGAGCTATTGCTTGAGTAATGAGTACTTAACGGCAGGATTAAAGGGGTTATCCATCTTCAAATATCAGATAAATACAGTAATTATCTGATTTTAGTGTGCTGTATTGTTGATGACTGATGGATATACTCATCCTCAAATCAAGAAATCTGAGACTATTCGAGAAGCTAATAACATACGCAAAATATGTGCTTTAATTCTGGTTACTTTGCCAAATAGTCCAGAAGAAGAAAAGGAAATGTCTGAGAAACAAAGAGAGAAATTGCGTGAAGAGGAGTTTTCAAAGATACAACCGGACAAAGAGATGAGGATTGACCTTACGTCATTTGATGAACTGGAAGAAAACATCAATAACATTGCAAGAAAGACGTGTCAGCCTGTTAACCGCGTTTAGTGATGCACATGTATGAAGTGAAAGAAAAGAATATGACTTAACTTCAAACTTTTTTACAGTTAGCTGTATTTTCGATTTTCCATCTTTGATTTGCAATAAACATAAGTCCATTAATATTGATGTTCAGTGTGTTATTTCGAAGAGTACATGAAAATGTTAATTTAGTCACACCGGAACAGCCTGACAACTACGGTAAAGTCAGATATCGTTGTCACAAATGGTGGCCACAGATTCGTGTTCAAGACAAAGGGTCTTGTTCACGTTGTTATTTCTCCTATGTCTTACTGCAATACATCCACCACAGTCCGTTGTCACATCTTACCATGTGCCTTTGTCTCTGTTGATTATTTCAAATTTAGATTCCGTTGTCATTGACGATATATGGGAGACGGCGTATTGTGGCGATTCACAACCACATTTCATTGAAATTGGGATTTCATATGATACACCATCACAAGAGCTTAATACATGCACACAATTAGCGACGAGGTTTTATGGAATGAGAACCAAGTGATTGAAGAGAGTTGAAGCGCCGGTTGCGTCCGCCATTTGTGACAACGGTATCTGACTTAACCGTTGTGAGGGTGTTCCAGTGTGATAGTATTGATTTTTGAGCACAGTATATTCAAAGGGGCCTCCTAAAAATTAAGGCACTGGTCCACTGTTGGAAGATACCCCGGGGACGATATACTAACTCACTTGTCAGTATCAAGGGAAGGCTAAGGGCAGTCACCTTCGCATTCAAGATGGACGGGAAGTGTCGATTTCGTTATTTTTTAGTTTTCAAGGAATTAAACTAATTTATAGTTGACGTATTGCGTTAATATTTGAACTAAACCAAGCGTATATGACATGGAAACTCTAGATTACATGTCGATCAATTCTTCATATATTGTGCGTAGGTGCCACAATTCAATGATATCTTCCACCGCTTGGGATGGTTACTGGGATTTTGGAACATGACCATTACCGTATCATACATTTCCAGTGAAAGATATTGTTAAATAAAATGATTTGACACTGTGCCTTTGACTCCCCATTATTTTCAAAAGGGTGAGTGAACAACATACATACACACATGTGCACGGGCGGATCCAGGATTTTGTGTTAGGGGGGGGGGGGGGCGTGTGATAATAACTGTGACCGAAGAGTCAAATTTTGTAAAAAGCGATTAAGGAAAAAGACGAATTTTCCGACTTTTTTAGGGGGGGGGGGGGGGGCACGCCCCGTCTAGATCCGCTGGTGCATGTATACAATAAATAGCAATGGGGCATTAGTACATTTCATGTAAAAGCTGTACAAGCTAAATATTTTTCTAATATAATCAACAAGGGACCCAGAAAGATTTTTAAGTCAGTACTATGAATCAATAATCTGTTATAATTGCCTTTGAGTGACATTTCTAAAATTCATTATTATATAAAATTTAAGTAAAATGCGAACTTTAACCCATCTGAATGAGTTTCCAGAGCACCCAGTTACAGGATCAGTACAATTTTGCATATGGGTAATGGGAATATGTTATAGTTATATCCTGTAAATATAAACTGATCTGCTTTTCCATGTCTTTTACATCTACACGACCGTATGATACATTGGAGTGTTCAGAAGCTGTAACATTTTCTATAGATCTTTAACAAAGTAACACTTTTTCCCTCAAGGACTTTATCGGTAGCTACATATACCAAGGGTGTTAATGTCACCATCAAGTGATAAAATAATGTTAGAGCCGCCATTTTTTTGTGGCTGACTTTAGGTGTTGGTGTTTTTACACTAACAATTTCAACCTGGTGGTGACAAATTGTTTATGTGTTGTTGATAATTGTACCAATTGCCACAAAAATAATGCAAGGAAAATATATGTATTTTGCTCATTGTTTTTTATTTCAAGCATTTAACTACATTCTCCACACATATTGATGAAATAACTCAGTAAAACTGATTAGATTGAAATCTAGATTTTGAATATGACAAATTCAATTTCTCTAGCAAAATATGATAACCTGAATGTTGTGCATCTAGTATTAATACTTTCTGATTTGATTTGAAAGATTTTTGAAAATGTAATTTATGTCTCTTAGTACTTTTACTTTGTATAAAAAAACCTACCTCATGACCATCTACACTGAACATGACACAGTTATTGAAGGGTTCAATTTTAAAGATTATTAAATCTCAAAATAGCTCAAATTATTAACATTTCCACATTTCCAGCTTTATTTTATGACTCAACAGATTCATAAATAAATGACCCGAGGGCGCCCCAGGGGAATAAATAACTAACGACCGCGAGCATAGGTCCAACAAGCCAGATAAAGACATGAGAGAAAGTGTCCTAAATTCGATGCCCCGAGTGGGAATCGAACCCAGCTTGGATGTAGTAGCAACTTGCTATCAAGGGTCGTTACAAATGCATCTATAATACATCATAAACTAAGATTTAATAAACTAAGATCTTTAAAATTGAACCCTTCAAAGACTGTATCATGTCCCACGTACGTGGGTAGGTGGGTATGAGGTAGGAGGTTTTTTATACAAAGCCAGTATTTATGTGTTAATTCATACAGTCTACTGAATTAATGAGTTCCATGACTGGACAGTCTTGGCTCCTAGTTGAAACATATGATTTATGATACATAGTGATAAACATATCTGAACATTCAATTTGCTTTCTGAAATTGATTTTATTAAAAAATCTTGCTCGAGGACAGATTATGTTCTCTCATATTCTGTACAGGACATCCCCTTTCTAAAGTTTGGAAAATCATGGGCTTTAATTACAAGTAATTAGTCAGTAATACAAAAATGAATAAACGCAAGGAGCACACGCGTCTCGTACTTGCAACCTCGTGGTTACAGCCCCAATCGCCTAGCCTAAACGTGCTGGTGCTCAAGCCCTCTCGGCCAACTCGGCAACCCCAAAAATGTTGTTTTGTTAGTGGATATGACTAGAGGCAGCTGATGTTAACGCTCAGACACACCAGAGGAAGCACCCTACCCTTTTTTCCCGTTGGCACTTGTGCTTATATATTTCTAAATATACACACATTGCTCGACAAAACTTTTGAAGAGTGTAAACTTAACATGCAAAATGTCACCAACTGCCATTTGTTACAGACACAGACCTCCGACCAACCTCCTTAAACCAAACCACAAACCCTTTCCAGAAAAGTTTTAGGCTATAACAATATGTCACCATTTGTGGTGGTGACACAGTAAAACTGTTCATGATATTTTACTTAAGGTTCAGCTGGAAAGTAACATTTTGGTAAAAAATTGCTATACCTGCACATGTTATTTTCTGGTACAAAATTAAGTATGAAGGCATGTGTGTATTTCCTTGCTTTTTTCAGGAAAGTATCATTACACTGTTTACTTTTAGAATATCTGGAAACAGTTCAATGGAAGCTTCTGTGTTGTCTGGACACTTTGAAAGAAAATTTGGAAAAATAGAAAGTGTGAAATATCAGAATTTCCTGGAGTTCCCATTGAACTCCTACCAGATATTCTAAAAGAAGACAATGTAATGATACTTTCCTGAAAAAAGCAAGGAAATTGACACATGCCTTCATACTTTATTTAGTACCAGAAAATAACATGTGCAGGTATAGCAATTTTTTACCAAAATGTTACTTTCCAGCTGTACCTTAACTGGTAACATTAGATTTATAGTGTAGCATTAGATATAATCAGAGTATGTATACATGTACACTGTAGGGTGCTCACTAAGCTGTTAAACCGAGGCACCCATCACTGTTTACATATCAGTCAAACTTTGCATATATATTTATATCTTATATACATGTTCATTTAACAAATCACTCCATGTCAAGTTCGCTAGAGTCTATACTCAGTGATTTCATTTGCGCTTCAAGTTCAGCAGTTAGAGTACTAATGTTTTGTTTGTATGGTGCATCTGCCGGAGCTTTAAGATTGTAAGTGTCACCCTCTTCTTTCGCCTTTTTCAGGACATCCTTCATATTCAGAGCTTTTGCTGTTCTCATTTGGCCTTCGCATGCCTTCCCATATTTCTTCCACTGGCTACAGTTTGTGGCCTATAATCAGCATAGAGCAATATGAATACATTTGAACTGCATAGTTTTCTTAAATATTCTCCAATTTTAAATTCCTGCAACATGAACAAAAATAGAGTTCTAATATGAGTCAGCCATTACTGATGATGGACAATTCTATATTTGTGTAGATAAGATCAAAGGAAAGGAGATATTGATCAAGTCTTCAGGGCATGAATAAAGTAGTTATTTGCAACCAGACTTCCAGGAATGACAACTTTTATTTCCACTAATATTGATATGAGTTATAAAGAAATGGGGAGGGTTGAATATCTTCTACTGATAGATATATGCATTGCTCAAAATGAAGTCTTGGCTTGACTTTAGCTTTGGGCTTGGGCACATACTACATGTACTTCATTGGGTTCATCAGAAATGAAATCATTGTTACAAAAATCATATGCTATGGTGCACCATGCTAGAAAGATCCGTTAACAACAAACAAATAATCAGTTACCAAACAAACATCTAACAAACGTCTATGAAAAAAGTTTAAGTTTGATTTGCTTTGGCAAAATTAGGTCTATTATGACTAAAGCTATGCTTCTCACCACTCCAATTATCATAATTTTCATGCTTTGTTATTTGTTTTCATTTAATCCAACTGTTCAAACTTTATGTATATGATATTTTAGATTTCATAACATGGAACCTATACATCCCATGACTGGGGTGTCTCTTTCATGTCAGTGTAAATACTTACCATGTACAAAATCTTAAAATAAATTGAAAAATATGAAATACAAAAAATACCTTAAACCTCCCAGTGGCTTTCTTGTAATTATCATGTGCCTCCTGCATATACTTTTCACCAGCTGCTTCATAAAACTCGGCACTCACGACATAGAAGTCAGATCCTCTGTGAAGTGTACGTCCTGGCCCAGAACCCTGCTCTTGAAGGTCCACTTCATCTTGTAAAATCTTGATCTTTCCGAGACCTTTCTTTATAACCTCTTCCCTTTTAGTGGGATCTTTCTCCATTTTCAAAATACGAGTACTTATGAAAACAACCTTTTCTGTGCACACACACTTATGGTGTCGGTCATTCTTAGTGACTTTCAGGATGCCATGCTGGTACCAGTCATTGTTATCTGTAAGTTTACTAAGATTTTCATATTCCCTTTGGCCCTGATACAAATTTCTCAGCATTTCCTCAGAAGATTTTTCTTTGCCCATTTCATTTTTGTTTTCTGATAACAGGTAGAAGAGAGCATTGCGCTTAGTAAGAATGCTATGGAACACTACAACTCCAGTTTTTTCCTCAATGACCTTGCATAAGGCTGAAGAGAGACGTATTGCAGATATCAGCATGTTGGTATTCATTGTATTTCTCTGGTATTTATCCTTGTTGTAGAAGTACATACGCCCATATGTGTAGAATACTGATGCATAGAGCTCTGGAAGGTAGATACTCTTGATCTTTTCTTCTGGTACGCAACACCCCAACTGCACGAGTTCATCATAGATTTTCCTATCAATTCTGTCCTGTGATAGAAGCTTTGGGAATTTCTTATCTTTCGAAATTTTCTGTTTCATCTGAGCGACATCATCTGCATTTAAGACTGTATTGGCCACAAATTTGTTACTAACTCTATCACATACAGTTTCAAGTTTCTCGTACATGAATAATGCCTTTTCATGAGCAAATTCATCTGGGTCTGTCACTTGGTTGTCGTCCACCCGCATCTCTGATTGCATGCCTGTACTTCTACGTCTCAATTTGATTGAGATGTCTCTATCCACATCTGCCTCCTCCATGTTCAGAGACTTATAGACCAGATCCACACCAGTCTGTAACTTCTGTTCTGCTACCTCTCTTGACCCACTTTGAGTGTGTGAATATCCCAGTATGTCGAACATTGCAATCTCCATTATTTTCATCTCGAATGAAAGGTCCAGCTTGTGCACATGCTCCAACACCATTTCCACGTGAGGCATCAGCAGTGTGTTAATCTTGAAGTATGACATATATCTTGTATCCTTGGCGAAGTAGCATAGTAGGACTCTCATCAAGATCTCAAGGGACTTTAGGTGGTCTGATGTCTCTTGAACTTCGAAGCGTGTTGCAAGCTGTACTAGATCATGGGTGTCCACTAAGCGATGTTTCATATCACCATCCTCAAGGAATATGGTCACATAGGAACGATTTATCATCTTGTTAAGAAGTTCATCTATCATACTTTCAACTGGCATATCTGCATCGGGATCAACGAGCCTCAATATATCCTCCAAGATGAAGACAGGTATGGCTTTAGAGTCAAAGAATGCCATCGCTTTGAATACCATACAGAGTTTGGGCAAACCATCAGCTTTCAGTTCATCTAACATTGTTCGAACATTCTGGACATGGGCTTCAATAGGTGTTTTCTTATAGCTGTTACCAAGTATGCCTCTGTCTCTTCTTTCCATCATTCGATACACCTACAATGAACCAAACAGAAGTAAAGTTGAGATTTTAGTGTATATTTACATTTACCAGACATTTTGTAACCATGAATATCGTGAGATCAAAACTTTTTGATTTAAAATATTTGTAAAATAAACAACATTCAACCATTGCAAAATATTGTTTTTTTGTTATAATTTGTATTCATCATTCTAGTAAGTTAGTATCTCACCAAATTATTTTGGGCAACTTTCAAAAGATTCCTCATTTCAAAATGTCCATGCTAGAACATCCAGCAGAAATATGAAAGACAATGCTTCATTTGAATACAATGTAGTTTTCTCCCTTGGATGTTGTTGCGAAGTTCTCAATTCAAATTTTCAGGAGGGTGAACGAATATTTTCATTCACTCATTTGGGACCAGCTCACTTATTTCAATGTAAGAGCTCACTGTTATAAAGTAAAAGAATGCTGGAGTGGAACAAGGCACAGGGTAAACAATATTGTACCTAAAGCAAGATGGCCTCTGAAAAGTTAATCAAGCATAGAACTTACCATGTAACATGTGTAAAAAATTGAAGTAAATCCATCAAGTGGTTTACTTGTAATCGTGATGACAATATTTATCGAAAAACTTCCAAAATGGCCACCAAAAAGCAAGATGGCAACTGAAAAGTTAACTTCTTACCATGTAACATGTGTAAAAATTTGAAGTGGTTTCGTTAAGCGGTTTTCCTTGAAATTGTGAAGACAACTGAATATTTATCTAAAATCTTCCAAATTGACCACCAGAAATCAAGGTGGCCACCGAAAAGTTATTTAGCTCTAGAACTTCTTACCCTGTAACAGGTTTAAAAATTTGAAGCAATTCCGTTCAGTGGTTTTCCTGGAATCATGATGACAAGAAAGTAAAGATGCTGCCAACGCCCCCAAAGCTGATGACATTATCATACCTTTTTAGGTACAATAAAAAAACATGAATATAACATTGAATTATAAATATTTAATTATATTGACCTGCTTATGCTTGATGCCTTTAAGATAATGATCAATGTCCCTTTTCAGTTTATTGATGTCGAATTTGGCACAGGCTAGGGCACTAGGAAGGTGACTCATCTCCTCCCATAATTTTATCTTCATCTCTCTTCTATCTTGGAGTTCTTCCAGAAACTGCAATACCTCATCCTCAGTGAAGCCATTAATTGGTTGTATGGATTCCTTGATGGCATACGGATGTGACGTTTGAGTCGTTATGATAACAGAGATGTTCTCAGAAGGTGGAAAGCCTTGTTGGATCACATATTGAGTAGAGTCTGTAACATCATCAAAGATCAATAAAAACTTTCTATTAGCATCACGTTTGATCTCTGAATTGACCTGCGATAACATGTCCGGTAGATCCTGGTTTGGATCAACAGTGAATGATTTCAAACGTTCTTGAAATAACAGAAGCGAGTTCCGTAATTCTTGGTCTGATTCACTAGGAATTAACCAGCCAACGTCATACAGGTCTTTTTTCCTATTCCAATAAGCTTTAGCTATTTCTGTTTTTCCACTTCCACTTAAACCTGGAAATACAATTCAGATTATAAAATCACTCATTCAAAAACAAAATCATGCAATAATATAGGGCTACTAAAATGTGGACTGACTAAGAGCTATTTAATTTCAATTTGGTAGACTTAACCTTATTAGAATATTGTCAGCTACTTATTCAATTTGGTGATTTTAAGTTGATATGCTCTTCAAAATATTCATTTTTTACATAAATATTTAAACTGATGAACTATATCTAGAACAGAATTACATGAATTAGCAAACCACCAAAGTTTTGAAGAAAATTTACCATATACAGTAAAACCTGTCTAATCCGAACGCCATTGGGACCAGATAAAAGCATTCAGATTAGGAGGTGTTCACATTTCGAGGTTTTTGCATCCGTAATAATCCGGATTCTGAAGAAATTTGAACACATTCTTGGTAAATATTTATAGTTCTTTTAACCACATAACTTTATGGCATTCCAGAAATTTGAAAATTTGATCCAAATGAATCTAATCATGCTGGAAAGGCCCATTATGAATGAGACGAAAGGCCCATTATGAATGAGACCATTCAAGATTATTTCCCAAAGTTTTGATATCATGACAAAATTTGAGCAATTTTGTATAAAACATCAGAAATTTTATGAAAAGTGTTCAGATTAGACAGGTGAATTTTTCAAATATGACTGTTCACTATTCAAATTGGGAGGTGTTCACATTTCAAGGTTTTTTAACATGGGAGTCAATGGGAGGAAAAAATGGGACCGAAAAAAAGTTCAGATTGGGAAGTGTTCGGATTAGCCAGGTGTTTAGATATACAGGTTCTACTGTATGTAAATGACAATTTGGCTTCATTATAATACAGACAGACCTGACATAAAAATATGAAAATAGAGTAAAACCTTAAACCTGTATATCAAAACACCTTTCTAATCCATCTAAATGTGTTTTATATGTTTAACATGAATGTTAAATGAGCTGTTATCAGAGCATTGTAAGATATTGTTCTTTGATACTGACTTTTCCAGAACAGGCCTTAGTTTTCTTTGAATGTGAATGTTCTGTCACACTTGTAGCCCTGTATTTAATAATGCAGGTTTTACTGATTATATACAGTGAAACTGATATTCGAACACCTCTCTAATCCGAACACTTCTCAATAAGAACATTTTTTTCTCAATCCCTTTGTTACCTTTCATTGACCTACATGCTGAAAAACCTTGAATGTGAACACCTGCTAATCCAAACATTTTTGGCTTTATTGTACACTGTGCATACATATGTGAGAGCAATATACAATAAGTAGATACGTATATCTGGCAGAAAAATGTACGTCTACCTGTTAGAGCCACAAACTTTGTCTGTTCCATGTGCTCCATGCATCGTTTCAGGTCCTGTGTATCCTTGTAGTCCTTTACATTAGGGGTAATGTTAGAGATGGGTTTTATGGAACCTGATGCTGTAAGGAAAAGTAAGTTGATTTAACCTCTTGAATCCCAGGATCTAAAATTGGTTGAAACCAGAGAATTTTTCATTTTTGCCAGCTTTTGACTATGTACATCATACATATACAACAGATGATGCTCATTTTAGTAAAATTAGATGACAGAGATCTTTTCTACACATTTTAAAACATTTTTTGTGTAAATTGGATAAAAAATTGTTGAAATAAGAGCAATTTTAGTGAAAAAAATTGTGACAGCTTTTCTGGTCACTCGCTGGGTTTCAAGGTCACATTTGAGGTGACAAGATATCTCGTCACTCCGGGTCATCAAGAGTTAAAATGGTAAAAATAACATGTATTTTTTACTGACTATGCTAAACGTTTACTGAGGCTGTAATTTTATATAAAAAATAGTTTTCGAATAAAATATAAACTTTTTAGATCTCATTTAAGTCTGTCCTATTTCAGTATCTATCATGATTATTGGAATAAAACTCCAATACTATTTTCAAACATTGACTTCTATTTGTAGTCTAATGTCCATGTCTAGTTTTTCATAATTTGGTCAGCACATGTGAATGCAGTAAAACCTATATAAGTGGAACACCTTAGGCCCCTGCCAATTATTCCAGAGGTTCATAAACATAATACCATAGGGTACAGTACCAAAAGACTCTTTCTAAACTATTGTTAACTTAGATGGATTTAAAACCAAAAATGACCAAAAACATATTCAAATATACAATACATACGCATTCTCTGTCTTGGCGAAAGACGGTTTGCGAGATCTTTTAGATCACATTTGCAGAGGGCTCTCCTGAAGGCATTTAGTTTATCATCAATAGAACAGTTCTTGTACCATGCTTCCAAAAGTTTGTAACTGCATTCCTGAGCATTTCCACGGCAGTCTTGCTCTATATCCTCAATTGTTGCATTGGGCAAGTTCAATGCTCTTGCAACATCTCTCTTTTTATTCCCCAATTGATTTGCAGCAACTCTCAACCATTCAGGCGGGTCGCTGTGTTCAGTATCTAGAATGATAAATCAACAAGTACTTAAATTTGACCATTGAACTTCTAAGTGATTTATATGCATATTTAAAATATGTCTGTACGTGAATAGCAATTGATCTGTTATTGATTGAACAAAGGGCACAAAGTAAAATATTAACAAACACAAATGCACATACTTTTTTAGTTTGTTGCAATGCCATGTAATATATCATGTGATATGCTAAATGTATATATGTGTATAAAATACATGAATGTAAATGGGTATCGTTACACCTGATGATCGTGCAGTTTTAGACCTGATCAGTGAAACACATGCTGTTGCATTTGACACCTATGTATATAGTACCGTAGGTGTGGTATTATACTTGGTGCATCATGCATGCATGTGCAATATTGTATGTGTAGTAATTATGTTTGGTGTTGGTACATGCTGATATCTGATGGTTCAGCCAAGGACCCCCACCAAACTGTGTATAAAGTAAAACCCCCTCAGGTTAGATGTTATATACAACATGATGCATTGCCACAGGTAGCAAATGTTACAGTGTATCCCGGGGGTTCACTGAATACAAAGTTTGGCGGGGGTCCTAGGCTAAACCCTCATGTATCAATATATTTCCATACCAATCTGTCAAATTTCAATGTGTTCCCATACCAGCCAAATAACGCCCAGGAAAGCCATACCAAATGTCCAATTATAAGACCAATGCCATACCAAATATAGGATTCAAACATGACCGTGCTCTATTCGAATTTCTCAACCAATCAGAATGCAGCATAGCCAATATAGAACGTTCTCTAATTCTCCATAGATGCACGACCATACTCTATTCAATCTGCAATTTGCATTGTTTTGAGTGACGTCACATCTCAGCTGCACATCTGGGGCTCTGTCCGGGGATAGCTGTTCTTTTTTACTCCCTGTTTTATCAACACCCCATGTTTGCATACACCGTATAAAATCTAAAACGGGGAGTAAAATAGAACAGCCCAAACAAATTCTAAAATTTTTCCGGCCGACTTCAGAATCTTGACAGCATGCGTATTCTTCCTTCATGCCCGTTCCACAGACACGGCTTTTACTAATTTTTATGTTTGAATCGGAATAAATAATGATAGGCCATTCAATATGGTGAAATTCAGCACTCGTTGGACAGAATGTTAGTACAAATGCACTCACCTTCGGTTCGTGCTTTGTACAACATTCTGTCCAACTCGTGCTGAATTTCACCATATTGAATGGCCTATCATTATTTATTCCTTAACCAATGCATACCAAATATCCAGATATAAGACTAAGGCCATTCAAAATGCCTAAAGCCCCAACAAGAAGGCAGATCTTTGAGGAAAACGATCCAAAACAACCTCAAATTAAGGGTTTGTGTAACTACTAGACCAATGCCACACCACAAGTGAGATGTAACATATTTTCCATGACCATTCTCATACCAGAAAGTGGAAAAATCCAACCATTGCCATACCTCAAAAGTCATAATTTTGGGGACATTCTCATACCAGATCCTAAAATTTGGCTCCATTGCCATACCAAATGTCAAAAAAAGGTACCCCATGTGCGCCGAGGATCCCCGTCAAGGTTTACATACAGTGAACCCCCTGGGCAGTGTACAGTACCTTCTAAATTCATATTGCTTTGTCCAAGGCTCTTTATAGATTAAATCATCCACTAGAATCCTCTAGGCTTGAAGTCATCAACAGCTTTATATGAATTTGTATCTTGTTCCTGAAAATTTAAAATAAAAACATTGTCGATTAAAATATACATGAGATAAGCATATACATAACATAAGCCTTTAATTTTCATATAACTTTTGCAAAGTGGAATCTTCTTGGATTTTCTTTTGTAGATAAGTTGTTCAATAAGCATTCTCTCTCACCAAATCCAAATCCAAAATGAAGTCCAAAAATCTGTATTTGTTAGTAGTAACCAAAGAGGCAAGATTGTTATTACAATAGACTATGTATTATATTTTGCAACACACTTGAAATTCAGTTCAGTTGACTGAACTTACTATTTTCTACTGATTATCTATGAAAATTTATATGGTGTCTCTTAAACCAATGTTGGCTGATGTTTTTTTAACACTTGGATTTTACCTGTTATATTTTGGTAAAACAATATAACACATATTGACATAAATAAACTATTATTAGACTAAACTAAAATGAAAATGGGTCTTTTCTAAGAATGTCAAATTCTAGAAATATTTGAAAGGAGTACAAAATCTCACTAAGCGAAACTATTACCAAATTACTGAGTTTACTGTGTAAGTCTGGAGACAAGCACCATGCTTGAACACATAATGTATCTGTAATGCACATGCTATCTATTGCAAGACAAGACTTGCCTGGCACAACCGTCTCCTTGTCTTGACTATGGTAATATTAAAGCCTGATATGACCGTGACAATGCTATATTATATTGCAAGGCCTGCCATGACCGTGGTAATGTTAACGCCTTATATGACTGTGGCAATGGTTGTAAGGCCTGTCATGACCGTGGTAATGTTAAAGCCTTATATGACTGTGGCAATGGTTGTAAGGCCTGTCAGGACCGTGGTAATGTTAAAGCCTTATATGACTGTGGCAATGGTTGTAAGGCCTGTCATGACCGTGGTAATGTTAAAGCCTCATATGGCCCTGACAATATTCATGTTTTTGAACGAAGTAGTAGTAGTGTAGATTTACATATTTAAGGTAGACAAACGATGACATTTTTCATTACAGTATTCTCATGCTACTAAATGTCATTTAATTTAAACCATTGTCATGAAGTCATATTGTGCTTTAACATTACCACAGTCATGACAGGCCTTGCAACCATTGTCACGGTCATATCAGGCTTTAACATTACCACAGTCATGATAGGCCTTGCAACCATTGTTACGGTCATATCAGGCTTTAAGGTTCAGCTGGAAAGTAACATTTTGGTAAAAAATTGCTATACCTGCACATGTTATTTTCTGGTACAAAATTTAGTATGAAGGCATGTGTGTATTTCCTTGCTTTTTTCAGGAAAGTATCATTACACTGTCTACTTTTAGTAAACCTGGAAACAGGTCAATGGTAGCTCCTGTGTTATCTGGAAACTTTGAAAGAAAATTTGGAAAAAAAGAAATTGTGAAATATCAGAATTGGAGTTCCCATTGAACCCCTACTAGATATTCTTAAAGAAGACAGTGTAATGATACTTTCCTGAAAAAAGCAAGGCAATTGACACATGTCTTCATACTTTATTTTGTACCAGAAAATAACATGTGCTGGTATAGCAATTTTTTACCAAAATGTTACTTTCCAGCTGTACCTAACATTACCAGTCACGATTAAAGGCTAGATTATACCAGGCTTTCATGACTACCAAGGTCATGGTAGGATCCTCGCGAATCTTAAAAACACTTAATAACATGGTGACGGTTGTGCCAGGCATAAGTCTTGCAACAGATAGGGTCTAACTCCTCTAAGGTTTGACAAAATGAGAACTTGTGATTATTGGAAGGGTTTCGCGACACACTACGAGTCACAGTCACTCAGTCAGTATGCAGTTCTAATTTGGCGCTGGCACGTAACATTAGTCTGTAATATAGATCATGAGTTTGGCTTATATAAACTGCATACAGACTGAGCGACGAGTGACAAAATCTGGTTTTTCCACGGTAAATTTAGGCGTTTCGGTTTCTTTCTGTTGCTGGAATAGAACTGGGTTTTATTCAACTTCCTTGAAGGTTAATTCTCAATATATCTGATCCAACCACAAGGACCACCACTTCCTACCAATAACAAATTTAATCTAATGTCAGGTAGGCCTATTTGATAAAAAACGCCTAAAAAAACTTACCAACTCATCATGGATCTGCCATCTTGGCTTCGGGGAAATCCAACTTTAGGGGAATCCCCTATTAGATTTTACTAAATCAGGAAATCGCTTGTGTACTCGTAAAATGTGTATTATAAATTTAGCGATATAAAATTGCTAAAATATATGAGATTGGAGGAATCACATATAAATTGTTGCCTGTCTTTTGTTTGATTTGGATGTAGTCAGGATGTTTGGTTATTTTGGAATAAAGAAATATATAATTAATTTGAGCACATTGTCTTCCTATCCTACTGAAACACATTCTATTTTAATTTCATTCTTTCACTTTTTAATTAACCATTCCAAAGTATAATTGTTGATAGCACGACGAGTATAGATGGTAAAATAATCTTATCGATCTGAGTACAATAGCATACTATGAATTCTTTTTCATTCTATTTTCCCCAAGATTTTTTTGGAATGTGTCAGAATGTGACAGTTGATTATTGATGTGCCACGCCCACTCACACTCCATATGACTAATTGCCATACTATCAGAATTTTCATTAACACCTTTATATCTTCCAAACATGTAACAAATATAACTGGTAATTAATTGTGAGTGTTTTTGACAGACAGTATCCCCATAGGCCAAGGGTAAAGTAATAGTAAGCCGCGTATATAGAAGAGACGGTGTGAAAGAAATTATGGTACCCCAGGGATTATGGTCCCCCCTTTTAAAGGCCCTTACTGGCCCTGATTGTGTATAAGATAATAAGGGAAAGAACACAAAGAGGTCACCATATAAATCAATGGAGAGTAGGACCATAAATTAATGGGACCTTCTACCCTTTTACACCGGCTTACTATTACTTTTCCCTTGGCTTATGAGTAACCCCATAAAACTTTTGTTCCATGTAATATCTACATGCACATATTCAGAGAAAAAATATATTTGTATGTGACTGAGACTTACAGTATGTGATGAGAAGTTTGCAGGAATGAATTAAAAATTATATTGATTTAATTCTGTAATTCTCTAGTTCTGTAAACGTACACCAATATAAATCTCAGGCAAAACTTTTACTCTATGGTACTTTTTGTATGTTCAGTCAGAAATTGCACCTAGTATATTCATAATTGAACAAAACCCAAGAAAATCCAGATATATGTCCTGTTGAAGAACCATAATTGTTATCACTTTGAACCTTCACCTTTAGTAGTAGTACTGCTCTACTGATTTCTGTTTTTAAAGCAAATCACTTGAAGTTATAGAGGATTTCAACAAAGGGCGAATTTAAAGAATTATTTAAGAATATTTTTAAAAGGCCTAATGACCCTTGCTTACGCCATCAATAACTTTCATATACTAAAATCGATTGGCCTGATTATGGCCAAAATAAATCAATAAATAACGAATATATGTCAGTGAATTTATAAATTGGATTTTTGTTTAGAGCTATTCTCATAAATGGACCCCTATTTAATTCTGCTATAACAGTTCAGCTGAATAAAACTCCAATGTATTTTTGGCTCATAAGTAGAAATAAATCAAGGATTGTCTATATAACTGTTTCAAAGTATTTGCAACTAGGCATTCTGCAGCAAGACATAAAACCTTAATGAACGGTCTTTAGAATTGTTTGGTTACTACAGTTAAAAATTAATGAGAGTGCTAAATCAAAGAGCCAAATTACATATGAATTAAAAGTGTCTTGATCACAAAAAGTAAGCTGAACCTTTGTGAACTATTCTGTGTCTGATCCATAATAGCAAATTCTCCTATTGGTGACAGTGCACAGGTCATATGATTGTTAAATTTTACATTATGTTTCACTTAAGAATCACTATATACTGTACTTTAAATTGAGGTAATTTGGTACATTATACATGTATTTTGGCATTTTCACAAGTATATGGATATTGGCAACTATTCTGGAAATTTAAAAGAAGTTCATTAAAGTGCCATAAAATAACATTGCAAGATGGTTTACAATGAAGATTTAAGTTGGTCATCTTATACAGCATTGATGAATGGCTACCAATTTAAATTTTTTTATAAAAATTAATGTGCATATTTGTCCAAATTGAAATGAATATGTTTGTTCATGCATCTATCGAGGACATATGTAACCCAACCAATCTTTTTAATAATATACTTAATATTTTAATGAATTATCCTTATTTTGTGAGCTTATTACCACTTTAAAAATCTTTGAAGAGGTACTCTTGTATAAATGGTCAGTGATGGAGATGATGAACTTAAGCAGCTTATATTTTGCATTCTACGCATAATATAAGATGTGACTGCTAATGGGAGTTCTGGTAAAATCCCGCTTCATGAAGTAACAAGGCATTTACATGCAAAATGTCACCACCTGCCATTTTTTACACATGCCGGACATCAACCACCGAACACTAACTGCTAACACAAAAACTTGGATACTATAACAGTATGTCACCACTTGTAGTGGTGACATAAAAAGCGGGAAGATAGGTAATTTTTGAAGGGAACCAGTTACATTTTACCTGTTTATAAATGAGTGTGTGACTCCAGACACTATAAAATATTACCAAACTGTATTTTTGTTTTCAAAAATTTATTTCCAAAATAGATTATTAAACATTTTAAATATTGCATCTTATTTTCTGTTGCATCTCTAGATATAAAACTTCTAAATAAACCAGTGTCTTAGTCCATTTTAGTTCTCTAAAGTGCTCTCCTTCAATAAACACTGATGACATTGATTCATCATAAAATCAGGTCCAGTCAATTATTAGTGTCAATTATAGCTGTAAAGTGTTCACTTCAACCTGTTGAAGGAGTGGATTGGATCCCAGGGCAGCTAAGAGAGACCTGTCAGTACCACTTTTCATATCATCTTCTATCAAATCCCTTAATCTCATTGGACAATTTCAGTCATGTGACTACTCAGGATGGCCATTTCAGGACAGAGGGGGTGTATTGTCCCCAATCATGGCTATCTCATTGACCCCAAGATGTCTTCACAAATTGCTAGCTGATTCAGAATTGAAAACTCCCATATTATGCAATATTTTCCTCGATCTTAGAAATTCGTCTGAGATAAATATTGTGCACATAGGATTTATTTTTATTTCAACCAACATCTCATGAGAGTCACTTATATCTCCATGGCTTCAGTCCCATTGTTGTGGCTTAAAGTAGGTCTCATTGTTGATCCCAACTCTCTCTAGTCCAGCCCCATAGTAGTCTATCTCGTAACTTGAGCCATCAGCAGGTGTCACCACCTACAAGTATGAAGATAATGAAATGATTTAATCCAAGGGAAATATATCCCCAACACCAAAGGGAGTATTTTTGTATGTTTCCCTGATGCAAGTTTTTAGGTTAGAGCACTTTTTGATATTGTACCAGATGTTCTTGCAATAATACCTACCCATTTTAGTGACCATGAGTGATAAACTAAAAATGCTGTAAGTTGAACACCGGTGAATATTATAAATAAATGAGAAAAGAAACTGCTAATCTTTGTGATAATTTACAGCAAATCTATTGATATTGAAGAACATCCAATAGACAAACATTCTCGTAATGAAACCCATTCTGTTTAATGGCCATGCATACTTCAGTTTAATATGGGTGTAAATAAGAGAATAAAATGCTTTTTCTATGACCTACTTTCACCTTAAACCATGGATCTCATCGCGAGAATCTCTTTTTAGAATCTTACCTGTGTCGCAATCAGAATCACATCTACCAGCTGACCAAGGAACATAAACCCCAATGTGCAAAACTTTAAAAGTCCTGAAATAGAAAATCAATGAATGTTATGTCATATAATTTTGTAAGAAATGAAGCATTTTGGCAGGATTGTCTACTTGATTATTGAGTACATGTATATGTACAGTGGAAAAGCTTTGAAACTGTCAATTAAATATGTCTCACTTGTTCAAAAATGGAGTGAAGCTCAAGAGTAACATACATGTAATCAAATCACATTGATTTGCATGTTGATGCATGCAGTGCAATCAGAATTCACACATACCTGGGTAAGATATATCAAATTACAGCCAATCAGAAGACAAAGATAAACAAGGAATGAAACTTGAAAAACAGTAACTAAACGAAGTAGCAGATCCTAAACAAATTACATTTTAGCCTACAAAACACTCATCATTTTGAATATTTGTGCAAATTGTGCCTCTATAATTTTTCTAGCTTCAGCCACGGATAAATGGCACTTTTTTGGCTTAAAAATCAAAGTGATTTTGGGGTATAGGGGCAAAGTTATGACAATCGGAAGTTTAAGCCAAAAAAATGAAAATTGTTGAATATTTATAGTCACATTGTTTCTCAAACTGTAGAAAATGATTAATCATTATTACTCTGTTGGGTAGATAGTACTCATTTAACAGATTGAATTCTCTTTCCAACATGCTTTATTTCTTGAAAATCGATTTAGTCAATTTTTGTGCATGTTCCATAATGGTTAGGTTAACTGTGGCACCAGAATCATAATGATCAACCTTTCCAAATTTTAGATATATTTTTTATATTCCCTTACACCCGATTTTTTTCATTTTCACTAATTCAATTTATATTTCATTGCTATTTGTGGTTGCTTTGAACATAGGGAGTTATCTTGAATTACATTTCTTCTAAAAATGTGACAACCATTTTGATGACCAAATCTGATCAACTATATCTATGATATGAAAAATTACATTATTTCTCAAAATATGGCGGCCATTTTAAATTTGGCAGCCATCTTCAAAATTCTCCCTTTGACAGATATTCTATGTCCTTAGGTATCAGCCTATACAATTTGAAACAAATTGGACAACAGGTATATGAGCACATTTTTTATGAGCAAGCAAAGCCTATATTTTTTACAAAAAATGGTAGCCATTTTGAATTGAGTGGCCATTTTGAAAATTACTTCTCAAGCAGAAGTATCAGACTCAGGGCTGTCAACTTGGGACCACCTAATATGAGTGACTTACAAATGTTGGACACCTAAGTCCAAATCTGAACACTTTTGTCCAAATTTTGAACACCTTTGGCCAACTTTTAAACACCTTTGGCCAAAGTTTGAGCACCTTTGCCAAACTTTGATCACCTCAAATTTTTCGCATTTAACATGCGTGACATATACAGGATTCGCGTGACAAATCCAAACAAATTGCGTTCGGTTTTTTTCCGACGTTCGTATTTTTACCGTATCGTAAACATATTTTGAAAAATTTTCTACAGAAATATTTTTGCTTGACAATTAACAGGTAAAATGCGTATTTGCGTGACATTTTCTGTCACGCAAAAAAAACTGGCGTGACTTCAGATTCTTCAGCAAATACGTGACAAATACGCAAATTGCGGGACAGTTGACAGGCCTGCAGACTACAAAATTTGAGCCAAATCTGTGTGACTATAGGAGTTATCAGCAGGACAAATAGACAGAAGGGTGAATGGTTTTTCTATATCCCTCACAAACTATGTTTGGTAGGATAATAATGATGAAATTATGAAATATTTAAAAGTCAATGGCCAAAATTAACATATAAATCTTATAGATATCTATACAAACCTATAGCGGGATATCCAAGGTACATTCTATCTATTCCAAACATTCCAAGAAATACTGATAGAAGCAGGGCTGTCTCAAATGATTTTCCATTGCTGAAACAAAAAATTAACATGAGGCTATAATTTTTTGTGATTTCACCAATTATTGAAAATTTTGAGCAACTAAATTGTAATTTTTCCCATGTAAGCTAGCAATGCCAGCGATTTTAAGACAATTTGGAACTTAAGTAATGGATTGTCATTAGGTACAAAAAAGTTGGAGACTATCAAAATAGAGGAACAAGGCATTAACATGACAAAATGTCACCACCTAGTTGCTCACAATATTATGAGTTCAAACTTAATATAAGTCAGATTTGAATTTCTGAGAACTTGTAAAGTCAAATTTGAATTTCTGAGAACATGTAGATGATTTTGAAAAAAAAAATTAGTCAATTTGAAGCAAGTTGAAAAAAGACCTTTTTGACCTTTTTTGACCTTGAGAAGGTCAAATGTCAAATCTAAAGTCATATTTGAATTTCTGAGAACATGTAGATGATTTTGAAAAAAAATTTAGTCAATTTGAAGCAAGATGAAAAAATACCTTTTTGACCTTTTTTGACATTGAGAAGGTCATTGAAGGTCAAATGTCAAATCTAAAGTCAGATTTGAATTTCTGAGAACATGTAGATGATTTTGAAAAAAAAATTTAGTCAATTTGAAGCAAGTTGAAAAAAGACCTTTTTGACCTTTTTTGACTTTGAGAAGGTCATTGAAGGTCAAATATCAAATCTTAAGTCAAATCTAAAGTCAGATTTGAATTTCTGAGAACACGTAGATGATTTTGAAATTTTTTTTTAGTCAATTTGAAGCAAGTTGAAAACAGACCTTTTTGACCTTATTTGACCTTGAGAAGGTCATTGAAGGTCAAATGTCAAATCTTAAGTCAAATCTGAAGTCAGATTTGAATTTCTGAGAACACGTAGATGATTTTGAAAAAAAAATTTAGTCAATTTGAAGCAAGTTGAAAACAGACCTTTTTTGACCTTGAGAAGGTCATTGAAGGTCAAATGTCAAATCTAAAGTCAGATTTGAATTTCTGAGAACATGTAGATGATTTTGAAAAAAAAAATTTAGTCAATTTGAAGCAAGTTGAAAACAGACCTTTTTGACCTTTTTTGACTTCGAGAAGGTCATTGAAGGTCAAATGTCAAATCTTAAGTCAAATCTAAAGTCAGATTTGAATTTCTGAGAACACGTAGATGATTTTGAAAATTTTTTTTAGTCAATTTGAAGCAAGTTGAAAACAGACCTTTTTGACCTTTTTTGACCTTGAGAAGGTCATTGAAGGTCAAATGTCAAATCTTAAGTCAAATCTTAAGTCAGATTTGAATTTCTGAGAACACGTAGATGATTTTGAAAAATTTTTTTAGTCAATTTGAAGCAAGTTGAAAACAGACCTTTTTGACCTTTTTTGACCTTGAGAAGGTCATTGAAGGTCAAATGTCAAATCTAAAGTCAGATTTGAAGGTCAAATGTCAAATCTAAAGTCAGATTTGAATTTCTGAGAACATGTAGATGATTTTGAAAAAATATTTAGTCAATGTGAAGCAAGTTGAAAAAAGACCTTTTTGACCTTGAGAAGGTCATTGAAGGTCAAATGTCAAATCTAAAGTCAGATTTGAACTTCTGAGAACATGTAGATGATTTAGACAAAAAATTGAAGTCAGTCTAAACAGTATTTGTTAAGTTATAGGAAGTTGTAAGAAATTGTTACAGACGCCGGACGCCAACCGCCGGACGCCAACCACCAACCGCCGGACGCCAACCACCAACCGCCGTCGCAAAAAAACGGAGACCATAACAATATGTCACCACTTTTGGTGGTGACATAAAAAACAACAGAAGATAATTCTAAAATAAACAAATTTAACTAAATCTAAGAAGGATCTTAAAGGCTGACCTTGTCAAGCAAGACAATTTATAATTAATGTAAATTAGTTAATACAAACAGATTTTTAAGTCTTCCTGTAATACTTATTGTTGATGTTTATAAAGCTATAGCCTTTAAAGTTTAAGTATCTAAAAATCATGAGATTTCTGATATAATAAATAATAGATCATATCCGTTACTTGACAGGATGTAAACTGTTATTTTTCGACATTACACAGGAGGATTTAATTTGATACAAATCATTGAACTTTAATTGTAGTGAATCCAAATATGATATAACTTGGTTTATTGTACACAGGCCAGCCAGACCTTCATATAAACTTCATATAACCTGTCCACATTATTTTCATTATTTATAGCCTCTATATAAAAGAAGATAAATGCATAGAGCTTAAATCTACTATATATTACTTCATGAGGCTGGCCAAGCGAAACAACCGCAACACACAAAACGAGGATGCCATTATACACTGTACTAACCATAAAAAATTGTCAATATGCGAAGCCCCATGTAGGTAAAACTATTTGGCAAACAGCTATTTTTATGAGACATCCAATTTAACTGTATAAAACTTGTTTCAAGTAACTTTAACTGAGATGATATAAAAGAACCTTAAAGTAAGAGGCTTCTAATGCATAAACAAGATGGTGTGGGGGAATAGACCACCAGAGAGACCCGAAGGATTGTCTTCTCTACCCAGAGAAGACCCAAACAGGAGACACAGAGGGTGAGTTGCAATTAATTGAGGGTTACATAGAATTACCTGAGCAACAAAATGAGTTAAAAATCTAAACTTTATTTTGAATTGCGAGCTGTATGCTTCTATTTCTTTTTTTACAAGGAAAAACTGAAATACTTGATTAATTTGTATATTGTTCATGAATGAATATTGTTGCCAATGTAATAAATTTTTTAAGACAAAATTAGACTAATCCTCATTGTACACTCCCTCTAAAACATGAAAATGACCAATTGGACAACATATAATTGCCTATTTAAATGTATCTATTTAAATCTTGGTTTTATCCCTCAATTACATAGCATGGACATTTTAAACAATGAACACCCCGACATTTGAACTCGGAATCCTACAAATACTCGGACTTCAGCAAACATGAGGTTTGGGCAAATTAGGTTCAATTCTTATGCCGGGCATAAGAGTAGATCTGTTCTTATGCCGGGCATAACAGAAGATCTGTTCTTATGCCCGACATAAGAGAAGATCTGTTCTTATGCCCGGCATAAGAGAAGATCTGTTATTATGCCCGGCATAAGAGAAGATCTGTTCTTATGCCCGGCATAAGAGAAGATCTGTTCTTATGCCCGGCATAAGAGAAGATCTGTTCTTATGCCCGGCATAAGAATTGAACCCAATTTGCCCAAACCTCATGTTTGCTGAAGTCCGAGTATTTGTAGGATTCCGAGTTCAAATGTCGGGGTGTTAATGGTTTTGTTACAACTGCCAAATATTAACAGCTAGACTTCACAAGTAGTCAAAATGGAACTTCCTGTTGCAAATTGTTTAATATGGAGTGTAGGTTTTTTAGTTATATTATATGTTTAAACATTGTTTACAATTAAGTTTAAAAAACTGAAACCAAATTCAACTGTTTACATTTCTAAGAAGAAAGTTAAAAAGAAAGAGGATGAATGTTTGAAGAATTGTTTGTAACTATAATTAATTACCCTACACAGTGGCAGATCTGGGGGAGAGGCATGGGGCACAATACTTTAGTGGGCCCAGAAAAAAAATTTAGTTTTAGGGCCCAAAAATATTTATAGGGCCTCAAAAAATGGGCCTTTTGGAGCATTTAGCCTTTGTAGGCCTTTTTTGGCCAATATATCAAAAATGGGCCTTAATTTATCAAAATTAGGGCCCAATTTTCTGTTATAGGGGCCCAATTAAACTCGCGGAATTTGTTGGCCCCCTTGTTAATTTCGGGATCTGCCACTGCTACCTATTAATACAGTAGTCTCATTTTGGTTCTTTCAAATTATGCCTTCTTTATGCATTTTCTTTAACTATTACATGAACAAATTATCAGCAACAATAGTCCTTGTTAAACACATCAATTTCAGTTACATAGCTAACAGTTGGAGGTAAAATGGGTGTTGCACTATGTTTATGTTTTCGTATCTCCTGATATTTTTAACACTCATTCAAAGAGATGAAATGTATGTTTAAAAGTAACAGAGCAGAACATTTCATTTGGTTTAAAAGATGCACATAAAAGTTGACCTGATAGTGATAGCAATGGAGAATAGCAAGCATATCTTTAATAGACCAGGGGATATATATGACCATAAAATGCTAAGGGAAATGTCAACATGATGTTGATACTTATCATGTTGACACTGACAGAAAATAGCCTCAAACTAGGTGCGACTTGGAATTAAAAAGGGGATGGGCAAAGGGTTTTTCAAGTCAAAGCGGAGGAAAAATTGAGCATTACTTTTTTAAAACTTCAGCCATATTTTCTAAACAGGAGGCCTTTTTTGGAAGGTTCATTTTTAGGCTGAACGAAAAAAGAATTTCAAGCTTGAGCAAACCACTCAGATCCAAGTGAAAACAACTTAAATACTACTGGACATGAAATCATATTGAACTTCTAGAAGGTTTTATATAAATGGCTGATGGAACAGATTAAGTTAAAACATTCATGAGAAAAAATGTGTCTTAAAAGTCATGACATGCTTGAAATCCTTATCAAGTTTAAACTTATGTTTGTGTTATTAATGTTTTTCATGATTTATAACTGGTTTTATCATATATCGTACATACAATGATTACTTTAAGATTGTGTACCTCGCAAGATATTATGCCAAATTATAACCAAATCATAATTACTTTTGATCATATTCCAAGTGGAATTTCAAAAGAGCAGGATGATTTCAAATTATAAGTTGAAAGTAAAAGGGCCATTTTTCAATACATAAGCGACTCCTGGTACATTTCATGATAGAACACAGACAAAGAAAGGTTTGACATTATGGGACATATTAGTACAATATTTTGGCAATTGTGCCATTAGCTTTTCCATAGTGTTATCCTTAAAAAAATATCTTATTTGTTTGAAACATTTATATTTGATGCATTTCAATTCAAAACTGAATTATATAACACATTACTGTTACTACAGTAAAACCTGCCTGCATGGAACATACTTTGTACTGGCTGAAAATGTTCAGGTTCCTTAACAGAGAATCCATTAACATGTGAATCAATTGAAAAATATTTAACTGATCCTTGTTTGTACAAAGGTGTTTATGACAAAGTAGTCATCCAGGTTTAACAGGTTTTGAACAGGTTTAACTGTATAACATTGTATAAATACAAATGAACAGTGTTTTTCCTTATTATCTCTTCAAATTATATTACATAAACTATTAGAATTGGTATGACATAAGTAGTGAAAATAGTCCTTAGCACAACTAGTTGTTCTTAAATAAATGCACTCACAAATATTTAAAAGGTGATTATAATTGCATACATTTCCTATTTCATAGTCTTTAGTAAAATTGTTTTTTTTAAATTTCAGCATGGCATCATCTAATACAGCAACTCATAATGTTCAATCATTTCCAAGAGGATATGACAGATCTATGGCAATGCCGCTCAGAGATCAACAATCTCAAAAGACACGTAAATTAGATCCAACCACGAAAGAGAAATATTTCGACAAGTGGACAAACTTCAGAATGAAGATGAACAAAGGTTTGATTGAAATGATCAACAACCCGAGACTGAAGAAACGGATTGATAAAGGTGCAGTGCCATTTTTTCGTGCTGATAAAAATATGTGTCATTTTGTCCTGGATCAAGCCACCGAGGAGTACCTCGAGGGAAGAAAGTTGAAGCCCACTTTAATGGCAGAGACATTTGTAGAGTTTGGTATCCCCAGGGCACAACTGGCTCCAAGTGAGTCACAAATGGGATCAGATATGAACAACAACAGCCAGGTTGGAATAGCAAAGCAACACACGAGAATGAAACAAACAAAACAACTGGAAAGGAAATACTGGAATGAGACTGACGATGATCCAACTCCAATACCGAAACCCAGAAAGAAAAAGAAACACAAAGATTATGTAGATGGTGGGAAAATGGATGGGTATAGATATAATAATGAGGTGCTATCCCCAGTGACTGCATCAGGTATCCCTAGAGATGCTCAACTCTATGTTAATACATCAAGTGAAGCTCCAACCACCTTGGGAGAAAGAGATCGATTACTTTACAATATCACGCCAAACGTAGTACCATTCGCTAGAGTTCAACAACCTCTGTATGTTAACATACCACAGAATTCCTTTCCCTCGAGAAATCAAATTGCCTATGTAAATACCCCACCCATAATTCAGCCTTCAAACCCCTCAGATAACTTTGTCCCTCCTGGAAAATCTAATTATCTGCCACATCGCTATCTTCCTAACTCCAAACCTGAAATAGACAATGATGATGACACGGTGACGGCCATTTCAACCGAACCTGATTTTGAAGAATTATCACAATTCCGAGCACATGGTCATAACAAGCGTGCTCCACCTCCCCCACCACCCGTACCTCCACATCGAACCCCTATGCCAACGTACGTGAACCAGATGGATATCTCATCAGAGTTCTCTAGTACTTCAAGACCATTAAGCAGATACACAGGAGATAGTATTGGAGGCTCAATGTTTGGACGTCAGGACAAAACTCTAACAGGTAAACTCAGCGCTGTCAAATGGTCAAATAAGGACTCCAATGCAGCTCCATCACGCAACAGGAAAACAAGCTTGAGATCATATAATACACATGCAACTTGGAAAACAAATGGTACATTTATTGCTAAAAGACATCCAGAGGATGCTGGTATAGATGAGATGACTTTTGGAATTGGGGAATATGTTATAGATAATGCTAGCAATGGACAAAATAGTATAATGATAATGGATGGAGTTAATGGTGAGAATAGAAGTACTTTTGAGAGTGAATTACTTTACTAAAGGGAGACTGATTTCTATAATATGATGTACAATATCAATATATGATTTTTTGTAACTATGTATTCAGGGGCTTTGTCAAGATCTTAAAGTAGGCGAGGCAAATTCAATTAGATGAGGAGAGACTAAATATTGCCTCACACCAACTACCTCACAGCTTGCCTTTTGTATTGCTTATAATGCAATGGACCTGCAAAATAGACTGGAAACTCCAACAATTTAACAACTGGGTCAGTGATCAGAGTTACCTATTATTATATAAAAAATCAGCTAAACATCTGATTATTAAGTACTATACTCAGTGATCTCCCCAGGATTTTTTCTCAGGTGGGTGCAAAATTCTCATTTTCACAATTCAAACTACAAATTGTCAAAATGTGCCAATTAATCATGATTTTTCTAATGTTTAAGTGGGTGCAAATGGATTTTCAGGTGGGTGCAAGCCTGTTTTCAAAATCTGAGGTGGGTGCTGCACCCATTTGCTTCAATGCTTGGGAGATAACTGATACTGTTGTCTTGTTTCAAGACCCTGGACTCCCCTCCCCTATCTACTTTACAACCTGTTGTTAAAGCAGATAAAAAGCGGTCCAGGGTCTTGAAGCAAAACTATATTAGATATAATAATTGTTTCATAACTCCAGGAAAAAACTTTATTTCAACTTATAACAGGATTAACCACAAATTAGCCACTGAAAGCGGTAAGGTGAGATGAGCTTTTCTGGAGTTTCTGTTCCATTTCTGTAAATACTGCAATTAATGTATGCCACAATGCTTTTGAATTATCATGTGAATTAATAACTGTATTCATGCATATGTACAAATAAAAGCTTGAATATACATGTATTAATAAGAATGCTCCAGTATCATATTTATCATTAATATCTACAGTAATATAAGGTACATGTAGTTATTACTCAAAAGATGTATATTCAAACTTGCATAACATGTAAGGAAAAGTATGTTTGATTTATAGCCTAAGCCTATGGTGGCTATACAGTACTGACTGAAATTCCAAACTGAAATTTGACAGATTTTTAATTTGGCGGATTTTTTAAATCCGCCAATCCGCCAAATTAAGTGTATCCACAGTATTGCAAGGTGTAGTGCAACATACTCAATTGTGACAATTGCTCTTTCAACATCATTGTACATAACACAACAGGGAATAACATATACAGGGTGGTCTAAAAGGAAACTGCAATTTCTTCATATCTTTGTCATTCTCGGAAATTACTCCCTGATTTATGACATCTGTACATCATTCAATTTCCTACCAGCTTATAATTTCTTAATGTTGTTCAAAGTGTGAGTTTGATGGTCATAAAAGGTTAGGCTGGTAGGAAATTGAGTAATTTCCTAGAATGGCAAAGATATGAAGAAAATAGCGGCACGGTTTCCGTTTTTGACTACCTTGTATATTTGGGTTATTTATTCAAATCTTGAGGCATATTTCTGTATTTTGTATATGTATAATAGAATAAATTGGAATAATAAAATAAATATTGTTTTTTATTTACCTGTATTTACATTGCTCATATTTTGTGAATGTTATATTGCTTCCATTTGTTTCATCTCCCTCACATATCAGTCCTTCTACTGGGTAACATTTTACTGAAAATATCATGAATATTAGTGACACATCAAGAAGGGGGAGAGTAGAGGAAGGGTGCAGCAATATTTAATCATATTTCATATTTCAATATTTTTTTTGTTACTGTTACCATGTACTTAAGATGAAGAATTCAGAAAAGATATGATGTCACTTGTAAAATCCTAGTAAAGAGCTGACTGTTGCAAATGGTGCTTCAATAGCAAAGATTGGTTGTTTTGAAAATATGAGGTTTATTACGTGACATGGAGCAAAACTTCACATTTGTAACAAGATACTTGACAGAAACCCCAAAATAGCCTATACTTCATAGTTTCGACAACTTTATGACGTTGAAAGAATATTGACACTCAAGAATAAATTATTTGAAAGTAAATGATTCACTGTTGATCAAATTACTCTAAAACGGGTTTAAACAAAATAATATTTATCACTTAGCCATAGAGCAAATTTGGGCTTCACAAGATTAAATGATACATAATGACATATAGTAGTACTTTTAGTGGTCCTCATTTTATCAAACAGGTTTAGATACAGTTTTGGTTCAAGATCACTCACTCATGATTCAAGAATACATATTTTCAAAGTTATGCCATATTGGTTTTGTGATAATCAATGAACTATTGAATATTTCGAACAGCATGAGATTAATTCCAAGTAATGCATCTATTCCAAAAATTACAGTTTTGGTGCGAAGATGCCTCCATCATTCCTGATTCAAGTAAAATATGTGGTGGTGGTGGTGGTGGTGGTGGTGACATAATTATGTGGTGGTGACATAAAAGAGCCAATTTTCTAAAATGATGGAATTTTCATTTGTTGTAGAAATTAAGGCACAAGGCAGCATGATACTTTATATTTCCTTTGAACTATGAAACAAATAGGTAATATGAGATAAATTCAGTGTACTGCCAACATGTTATAATCCAAGGTCAATAATAATGTTCCATACCTGCAACTCTCCCATCTTCTCTACAATCCACCTGTTGTGTCTCTTTGTTCATAGGAGGAGAATCACACCTGTATCTAGTAAACTGTTAAGGAAAACAAATGATGCACAACTTTTGTCAATAAATCCTCCCCTCATTGATCCTAGCTGATACAAATCTCCCCCCCCCCTCCATCTCTTTCTCAGCTATCATGAACTCTATAGGCACCCTGAACTGGTATATCAATAGCTTAATCTCTCTAATACTCGCCATACAAAAAACAGATTTTTCGGAACATTGAATATAGCCACAGACCCAAGTTGGGCCTGTAGAGAAGATCAAGTATGAAGCCCAAAAACACTTTCTGTTTACTTCATAAGCTAAGCTATATCATGTATTTCTGTACTCAAAAGGGGTCTGTTAAAAGACATAAAACGTATATGTGGTGAGGATTTTATTTTTCAACAAGACATTGCTTGCCTCGTACCATAGAACAAAGGAGACATTAGCATTCCTTTGCGAACAAGGTGTCAATTTGATTGATCTAGATGCTTCAGTCACCCAACAGCCCCGATGCTAATGTGGTGGATTACCATACATGGAGTCATCTCAGGGAAATGGTACAATCACAAGCATCCAATAAACAGTATTGATGAGGTGAAACACAGAATCTCAAAGTGCTGAAATGAATTGCAACAGAAATCTGTCAATAAGGCTATTGATAGATGGCGCTACCGCTTGAAGCTTATTGTTGACATAGAGGGGGAGGGCATATTGAGCAATTGTTAAAATTGTTATAAAGTGTAAATGCTATCAAACAACACTGAAATTCATAAACAATAAGTTTAGTCACACAATGATGCAAATGTAAAAGCATGTATTCACCTAACAAAATGATATTCTATAAATAGAAAATTAACAATCATAATCCCGCAGATTTACTATTTTCTCCCTAAAAGCTAGAAACGCTAAATAGCAACCCGGTCTCCCATATAAGTATAATATACCTTTACTATTGATTATATGACATAGTGTAATATACCAAATTGTTTGAAAATGTATTACCTTTAAAATGATATGTAAGTCAATGAACCATATTGAATGTACATGTAAATATTTTTTATCCTGATTTGAAGTTGGGTATTGTTTTTTTTGGCCCACCCTGTAGTAGCGGCAGTTAGCATTGTCACGATGTGCCATAATTGTACATAAATGCAGCGGCAATTCTCAACAGTAAACATCGATGTATATCGCGATCTTGATACATCGCAAGATGCATTTAAGATTAAGCTTGGCACTTACTACTGGTCAAGCAAACCCCCCCCCCATGGCCAGATACTGATATATTTTTTTGAAAATCATGTATTTTTCACCGTTCTTAGCATTTTTCAAGTTGTTCTGGGGCAAAGTTGGCTGAATTAAAAATTGACATATGAAAGTTGACACGGACCTCTGCCAGATTACCTCTTCTTCAGTTGTGTCTAGGCTCAATAAATATACTCAAGGACAAGACATGAAATCTTCGGAAAATCTATATTTCCTTGATTTTGGAGTCAGTTTATCAATAAATATCACATGTAATACCTTAAATTGTTGTTAGGCTACACGATCTTTACTTTCATTGGTTGTTTGTTGCAATGTGATGTAATTTGAGAGAAGAACAACATCGGACATTGCCGGAAATCACCGAAACACTCCATTATCTTTACACTCTGAAAATTTGAAAGAAATGTCCCGGGAAAATTCGATTTACAGCGTCAATAATTGATATCATGCAACCATTCAAACTAATTACATAAAGAAGAGCTAACAGGGTAAATATTGATCAATCAATGTCTGACAGATGGAAAAAATAAAAGGTCAGTACGAGGGTCATATTTTTGGGTGGTCATTTGTTTGATGTAGCATTTTTAGCTTGTGTTTCATCTTCTCATTTATCCTTTTAGCCTACTACCAATAGGGGCTGGATCTGGCTCCGGATCTGTGAAAGTTGAGAGGACAGTCTCAACGTATCAACTTACTCACTTCGAGAGCCAATGTTAGATTTTGAAACTTATGGCTCTCAAACGGGGAAGTGAACAGCTGATTAATAGTGACCTTTGAAATCGAATTAAGTCGATACGCGGCTTACTTTTGGTCTCTTGTTTGTGGAGTGAATGTTTTTACTGCCAAATTCCAATATGGCGTTTTCTGCTTGGACATTTTCGTAAATCTCCGGAGGTTGTCCGTACCTAACTAATTCTCAAAATTCATTTCCTTCGTTGCGTATCTCGCATCTAGCAAACTGCCATATTGGAAACAGGTCTAAAAAACATTCACTTGATGAATAATTTACAAGTCTTGATCGAAAAAGAAGTATTTCAGCACTCTAATACTTACACAGATTGATGATACTGATGTAAGACACAGTTAGAGACCAAATGTAAGCCGCGGATCGACTTAATTCGATCTCAAAGGTCACTATCATTCAGCTGTCCAAATGCTCCGTGGGAAAGCTATTATATCAAAATCCAAATAGCTTTCACAGGAAGTAGATAGATCTACTATCATAGATCCCGGCCAGATTCTTTTGTAGTAGGATCAGTAGCTCAATAAATATTCCTCAAGATGAGACACCTCAGAAAATTTCAAATTTTAAAATGACGATTATGGAGCCATTTCTGAAAAATATGAGACAAATCATACCTCATTCGAAGCATCTTGTTATTTCTTAACTTTTTTATCATCAATGACCGTTATTCAAGCAATGCTGCGTTGATAAGAGGCCAAAACAGTGATAATTTATCACCGGACTCTTGTCTGTCCAAATCTGAATGGTGCTCCCGTGGTTCCGGAAATGTGACGTCATCATTACAATGATATTTGGACACACGTCCGGATCTCATGAAAAATATTTGCCGTATTAAAAGTCAAATAACTGCATCCATAGATAATTTACTCGAACCAATCAAGTAGAAATAGAAAGATGAAGATCTCAGCTATAAAATAAGTGCAAAATCTGTCATGGGGAAGCAGGTACCATTTTGTATAAGGACATTTTTAAAAGGTGCATTCCACCAGTCGAGTAGGCCTTGCTACAGTGGGGGACAAAAATAAAACTCAACGTTCACAAGTTGTCACAATGAGCTTATTTCCAAGTTTCGTGTCTCGAACTCTCCCAAGCGGTAGAAAAATAATTCCCGTTCACTAAAGTAGCACAATAAATGAATCCAAAGCTTCATACCTGCAAATAATGGATAAATCCCTACCAAATCGAATGAATGTTTTCATGAATCGCCATGTTTGTTATCCAAGGACGGTTGACTCCCAGAATGCAACATCAGTTAACCGTATTTACTCATGACAGGTTTCAAAATGGCGGAACAGTTTTTTGAAAGCTGGCACATGTCATGTTGCATTCTGAGAGCCAATCCTCCGTTCCAGCGCAATCGGGCGACAAAATCACCTCAACATTTGAAGAGTCGGCATAACATGTGAATATCCAATTCAACTTTTGAAGTTCTTATTTGTCATTAGGGACACAAATTCCACTTTATTTGGACTTACTAAGACGGAGAAAATAGAGCACTGAATACACTGGGTAAGAAATTATTACATGTGCGACAGCATGTAATTTTCATAGCTTTTGCAATTCTTTATGATCCCCACTGTATGAAATTCATTTTTGAAAGGATACTGCCCTGGTTGTAATTGAGAACATGACCGCTGTGTTTTGAGCACATTCTCAGCCACAACATAAATAAATTGTAAACTTAAAGTCACGATGTGAAGTCGAATTGTCCAATAAAACACCGATTTCTTCAGAATCATTTTCTTGTTTTCATTTTATTTTTTTTCAAAAGTTTTAGCTGACCGAAGAACATCTAAATGACAAACATCCGCTATGAGAAAAATATCTGTTTGTGTACCATCTGATTCAATATTTCACTACTAAATTATATATTAAATGTTCAAATATATCTTTTGGTTTTGAAAATACATGTGTTTTGTGAATGAATAGCAGTTTCAACAAAAATATGTCAAGAATTTAACGCGGAGTAATTTGTTCTACTTTCAGGAACAGGAAGTGCTGCCATTTTTCGTCACTTCGTGAAAAGTTTAAAACTTAATAAATATTTCGGAATATCTGTCTTCGAAGCATAAGGTAAGCCTCTGTTGGGATCCTGTGTTTCACAATTGTAATTTTTGCTTCCCAGTAATATATTCTTAGTAGTGCATAGTTAAGGATTCATAATTAAATTATGCTTTTTAAAAGTAACAACAAAATATTTTGATATTTTTTTTAACTTTGGAAAAGGGGTGTGTTGATGAACATTCATGATATATGTTACTGATTGTTTTATATGAGGTGCATCTAATATTACTTATTCATGGATTTGTTTATGGAATGAGACATAAAGACTGATGCAGCTCTATGAGATTACTTAGGTCCAAAGCCTTCTCAATATTTCCGGCTTTGAGTGATTGTTTACAGCCGCCCTGATACTCAATATTTGTAAATCACGGTGACACACACACACAGTTGTTATGCCATAATTATATGAAACATATTTTGCATACATTTGCAGAATATCTGTTCATATCCCCGTTCTAATCGATTGTTTTATATATTTCGATTTAGCTAAGTGGAATTTCATTTCGAAATGGCCTCCATTTTTCTGCTGAGTGAGCTGTATAAATGGTGGATCTGTTGAGTTTGAGATTTATTAAATAGGAGTTCTATGTGCGTGTGACACTTTTTCTAGATCACATACGAAATCGATGAAGTTATGTAGAGACTCGAGTAAAGACTAGACTACATGACCACCTGAGTCTCACAGTATTTTGACGAAGCTCCCCCCCCACAATGTGGGCGGACCTCTATTGATGGGTTTGCATTAGGGCTCAGACCGGTTGTGAAAATTTGCATTATTGATGTAGCTTTAGGTCCATCCTTATTAGCTCAGTGTTCTCCACAGAATTTTCTTCTCAAGTGGTTGCAAAATTCTCATTTTTATAATTCAGACCAAAGTTAAACAAAATGTGCCAATTTTTCATGATTTTTATCATTTTCAAGTAGGTGCAAATATATTTTCATGTGGGTGCAAGCCTGTTTTCAAAATATCAGGTAGGTGCTGCGCCTACTTGCTTTAATGCTCCAGAGAGATTACTGTAGCTTATATCATACCAGGTCTTCAATGCAACCTATATCAAGTCGTCATATGATGTTGTGATTCGAAGTTATGGTATTTTACATAATCTTTGACATCAGACACACATTACCTCATCAGCAACTTTAAACATACAAAAATCTAAACTTCACAAGGTACTGTTGATTCTGAATTAATATGTGACATCATTAATATGTTGCTTTGCCAACAAAACAAGCATTTAGTTTTGTTCATGGTCTTTCACTTTTATGAAGTAGAGTGATTTTCCACATTGCATGTGACGACCTATCAATACATCAGGTTTGAACTTCCACACTGGAATCTTGAAACTGCTCTCTCAAACATGCCGAACGGATGGTCAATCAGATGTGAGCTAAAGTGCAATTTGGGTTGGTTGATCTCTTTTAACCAATCAGCGTTAATAAGGTTGTTTATCGCTATCGTAACTCTCTTGTCGTATATATGATGAATTAAGCAATTTGGGGAAAACAGATAGTTTTTCATTGATTCCATGAGTTCTTTTACATGATGGAATTGGTTTGATCAATGATGTATACAAAACTTATCACATATCAGGTGGCAAATTTGCTACTGCTCTTGTATTTTGATGCTACTCTGCTCCACTGCTTTTTGAAGCATGGCCTCAATATTAAACATGGCTTAACCACTAGGAGTGTCACAAAACAAAATAAAGTTGGAACAGGTCGGTTCGGACCATTTGGCTTGAGTGTCTGTTATTAGGATCTCACATCTTTGAAAGCACTCTGGTCCTGCTGAACCTAATCATGGGATTACCGCAATATTTCCAAACAAGGATTTTCCCATCCTTCAAAGTGTCTTCAATACATTGTTTTTCGGGTTTACTCAAGAAAGATAAACCCTTAGCATATTTAGTATGTATGAAATAAGTTGGTAGCAAAAACCTCTTGAAAACTCTTCGATGAGAAGGAGTGTAAAAATGGACTTCTTTCGATGCAAAGAAAAATGCCATTTTGCAGGGATTTGAGGGCTAAAAGCTGTGTAAAGGTATACTTTTCTTGTTCCGAATCCGAACCAAAATGTTGAATAATTGTTCCGTGCTCAGACCCGAGAGCCTGATTCCATGGAACGGAACAAAATCGGGTATCCTTGACACCGCTATTAACCACCCTAAATAACAAGATGCTACTGTAACAGCATTTCTGAACATAAAATTAACTTTCTCAAATGTACAAAAATTAGGTATCTGATATATGATTGTTTTTTTTTTGTTTTACTTGAAAACTAGAAAATATTTTGATCCCACATTGGGGTACAGGAGATATGGAGATTAAGGGTGTGAAGTTAGGGTAGATCTTCCCAGAGTCATTTTTATCAAAAACTTCAGTATCGGACCAAATTTGTACATGAAAGAATGAGACTATCACATAAGTTTTTGTTTGGAAAGAAACCTTGTGGCACCTCATTTTAGGTAAAATTGTAGGGTCTAATGTTGTTGAAAAACTTTAATTAGAAAATTCCTGAATAATTAAGCTTAATATCTGAACATCTTGGATTGCTATATACTTGTGACTGATTCGCTATTCAGTAACCAGAGTTATTAGGTAAAACATTTGGATACAGATCAACCTCCTTCTTGGCGAAAATGACAAAAATTAAAATTTCCTCCGATGAAAGTTCATCCATTTTGATATAAAGACGCTCCAGGTGGGGACCAGTGAACTTGCTTCCAAAAAATAATCATAAATGAAAGATGACGTCCAAGTTGTAGAAAAATGAAGGTAATTGCATTGTGGTTTAATCTCCTAGATGTCATGTTATGCAATTTAAAAATATTGATTTCCCATTCTTCCACATTAAAAGTTGGACAATTAGACACCATCCATTAATTTCCTTCGATCCATTTTATCACAATACCAGTCTTGTAGTTTTGGTAGTTTTTCAAGTTTTGGAGTTTATTTAATCTACTGAAGATAGGGGTCAAACTCATTATGTGTACGAATGAACAAAACAAGTACATGTATTTTGATTAAGTATCTGATGCTAGTCACCAAAATATATATATGAAAACTAATAACAACAAATAGATAACAGTCTTGTATCTGTGGCCACTGCACCTCCCCCATTCTCTTTTCAGGTTTAATTACTTGGGAGGGGGGGGGAGAAATTTGAAGTACGTTGAAAATTTGAAGTATTTGGATATTTCATATTCTTAGCGATTTTTGACTGCTTTTTTCTAACAATCTGAACATTTTCTGAATAGAGGCATTAGAGGGGCTCAATACAAAACTGACTGAACAATTCCTCTAGTTCATTCCCACGTCAGTTTAAAATGAGGTATCATTATGAATACTCCATCTCTATACTATGTACCATGTTAATTAATTCTTAATGATAGAATATATAGCCCCTAGCGAAAACCGGTTGTAGGTAATACTATGAAATATTAATAATGCTGATGATAACATCACAAGTGGTTTCATCAAACAACATATGAAAGCAACATTTCATTAGTGTAGATTCAGATCCTACCTTTATCACTTACTGTTATGTAAATGGTTTTTGGTTAAACCACCATATTTTGGTGAGCAATACCACAATTGTATTTTTTGTATTTTACATATTTTACACTCTGGTCTCGAAGACCAAGAGTGACACCCCTCCTTAGAGGAGCCCTGTGTTATTTTATGTGCACCAGTACACAGACCTACTAGTACATAGTACACAGCCTTTAAATACAAGTTGTGGCACTCAGTCAAACACCTAGAATTACATAACACACAAACAAACTTGGTCTGACACTGGAAATCAAACCCAGGGCCAAGCAATAGTAGAAACCTTAATGGCTCTGCCATCGAGCCATAGCGGGTGGACTATTAATCATTTACTCTTTGAGACTAAATCTATAGAAGTTGTTGTGAAAGGTATATAGCGTTAGCTTCAAAAGTAACATTTTTGAAAAGTTTGAGAATCATCTGTGCCTCATATCATTCCTTGTTTTCTTTGTTATGCCTATTTGTGCTATATGCCTTATGTACTTGAAAATATGTTCAGTAAATAAGCAATTTCATAATTTCTCAGGAACTGTAAGTTTGAACAACTTCATTTATCTTTATAACAGTTATGTCTGTTTTTGGATTGTTCTTAAAAGGGGGTATAATAGCTTATAGGTTATACTTTGCTAAGTATCTCAAGTCAGGTTAACTTGATTGTTCTTAAGATCATGGATCTGTTTTAAGTAGAATACTGAAAATATTATACACAAAAGTATTTTGAGTTACAGGCATTTTTAGAGGGCATAAATATGCTCTTTGAAAATAGATATCTTTGAATATTGTTTTTATTCAATTATATTTCTCATATTTGGTGCTTTGAATGGATTTGAAGTGAAACAATGTTTATTTTATATATGAAAGCAGGTATATTATACATATGTGTCGGAGTGTTCTTTTCACCCAGCGTGAAAATATACTTATGTCCCAATCAGATCTCAAGTTGAATTTACAAGTTTAAAATGTGCATGCTAAAATATACTGTAGCATTATTGAGATAGCATAGTGAAACTGGTTTTTAAAGCTAAACAATTCCAAATATGTTATATCAGTCTTATTACCAGCCAGTAATAACATACAAATCTACATAAACTACATCTAGGCACTAAACCTACAGCAGGAAACCTACAGCGAAAATGTTAATTGTTTTTCTGGCTTGTGTTAAAGACTAGTGACTATATGATGTG